ACGCTTCGGTACTACCAGCTGCTCTTCTGCCTTCGACTGCTCGGGCAAATGTACAACATTGGCCGCGCGATCGCGCTCTTCATTGGGTGCTACGCTGCGCGGTGTGCCGAAGCGTCGTACAAACATGCGTCGCTGCAACGAAGGCTGTACGCAGCTCTGACCATGTACCTGCGCATTCCCGCCCAAGTGGTCATCTACGGCAGCTGGTTGCCCGTGCTAGTGTTCGTGCTCGCACATCTGGTTGACTCGCCATTTTTGTACTTTACCATTTTCATCGACCTCGCGACCATCAACGGCACGTACTACCTCGACGCGCCAAAGCTCTACAAGTTCTCGATCTTGCTCACGTGCCATATGCGCAACGTGTGGCTGCTCAGCCTCGTCACCAAGATGGTACTGCTCATGCGGGACCCGCGGCACCCACACCGCATCCTTGGCGTCCGCGGCTACCTCCTCCCGTTCGTGTCGTTCTTTTCGATTTTGTTTGAGATTCGCCTCAAAGCGCTGCGCAACACGGACCTCGTGACGGTGCTGCCATTTGCCCCAAGTGTGTCGACGCAGCTTGTCCGCGGCTTGCACTCGGTGCCGAGCAACTACCGCTACTGGGGCGTCTACTCGGACATCAAGACGCTCTCGCTGTCATGTGTCGCCACCTATTTTCTCGGACGTCTTTTGCTGCAGCAAGATCTGGTGTTCGAGACCCATGTCCCGTACACGCTGCTGCGGCACTGCAACCGCACCATGTTCAGCACCGCGTGGCACTCGCCACTCGAGTCCCGACCGACGTCGCTCCGACGCGTGCACTCGCAAGCCGACCTCACGTCGACGCGGCTCTCGCGCAACCGGCTCATGCACGTGACGTGGATGACCGACCCGATCCAGTACCTCTGCCTCCTTTGGAACCAACCAATCGTGTACGTCTACAAGCCCAAGCATTCCGACGCCGTCGTGCACCATGTTCTGTCGCCGCGCGAGCTCAAGACCCAAGACTCGATGCTGCACGCGACACTCGAGTACGTCGGCGAAGCCTTCCTCCTCGACCTGCCCTGGGCCCAACGCATCCAGTGCTACTGACCGCGAAACCGATCGGCCGAAAGTGCGCTCGCGAAACCACAGTCGAAACGGGCGACCCATGCGACGGCTCCAGCGCACCCGGCGCGGTCCGAGCGTCAGCGACCTCGACGTCGACGTGCCGCTGACGTGGTCCAAGGTGCTTCTGGCGCTCGCGTCTTACTGTCTCTTCTTCACGGACATTCCACGGAGCGGGTACGGCTTCAGAGACCTCCCGTACTTTGCGACGACCGAGACTCAGTTTGCCAACTTTGGCCCGTACGCGTACCCGATCATCGCCATCGAGCGCCACGTCAACGGTGCGTCGTCCTGAGGCTTGTAGTCGCTTCAATGTTGAACTATCGCGTTAGGTTCGGTCCAGAGCTCGAGTCCATTCGCCACCGTCTGGAGCTACAAGTTTGACACGTGCTCGGTCGGTCTCCGCACGGTCGTCGCGTCCCTCGACGTTGCTGGCTGGTACACACACTATAAACTTGAAATAAGATCTATAGGAACGAACTAGGCACGAGTGCTTGGCATACGCGCGTCCTTGCGCCAGCTCGAACGTGCGCCCGGAGGACTTGTTTGGGATGCTCGACAATGTTGTCACGGCGGTGCACGCCCACGGCAGCTGCTCGTGGCGGGTCAGCTACTACTTTGTCGATATCATCAACGACCTCTTTGCGTTTGGGGGCATCAAGGAGCGCGACTGGCGGCGCGTGCAGACGCAGTACGTGACGTCGTCGACCACGGACCTCTGCGATCCGCGGCGAGATCAACTGGCGTTCTTTTGCGAGCAGCCGTGGACCGACTTTGGTACCTTTGGTAGGAACCTATAGCCATCTTGACACACTGGACTGATACAAGTGCAAGGTGGCGTCGCCGTCCGCCTCATGCCGGCAATCCAAGCGCAACTCCAAGCCGCCGAGCGCCGCGCCGACCGTACGACGCAGCATGTCGACATGGCGCTCATCGTTGGAAGCGACGACCTGCGTCCGTGGGCCGGCGGCTTTGCGAAAAGCTACCTCAGCGCGTTCGATGTCGTGACCCTTCTCCGGATTCAAAATTGCTCGAATGTCGCGCGAAGAATCAACTGCTCCACCGTGTACGTGTCCGACTACCGGTACGAAGGCGGTCTCGGGCGCACGAATACCCGCGCGTACTACCGCCTCACCGCTTGCTTGCGCACGTTTGGCCAGCTCTACAACATTGGCCGGACACTGGCGCTCGTCTATGGGTGCTACGTCGCACGGCGCCACGAGCTCAAGTACCGAAACGCGCCCTTCCTCCAAGCACTGTACGCAGCACTGACCATGTGGCTTCGCATTCCGGCCCAAGTGGTCATCTACGGCAGCTGGTTGCCCGTGCTCGTGTTTACACTAGCGCATGCGATCGACGCGCCGTTCTTGTACTTGGCCATCTACATGCAACTCGGTACGCTCAACGGGACCTTCTCCTTTGGTGAGCGCAAGGTGTACGACTTGATTCTGCTGCTCACGTGCCACATGCGCAACGTCTGGGTGCTCAGCCTTGGCGTCAAGGCGATCCTCGTTCTCCATCGTAGTGACCGCCACCGCCAAGCGCTGTACGGCTTCCGCGGCTACCTCCTTCCGCTCATCTCATTTCTCTCAATGGTCTTTGAAATTCGCCTCATTGCGCTTCGTGATACGAGCCTCATTGACGTCCGCCGCGTCGTTGCTAGTCACGAGATGGCGCTCATAAGGGAGCTCCATGCGCTGCCGACCAACTACCGGTTCTGGGGCGTTTGCTCGGACGTCAAGAACCTCTTGCTCTCGTGGCTCTTAATTTATGGCTGCGTCCGGCTATTGACGCGCTACGAGGTCGCGTACGCAACGACCATGCCGTACACGCTGCTGCGGTTCTGCCACCGGAGTATGTTTACGACGGCGTGGCATGCGTCGGCGCGCGAGACGTCCATGTATCTGAGCAAAGTCCACGCGCAAATCCAGCTCCACCCCGGCCGGCGGTCGCTCTACAAGCTCATGCACATCACGTGGATGACCGACCCGTTGCAGTACGCGACGCTGCTGTGGACGCGCCCGATCGTCTGCGTCTACCGCATGCGCATCACGGGCGCCGTGCTGCACCATGCGCTCACGCCCCACGAGCTGCTCCAGCTCGACGCGTCCTTGCGCGAGCGCGTCGAGTGGGCAGGCGACGTCTACCTTCTGGACTTGCCGTGGCACGAGCGCATCCGCTGCTATTAGCTGACAGCTGACAGATTTCTTATTTAACACTATTTATTATCGACCCCAAGTCACAATGGTGGTGACCTCGGTCGCGACTTCAGAGCTTTCGAGTGCGCAGCAGCGAGGCGGTCGACGGCGAGGGGCGCAGATGGAAGGTACAGGCCGTGGGAGCTCGTACTGGTGCACTGTGGGCGAAGATCTCTGCGACGAGATGTTGAAGCACCTTGTGGTGGCTTCGTGCGACCGCTTCAAAGCTAGACATACCGCCTCATGCACAAGGCCTATATAGAGTAATGGTCTAGCATCGCAGCTCAAGAAACGCAGCGAGCGTGGCTTGAAGAACGTGCAGCTGTGCATGTTGAAGCTGCTGGCAGCCAGACATGTTGGGATGAGGACCTCCAGCAGAAGTATCAGCTGGAGGTAGAGAACACTGCAGTAGCAACAGTAGAGTACTAGCGCTCCTTCTACTGCCGCGGGTGCACTACTGCCACAGGTAGCCACTGCAGAGCTCTGCCACAGGTGGACTGTCGCCAGAGCGAGGCTTAACAAGATACTCAATGTCGATCGCTGATTGGTCAACACAAATTCCGACACGTGATTGGTCTACCTGGAATGATGTGACCAATCAACAACGAGCAAAGCTGATCCGCATCAGTCACGGACTCTCGGACTCTTGCTGGACGATGGCGGCTGCAGGAGCGCGATCGGTCGGCCGGCGGTTCGACCCTCGCCAGCCGCAACACGTGCGGTGCGTCATCGACACTTGTTCAAATCGGTTCAGTGAAACGACCTTTTGAGTGGCCACACCCTGCACGCCAGACGTGGCCAACGAGAGAGCGCCGACCGCCAATGCCTCATTTCCGAACTTGCTTCATGGGTGTGCCATCGCGTCAAGGGGCTCCGCTGGACGCAGACAAGGCGCCGTTCGAAGCCGTGCTGCGCAAGCTTCCGTCGCCGGTCGACTTTGCACTGCGACATCAACTGCCGTACGACGTGCCGCCGCTCGTGCGCGTCACTGGCCTCAAAGAAGGACTATCCCTCCCGCTGCGATCGGCCGACGCCGACGCCGTCCTCGCTGCGTACCCGTCGGGGATTGTGCCCGCACCGCGCGTCTCGTTTATGAACCCCGACTGGCCCGACACGATCGAGCGCTGCGTGCTGCCGTACGTCCGCCGCCGACTCGGGTGCACCGTCGTGTTGAAGGCGGTCTTCTCACGCTTTGTCGTGGACAAAGTCGGCTCGAATTCCGTGCTTGCGCCCGCCCAACGGTCGCCGAGAACGTTTGGGACGCTGCTCATCGCATTGTCGTCGCAGGTGGAAGGCGGTGTCGTCTCGTTCACTTATGAGGACAAGGTCCACGACTGGACAGCGCTGGCGAGCTCGACCCTCACGCGCTTTACATTTGCAGCGACAACGCTCGCAGCAACCATCACGACGACGCCCGTGACGAAGGGGCACCGCGTCCTGGCCGTCTACCACCTTGTGTACGCTAACGAGCAAATGGCCTTTCTCCCGACGCCGACGCCCATGGACGAAGCGATCGCGCGGCTCGTGGCCGCGGCGACCTCGCCGCTCTCTCCCAAGTACAACGTCATGGGCTACCATTTGAAGGACGGCTGTTACGCCAACTCGTTCGACGACCTTGACGGCCGGGACCTCGCGTTCGCCCAGGCGCTCGTGGCCTCCAACGTCTATGACGTGGCGCTCGCGCTGTTCCGAGAGCCGAGCGCGCAGCAGGCGGTCAGTGTGGTGTCGGCGACGCTGCACCCCACGCTGCATCTGCCATGTTTGACGCTTCAAGGCGTCGACGTACCGGCATTCCTCTATAACGGGGACGTCAAGAGCACCACCTTTACGTACCGCAGCACGGGCCTCGTCTTTTGGCGCAAGACGCACCGCGTGCGTCTCGTCGGCATCGACGCCGCGGTGCGCACGCTCCACGAACGGTCCGCGCACGCTGACGGAACGTTCTGCGGCCACCTGACGTTATCATCGTTGGCCCGCGCCATCTTTGAGCTTGTCGGGCCGCACGACTTTATCGTCTGGGCGCCGTTCGGTGGGCCTCGGACCTTTTGCGCGGCGCTCGTCGACGGCCTCAACGCACTTGATGACGCGTCGCTCGTCAACGCTTTCTGGCGCAACCACGTCGGTGTCCGCGACGAGATGCCGCTCGAGGCGCTCGCGCCCGCGATGCACGCGGCCCTCCAGCAGTTTGGCCCCGAAGAGCTCATCGACGCGCTTAGCGTCGTGCTCCTGCGCTGGGGCGCCTCGTGGGCGGGCCTCTCGTTCGGCTACCGGCTCCTCGCGAGCTTGGCCGGCGTCTCGGTCGCGCCTGTCTGTCCTCGCCTCGATGCGCCGTTCGCACGCGAGTACGTCCAGCACGGCTTTGCGTCCCTCTTGCAGTCGTGCGTTGCTCAAAAGGTTCCGAAGCTCAAGCAGGATGCAGATGAGGACGACGACGACGACGAAGACGAGGAAGACGAGGCGAATGGGACGTATGACACCATGATGGCGATCGTCCGGGATGGCATTCCTCTCGAGCACTACCTCTGGCGGGGCCCGCTCGACGGCGCGCGGCTGCAAGGACAGCTTCCGGATGCTCTCGTCCGCACGACGCTCGAGTACCAGCTGCCGACGCTGCGCGTCGAGGCCATGGCTGCCATGTACCCGGGGTTCTTTGACCCACTGCGCACCCTCACGCCAGCGTACGCGGCCTTGCAGCACACACACGACTTGTCGCTCGACTGGCTCAAGACGTCCGTGCTCGCCGAAGTGCCCGACGGCTCGATCGGGTTTGGCCCGCCCGTATCCTCGATCGTCGCGATGGTGCGAGTCCTTGACGCGCAAAAGATGCTCACAGAAGAGATGCTGCGACGTCGGCTCTATTGCGCGTGGGGACCGTACTTGGCGGCCGCGATCGCCGTCTTCCTCCAGACGACGCCGCCGAACGACGTGGGGCCGTGCGTCGCGATCTTCGCGTACCTCGTGTCGCTGCACAAGATCCTGCTCGAGATCAACGTGCTCCTGACGCACTACGCGCAGCTAACGCAAACGACCGTCAGTAGCACCGACGTTCTCGGCTTGCTCATTTTGGATGCGCTCGACGTGTACGAGGCGCACGCGCCAGCGCTCCTCGACAGCTTCGTGTCGCACTGGCTCGACGCAGCCGCCAATGACATTGCGGCGCACCGGACCATGGTCTGGACAGTCCTTACCAAGCTACAGCAGCGACTGCCGAAGAAGGTCGCGCTCTACCGCAAAATCGCGACGGCCTCTCGTCGCATGCTTGCCGGTGACGCGGCGCCGTTGCCGGACTTTAGCCAGCGCGACTTGGTGCTTGACTGCAACTGCCACTGCTGCGCCGAGCTCCAAGAGTTTGTACTGGCGCCGCGACAGGACCGCGTCGTCCTCGAGTGGACGCACGCGCAACCGCTGTGCGCGACCGCCCGCGACGTGGTCGTCGCCCACCCGACGCGCCTGCGCCTGAGCGAATACGAGACCAAGGACGTCGTCCAAGGAACCTTTACCAAGCTCGACTACGACGCCAACAGCTTTGCGATCTTGCGTGCGCTGCAAGAGCGCGACAGCGATGCCAGCAAGGTGCGAATGCTCACGCGACGCCTGCGCGAGCTCGACGCTGTGCCCTAACCCCAGCCCTAGCCCTCGCCATCATCCGTCACTGCTACGTGTAATGCAGTTTGTCTTTACGATCGAGCTTCGAGTCTGTAGTAGCAAGGGCCTGAACTATGGTCGTACAGTAGCAAACATACCGCATGGGGTCGTAGCCGACATATATCCTGCGTGGTCGGTGGCTCGAGACGTCCGGCACGACTGACGTGGCGTCCATAGTATGTTCTTTCTAAACCTACTAGTGTTTGAACTAGACTTTTTCTCACTGACAATTATTGTCCTAGATAGCAAGGACTACTATATGCGAAAGAGAAAGTAATTTCCAACAATAAGTACTGTAACCCGCCATGCAAAAGTGATAGTTTGCTCGAAGATCGTCTGTACAGGAGTCGGTTGCTCACTTTTTGCCCTTCTTGCCCTTGGCGCCCTTCTTGCCCTTCTTGTCGTCCGCAGCGTCGCCGTCGCCGAGCGCGGCCTTGCGGATCTTCTCGCGCGTCTCCTTGAGCCCCGTGATGACCGCCGTAAAGTTCTTGAGCTTCTCGTTGTCGTCGGCAAACGTTGCTGTCTGTCGCGACAGCGCCGAAATGAACTCGTCTTCGCGCAGCACCCGCTTCTCGAGCCGGTTCACACGGCGCGCCGTCAAGGTCTGGTCCACCGCAGCGCGGATCGACCCGGACGAGTACCCTTCGGAAATGTGCGCCAGTGTACTCACGTCCAGCTCGTCCGGGAGGCGCACGCCGGCCCTACCCCAATATCAGACTCGATAAATTGATACTAAATATATGCCATACGGGGTCGGGGTGTGCAGCTTGATCGTGTCGATGATGGAGCGACGCCAGAGGAGGACGCGCGACGGGTAGTCGGGGTATGGAAAGTAGAGGAATTTGTCGAAGAACGCCCGAAAGTCCTTGGGTTCGCCGGCCATCGGGTTGGACGAAGTGCCGATGATCAAGATGCGGTCGTTGACCGTGAGCGACTTGAGGTACGTGAGTAGATCCTTGCGGTACCCGGTCGGGCCGTCCGACGCCTTCTTCTTCCCGGGCGCGAAGATCTGTTCGCACTCATCCATGTAAATAACCGCGGGCTGCATCGCCTTTGCCAACGTCCACACCATGTGAATGCACTTGGTCGGGCCGCTCTTGCCTACGCGTGTTGATAGATTGATACATTTCAAAACGCGACCAATCACGTACCGGAAAACTTGCCGATCAAGTTGGACGCCGACAGGTTGAAGAAGAGCGCGCCGGTCTCGTGGGCGATCGCTCGCGCCATCATGGTCTTCCCGCTGCCCTTGGGTCCATACAGCAAGAGCGACCGAATGTTCTTGACCTTCTCGCGCACGGGGAGCGACCCGAGCGGCAGCACCGCGTACTCGACGATGGCCGCCCTACGCTCTCCATCAAACATCAATAAATCTATAAAAATGGTACCGGAGCTGCGCGGCCGACGGGTCCTGCGGCACCCAATTCCCAAAGCGATCGCGTCGGTCCGCGCTCTGGTAGACGGTCCCGAGGTAGTTGAATTCGCCGACAAAGTCGTGCACGTGGCAAGGGCGGACGTTGCTCACGATCTTTTGCTCGACGAGGATCGCGAGCATCGTGTCGGGAGTCCGGCCTTTGAGCTCAGCGATCTTGTCGCCGGGCAGCGGTTTGCCCTTCTTGCCCTTCTTGTCCTTCTTGCCCTTCTTGCCCTTTTTGCCCTTCTTGCCCTTCTTGCCCTTCTTCTTCTTCCCATTCGCCGCGGCCTCGAGCTGCGCCTTGATGTTGGCCAGCTGGAGCACGAGCATCTCGTCGACTTGCTGCCGGACTTGGGCTTCAACCGGGCTGCGCACCACGTCCTTGGCGAGGTCAATGTCGTACTTTTGGTGGAAATTGTCGGCTTCGTCGCGCTCGAGCCACACTTTCTCAAACATCTCGACGCCGCCGGCCATGTTGGTGCAGAGCTCGCTCGGGCCCGTGAGCGGCGGCGGGCGCTCGGGCGGCGCCTCGGCTTCGACCTTTTTCTCGTCCTTTTTGCCTTTTTTGCCCTTTTCCTCCTTGGCTTTCTTCCCCTTCTTGTCGTCCTTCTTGTCCTTCTTGCCCTTGGACTCGGCGTCGTCTTTGGGCTCGGCCTCGGGCGGCGGCGGGTTGATCATGAGGTAGTAGCCCGCGAGGTCCTCGGGCAGCTGCCCGAGCGCCATCATGTCCGAGATCCACTTGCGCCGCTCCTCAAGGAGCTTCTCCTTCATGAACGGACCTTCTTCGGACGCGACCGTCTCGTGGATATCTCCAAGCGACTTCTCGTACTCGTCCTTGTTGTCGGCTTGCTGCGTCTTGCGCTTGATCTTGGCGAGGGCGAGCGCCGCCTCGAGCTCGAGCGCCTTGTCGACGACCGGCGGCTTCATGCCAATGAACACCAGCTCCTCGTCGCGCTCGACCGTCGCCTTCCCGCGCGAGTTGTGCCCGCGGAAGACGCGCTGGATGTTGGCGGCCGCGAGCTCCGGGTCCATCTCGGGCGTCTGCGTGTTGTCGTAGATGCGGCGCTGCTTCTCTTCCTCGCGGAGCTCGTGCACAAGGAGGCCGCGCTGTCGGCCTTGCCGCCCGCGCTCGTTGCGCTGGATGATCTGCAGCGCTTCGTCCAGCGACATCTAGATCCGAGTTGCGTCACTTGCACGGAATAGCCAGCGTACCGCGTCGGCGAGCGAGATGCTGGCGTCGCTGTCGTCAATGTAGAGCGCTTCGACGCCGAGCTTGAGCTTCATGTAGCCTTTGACGAGCTAGACAAGTAGTGGCTTGAGGCAGGATATGAACGAGGGGCTCGTACGCGATCCCGCTTCTTGAGCTCAGCGCTGCTGTCTTCGACAAAGTAGCGTGGCACGGGCACTTCGAGGAGGCTCGGCGGCAGCTTGAGGTCGACGAGGAGGTCGTCGAGGTTGACGTACTCCCACGGAAAGTTCTGCTCCGGCGTCGTGCGCACGTCAGGATTCGGCGGGTTCCACTTGACGAGGTCGTGCTTGAGCTCGACCACGCGCGTCTAGACCACTCTAGCTCCATGTACGGACGGTGGCGCATGTACCATGACGAGCTCCATGATCTTCTTGACGTCGATGCGCTTTTGCGGGTGCACCATTTGGTCGTAGCACTCCTCGAGCGTCGTAAAGATCTGCACGTACTTGATGTAGAGGCACGCGTAGTGCTGGAAAGCCTCGAGCATCGAGACGTCCGGCGGCGGCTGCACCTCTTGGCCCTCTTCGGCGTCGAGCGTGTGGTCCTCAATGTGCACCTGCTCGTTGAGCTCGGTCATGGCCGACTGCCATTTCGTATCAAACGTGCTATGTCGCCATGAGCACCACGGTGGCAATTCGGCGACGCACTAGTTGGCCATCGCGGCTTTTGTCGGCGACCGCTCAATCCAAAAGTGAACCCGACGCCCGTTTCGCCACGCCCATTGCCACAGATGAGTACACTCGAAGAGACGCTGTATATTAGGATGCAGTGGAAGCAGCCGCGACTTTGCCTTTTGTGTTGCCGTACGAGAGCGACCGCTGCCGCCGAGACGCGGCCGTCGCTGCGTTCGTCGATCCTTTAGCAACGCTAAACTGCGGCTTGCGTGAGAGAGCTCGGTGCTGGTACTTGTGCATGACCTCGGCGAGGAGCACGTGGAGGCCTTCTTGGGGCACGCGCGGCTGCCGCGGCGACGAGGCAGTGGGCGGTCGCCGCCGCTTCTTGGGCGAGCTTAGCAGTGACGGTGACGAGATAGGCGCGGAAGAAGGAGACGTTGGACGAGGCAGCGCGTCGCGTACGCTCAGCACCGCCGAGGTCATGTTGAAGGTCGTCAGAATGAGCGCGAGCTGCGTCGGTGCGTCCGTGAGCGAGTGTCGCTGCCGTCGAATGGACGCCTTGAGGAGCGGGCGGAGGCAGTCGACGCCGTAGCGCGGGATCCACGCGCCGATCGTCTCAAGGCCCAAGACGCAGCTCAGAAGACGCATGCTGCGCACGGACGTGACCGGCACGCCCGCGGCGAGGGCCGAGAGCGCCGACGCCACGTGCCGAACGACGCCAACGTTGAGGTCGTCGAGCGAGAGGTAAAAGTTGTCGACGTCCTTGGCGACGGTGCCCAGCATAGCCTCGACGATCGGGTGGTCCTTGGGGTCGTATAACAAGGGACCTGCGTCGTTGTTGTCGCTACTCTCGGTACGTGGCTCTGACGTCGGCGCGTCCTCGGTGCAGATAGAGAGCGTCTCGATCGTCGGCAAGGGTTCCTCCTCGCTCGGCCGCGTTGGCTCCGCGTCAGTTTCCATCCGAGCGCGTCTGAAACCGGCCACCAATAAGGATGTCAAAGAGCAATAAGTGCTGAGTTGATAATTGGCTTGACAGTAGACGAGTCCAGCTTCCTACACTAGTGTTCATCGCACGCCTCATGCACGGAACGAGGGGCGCGGTTGCTGCTTCTTCATGGCCTGTACAAACAGCGAGACGTACTTGAGCTTGCGCGAGATGGTAGACGGAATACTCGCGACGGCCGAGGCGCCCAAGGGATACTGCTCGTACCGCCCGCCGTCGGGCTCTCGAAACTCAACAGTCGACGCGCCGCCGTCGAGGAGGAGTTCGCTTCCGTCGACGAATGCGATACGCAAGGTGCCGTCTGCGAGGCACTCCCCACGGCCAATGCTAAAGAGGTCGGCCGACCGCACCGAATCCGAGTCGGTCTTGGGATGACGTGGCGCTTGCTGCTGCGCGCGGAGCTTCCGCTCGAGGCTTTCGTTGCGCTCGAGAGTTTCGATCACATCGTCCGAGAGACGCAGCGTCGTCTCGATGGGTTTGGGCGCGGCGAGGTACAGGTACAGGCACACTTGCGCGAGGCGCACCCACGTCAGAGTGCGCGGCGAACTCGGCGCCACGTCCGTGACGCACACGTCAAAATGCGCCTCGTGACGGAGCTGGCCCGTGACGCGGGCATCGTGCAAAGAGTAGCGCACGACCTCCCCCTGCCTGCCATGGAGCGTCAAAGCCTCGGGCGTCCACGTGCAGCGCAGCGTGCCCATGATGTCGTCGGGAGGCAAGTCCAGGATCGAGTGGTACTCGACGGTAAAGTCCACGCTGTCGGGGAACGACGGCAGCGACTCGTCTTCGACCGCCGTTGTGTCGCTACTACTGGCTGCCCCCGATCCTCGCGGAGGGCAGCGGTCGTTGGCGGTGATCTTGTCGAGCATGGTTTGCAGCTATCTCGGAAAGTGGGTCAGTCGTTTTATAAAGAGCAAAAGACCTTGGCAATGTCTTCGTCTTCAGCGTCGCTCAAGTCACTGTGCTGCGACGACGACGACGCGCTTGAGGAATCGGCGACAACGACGGCCGGTGCCCGGCGGCTGCGCGCAGCGCGCTTCGTCTTGGCCGCTTTCCTGCGCGCGGTCGTCGGCTGGAGCCACGGGTGGTGCGACAGCGCGTGGCACGGCAGTCGCTCGGCCGGCTCCTACGCCCGCGTCCAGCCTTGGATGCAGAATGAGGCTTCTCTACCACGCAAAGCAACGACCGCACAAAGTCCTGCGCTGTCGACGACACGAACGGCGGGAACGCCAGCGACGACGTCTGCGCGCTAATGTTGCGCAGCGTATCGCTACCGCAAAGCACCCGTCGTTCAAGCTGCAGGACACAGAAGCGGCGTACCTGACCGAGTCGCCTTGGAACGGCGGGTGCCCCGTCAGCAGCGTGTAGACGATGCAGCCGATGGACCAGAGGTCGGCGGCGTACGAGTACGGCTTGCCGAGGAGCACCTCGGGCGCAATAAAGTTGGGCGTCCCGCAGATCGTCGATGGCAGCGCGTGGCGGGTGACACTCGTCGCCAAGCCAAAGTCGGCGATCTTGAGCGTGCCATGCTCGGTCACGAGGAGGTTCGAGAGCTTGAGGTCGCGATGGATGATGTGCGCGCGATGGAGGTAGTCGACGCCAGATATGAGCTGGTAGACATAGTGCTTGACCTCATCCTCGACCACGGCCCTGCATGGACGATCGTCGGTATATGCATGAGAGTCGATGGATCGCACCGCTTGCCCTTGACGAGCGCCTGCAGGGACCCATGCGCGCATGGCTCGAGCACGATGAAGACGTTGCGCGCGTCCTGGAAGACGTCGAGGATCTTGAGAATGTTGGGGTGGTCCAGGCTGCGCTGGATCGCCAGCTCCTGCATCTCCTCGGACCGTGCCTGCGACTTGGACTGCGTCCGGAGCTGCGCATGCTGGAGCTTGTCGACGACCTTGATGGCGACGAGCTCTTCGTCGCGGAGGCGCTGTGCCCAGTACACCTGGGCCGAGGACCCGGACCCGAGGAGGTCCCCGAGCTCGTACTCCTCCAGCATCCCCGCCATGTTGCTGTTTAACCCAGGCTTTAACGTATAGGTTTTACTCGCGTCTTTCGAACGCTCTCGAACCCAGGATGGCGCATCAGGGATGGCGCCTCTCTCGTAGCGCTTCCCATAGAGCTGTCGCCAGTGTGTCTTTGGCGCCACTCGACATGCTACTCATGCAAGGGCCGCCAAATTTCCCGCAACTGCGGCGCTCCAAGGTGCAGAAAAGGCCCACGAGCGATCCAGATACCCTCGGAACAGCGCGTAGCTGCTCTGCGCTGCGCCATCGGGTGCGTCAGCTGCGGCGGCCAGCTGAGCGCTTTGTAGAAAGGCGGCCAGGACGAACAGCAGTCGCGAAAGTAGCTCGGTGCGCTCGACTTCAATGAATAAAACGCGATAAACCAGTGGGTTATTTGCTCCGGTCGTATTAAATGCCACAGGTAGAGCGAACGTGACCTCTGAAAACAAGTATGCATTCTGACAGTATAGAGTGGAACCTCCGATATTGGATAGTCCTGGGAAGTGTGTGGTTCAAAGAAAGATCCACGCAATGGGCCGACGCAGCTTCAGTCGCAGCCCGAGCCGCGGGCGAGGCCGCGGAGGACGCGGACTTCGCCGGAGCTTCAGCCGCGATCGCGGGCCGCGCGGCCGAGGACGTAGCTATAGCCGCAGCGCCAGCCGCAGTCGCAGCGACAGCCGCAGCAGCCGGTCGAGCTACAGCTCTCGGTCCAGCTCCGGGTCACGCTCGCGATCGCGTGGCCGCAAGAGCCGCAGCCGCAGCAACGCGTCCAAGGGCCGCAAGAGTCGCAGCCCAAGCCCCGACGACGGGGCCTCGCTGCATGTCGCGAACCTCACACGGTACTCTCGAGCGACTGGTGGTCAAGGCTCGTCAAAACTGCGTAGGAACGTCAACCCGGACCACCTGTCCGAGATCTTTGGCAAGTTTGGCGTTATCCAGAACGTGAACCTCGAGACAGACAAGGTCTCGCGCCTGTCCAAGGGTTTTGCCTACATTCAGTTTGCCAAGCGCGCGGAGGCCGAGACAGCCCAGCTTCACATGCACGAAGGGCAGATTGACGGCAACAAGGTCCAGGTCAACTTTGTCTTGGTCGAGCGCAAGTCGAACCGCAGTCCGTCGCGTTCGCCGAGTCGCAAGTCGAACGATCGCCGGCGCCGGCCGTCCCCTTTTCGCCGGAGGTACGACGAGCGTCCATACGGGCCAAAGCACGACCTTGCTGTGCCTAGATCGCCTCCGAACAATCGCCGCGCGAACTCGCCCTTCCGTCGACGGTACGTTTATCAACACGCCTGCCGCCCAGCAAGAAACTCATGCGTCACTGATAGGAGCCGCTCTCCGCCGAATGGCGGTCGCCGGGGTCCATCGCCCTTTCGCAGACGGTAGCTTACGACCCGCACGTGGTGCTGGACTCACGCTGGCCGCTCGCTCGTAGAAGCCCGCCCCGCGGAAATCCCCGATTCCAGAACGACCGCCGCCGGCCGTCGCCGTTCGTGCCCCGTGGCCGCCGCCCATCTCGGTCTCGCTCGCGGTCGCCGCCGCGCCGCCGTAGCCGGTCCCGCAGTCGCTCGCCACGGTATGTCCGAGGTTGTCTTGCCCGAACCCAGCCTATCACTGTAGTGGTGGATACCGCAAGCGAACGCGCAGCTTCAGCAGCCGGAGTCGCAGCTCCAGCCGCAGTCGCAGTCGCAGCCGCCGTCGCAGCCGTAGCCGTAGCAAGAGCCGTAGCAAGAGCCGTAGCAAGAGCCGTAGCAAGAGCCGTAGCAAGAGCCCGTAGGGTCTCGTCCATGATGATGCGTCGGCTTAACCGGACGCCTGCGTGCGAATGTATATCTCTGCATCTGGCTGCGTCATCGAGTTCAGCACCCAAGAAGCATTACGCTCCACGATCGCACTCCATGCGTCAGCGCTCGTACGGTACTGCGATGCTGGCCGGCGACCACGGCCCGTCGCGTGGTCGTCGCCGTCGTCCTCCGTCGATTCCTTTCTTTTTCGAGAGAATTGCGACCGTGTTCGCCCGTTTTATGGGTCCCCCCCTCCGCATTTTATTGCATTTCACTGTACGCGATACAAATCCCAAGTGTCAATAAATCGGAGATAAAAAAGTGTGATTGGCATAGGCCCATTTTGCGGATAGAACACGTAAAGGCTGACCATATTTTTGGATCCAGACCAAGCGCAGTCCGTACCATGCCCAGCACCCCCACGAGCCGACCGGCCAAGACCACCAGCACAAGCGACGCCGCCCACAAGCGCTGCGCCGACGACAACAACCTCGAGACGCTGACCGCAAGCGTCGAGACAGCGCTCATGGACGACGACGTCGACGTCACGATCGAACACACGCTCGTGCCCGGCGACTTGACACTCGGCCCGATCATCGGCCACGGCGCCTTCTCGACTGTGTACTCGGCCACGTACAAGGGCAAGGCCGTCGCCCTCAAGCGCCAGACGAAGGATGCCCACATCTTGCGCGAGCTCGCGATCCTCCAGCAGATCGACCACCCGCATTTGCTCAAGTACATTGGGTCGTGCGAGTACGAGCACATGGGCAAGAAGGAGGTGTGGATCGTGTCCGAGTTTTACAAGGGCGGCGACGTGAGTAAGTTATTGAAGAAGTCGACCAAGAAGCGCGACGCCTTGTCCTGGCTGCAATGCGTCCAGATCGCACTGGACGCCGCCGATGCGCTGCAGTATCTCCACGAGCGCAGCATCATCCACCGCGACGTCAAGTCGGCCAACATCCTCGTACGCTCCATCTCGCACACGTTACCTCTCTCACGCCCTTTTGTAGCTTGACGCCAACCTGCGCAGCCGCCTCTGCGACTTTGGCTTTGCGCGCAAGGCCGTGCACCACGACGATGGCCACGACGGGTACTCGTCGGACGAGAACGCTGGTGGGCGCATGCGACGCAAGATGTCGCTCTGCGGCACGGACGCCTACATGTCCCCGGTACGCTTTCTCGATCTCACCGCATCGGCCACACGCGTGCCTAGGAAATGTACTTCAACGAAGACTACAACGACCGCGCCGACATGTACTCGTTCGGCGTCGTGCTCATCGAGCTCATTTGCCGGCGTGAGGTACAATCTTGTGGATGGATGAAAGCTGACGCGTTCGACGCAGGTCAACAAGGACGACTTTCTCCTGCGCGTTCCGGCCAAGAACTTTGTCATCGACCTCGACGAGTTCCACGCTGCCGTGCCCGCCGACTGCCCGCCGTCGCTCGTGCTCCTCGCTGACAACTGCACGTCGTTCGAGCCCGACGGCCGGCCCAGCAGCCACGAGGTTGGTATCTTATTGCAGCTTATTGCCCGTGAGCTCATGCCAACTAGGTGGTCGAATGGCTCGAAGACCTCAAGAAAGACCTTGTCGAAGCGGCGATCGCGACGCCCGAAGCGTCGGACCCGCTCGACGACGAGGTGCGCTCCGTGCTGGAAGAGTCGTCGCGGTTCTCGATCGCCGTGCACGAAGACGAGGCGCCGCCGGCGTACGAAGGCGCGCTCCTTTTGCGCAACTGCGTCGGTCGCTGGCGCCAGCGCTACGTGGTCGTGCGTGACTCGACGCTGGTCGTGTACAAATCCCAAGCCGTGTACGAGGAGATTGCCCAGCTCGAGGCCGACGGGCACCAGAAGATCAAGCACAAGCCGTCGCCCGTGCCCTTGGACCAGTGCCAACTCTTTCAGGTAACGACGCCGCTGGTCAAAGACATCTCCGTCTTCGGGCTCCGCATCAATATCCCGACATTCATGCATCGCCTGAAGAAAAAGGCCCGGCGCTGGACGCTCAAGAGCAAGAGCCTCCATAACAAGTGGGCGTTCCAGGCCGCGTCGCTCCAGGAGATGCAGCTCTGGGTCGCGCTCTTTGTACGCGCGATCAAGGTCGCCGTGCACCAGTCGCCGTGCCCGTCCAAGGCCATTGCCGAAGAAACCTCGGTCGACACGAACGACGAGATTTACAAGTGGCTCCACGCGCTCGGCGCCGCACAGTACCATGCGACCTTCAAGGCCAAGGGCTTTGGGACGCTCGACTTTATCCGCGAGGTACCTCGCTCTCGATACACTGATAGATTGATGATTCGATTTGCGCAGACGGGGCTCGGCGAAGACGACTTCAACTTTCTTGGCATTGAGAGCGCCAAGGACCGCGACGCGCTCACCACGGCGGCGCTCCTCCTCCGCGGCGAAGCGTACTAGCCTCCGCCTGTCTGTATGTACACAACGAGAATATGATGATGATGCAACCTGTAAGAAAACTCGTCTCAACCTACTATCCACACGTCGTCGTGGGCGAAGCGCGCGAGCGTGCACGCGCCCCTGTACCCGTTGCCGTCGTGAAGATGTAGCTGCCCGAGGAGGTCGTGGCGCAGCAGAATCAGCTCCCGCGTCAGTCGCCGCTTGAACCCCGGCAGAGACGTGAGCGACCCGGTGAGGACGATCGACGCGGCGAGGTCGGCGCGCACCACCGGGTTGCAGCGGTCGATCGCGCAGATGAGCGCATCCTGGAGGCTCGTGTTGCCTACGAACGAACCCTAAACACGCGAAGTGGTCGCGAGCTCCGAGTACCGTCGTCGCAACGCCTCGGGTGGAAGAGCTCTTCGGGGCCTTCAAAGAGCACCGCCGACGACGTGCAAAGGCGCTCGTTGCGCCACGTCATGTGCACGTCCGTTGGTCTATAGTAGCATGAGCATCAAGGCTAGAGAGAATGAGAAAATGTACTGCTTGGTGCGCTCGGCGGCCACGTCGTAGGCCACAAACCCATGCATCGTCTACGCAGCGTGCATGGATCGACTGCTGCGGCTGTCGTGCACTGTACCAGCAGGTGCTCGGCCGCGTCATGCTGGTCTTCCTCGTCGAGGACGGCATCAAATGCGCCATGCCCGCGCAAAGCGCCCCAGGTGGCGCTGAGGACTGCATCGCGGCCGCCGGGCACATTCATCGTCGCGTGGGCCACCTACGACACTCCGTAGAGCGCAATGTGCGCGTCGTCTCACGTACGATGCAGTCGTTGTAGATGGGAACGATGGTCGTGGAGTACGGCCCGACGTCGACGACGACGCCGCTCGAGAGGCCCGCCGCTCGCAAGACGACCTCGGCCGTCGTCGTCAGCAGCAGTGCCGGCACGCAGAAGTCGTGCAAGAGCAAGCGCGAGACGCGCGCGCGCTCGGACGCTGTCCAAAGCGGCGGGTGCACGAGCACGACCTGTGGTCCGTGAAGCACGTTGGTGCGACGAGGCGGCGACCTACCTTGAGCGTCTCGCTGGGGGCACCCAGTCGCTCGAACACCGTACGCAGGCACCGTCGCAAGGGCGCTGACCGGTCCACGAACGTCGGCTGATACCGCCGCGAGGCCAAGGACGCAATCGACGGCGCCTGCAAGAAGATGCAGTCCTGTTCACGGTTCATGGCCCAACGCACCTCGAGCGAAAGCGTCGGAAGCGGCATCGTGTCTTCGTCGTCCGGGACAATGCCTGCTTGGACGCGCGCGGCGCTCTCCATGTAGAGCACGGCTGTGTCGGGCACCTTGTCCGGCGGCAGGTGCCGGGGCGCGTCAAGGAGCCGTCGACCAAAGCAATTTTGAATCCACGTCAGCGCCGCGTCATCGCCTTCTGTCGCGTGCACCATGCACTCGGCCAGGGCGTCGGCCTCGCCCGTATGCAGCTCGTGCAAGAAGCAGGCGGCGACCGTGTCGTAGACGCCGCTGCGCAGCCGGTCGAGCGCGGCGGTCGTGGCGGCCACTTGTGTTTCGAGAGCGTGCAACTGGGCCGCGTGCACCGCCGCCCGCGCCGCCGCCACGGCCGCGACGGCCTCGAGCTCGCTGGTGAGGCCATCGATCGTGGCCCACAGCCTCGCTTCGTTCTGAGTCTCCGGCTCCACATTTGGCGGCACGTCGTCGCACGGCGCGGGTCGGCTCTCGACAGGTGCGTCGGCGCTCGCCACCGGCGTCCGCGGGCGACGCACAGGTATTCGCGACGCACTTGCCGAGATGTGGTCGCTCTTGGAGGACGCGGTGGCCACGATCAGCGCCGTGCCCGACAGGCTCATCGAGCGCATCCGGAGGCGCTTCACCTCGTCCATCTGTGTAGCAGGTTCGCTCTATTTATAGTGGGCGAGAAAGGCGGCGTCATGAAGCGCTTCCGCCACAAGCGGGCCGCCGGCGCGGTCCGACGATGCTTGATGGCGCGCAGCTGACGCGCCTTTGTAGGTGCGCGTGGGGGCCGAGCCGCCAGCGAAGATCCCGATCCGCATTGAGCGACCTCGCCTCCAAGCCACGCCGCCCGCCAAATACGACGTCCAGCCGACGAGTCCCGGCGTAAACCTTGGGGACACCGAGGTGCGGCAACTGTGGCAGTCGTTGGAGGCCGTCACGATGGAGCTCGAGTTTGCAGCGGCCGTCACCGCGGCCACCAAGGAGCGCCACGCGTGCGAGAAAGCCTACTGGGCAACCGTCCTGAGCGCGCGCGACGCGACGATCGCGGCCCAGACCCAGCTACTGCAGCGTCTCTGCACCGCTGCCGCCAGCCAAAACATGCACATTTTGGACGCCGTAATCCTCGACCTGGCACCGTTCGTAGACCCGGCGCTCCTTCGCGCCAGCAGCGAGCGAGCCTCCATGGGGCGCCACGACGTGGATCTATCTCGACCGATAATGGCTGATGCCGCTACGGCGTGGAGCCTGTCGGACATCGCTTCACCACTAAAGCAAGGCGACCTGTGCAGTTGGCGCGATGACAGCGACGTCGCAGCTGAGCCCGAAGACTTCACCGCATGCGACAGTCCAGATGAAGATGATGCAGCAGTCGAGGTTGTCGCCCTACGGCGCGTCGCTGCAGAGACCGCTGCGATTGCAAGCTCACTCAGCTCTTGGGTCGTGCCGACCCGCAGCGTCCAGCGCCCCGAACCCATTCAAGTTGAAGTACAGCCGTTGCCCAAGCTGCAACTCACACCAGTCCACCGGGCCAAGCTAATCATTAGCAAAGCCGACCACTACGCATCTTATTCTGCTTTGTTGACACTTGAGACACCTTGTCCTCGGCGCAAGCGAAGCGTCGGCAACGCGACCGTTCAAGATCGTCGCAGCAGTTCGAAGAACCTTTTATAGTAGATATATTGCGAGGGCTGATGGCAATATCGTTTTATAGAGGAAAATCGAAAGTGCAAAGTCGACGTGAGTGGCCAGCGTGTGTGGCACAGCATTTACTGACTGCGTAATTTTCCCTACGAAGCTATAAGAACTATGTTCCGCAAGACCGTCCAGCGCGCCATGAGCACGGCCGCGGCCTCGGGCGAGGCCACGATCGACGGCTTCGCCAAGATGCACGCGCCCAAGCTCTCGCTCTTCGGCCTCCACGCCAAGTACGCCAACGCGCTCTACTCGGTCGCCTCCAAGCAGAACGTGCTTGAGGCCGTCGAGGGCGAGCTCAAGACGATCCATGAGGAGATCGCCAAGAACCCGACCTTCGCCGAGTTCCTGAAGGACCCGACGATCGCGCGTGGCGAGAAGAAGGCCGACATTGCCAAGGTCATGGACGCCGCCAAGTTCTCCAAGCCCGTCTCGGGTTTGTTCACGGTCCTTGCCGAGAACGGCCGCCTCGGCGACGCCAAGCACGTCATTGCGGCGTACAACCGCTTGATGCGCGCCCACCGTGGCGAGGTCCAGGCCAAGATTACGTCGGCCGACCCGTTGACGAAGGAGCAGCTCGCGCAGGTGCAGACCGCGTTGAAGGCCCGCATCCAGAAGGGCGAGACGCTCCTCTTGGAGACGGTCGTCGACCCGACGATCCTTGGCGGCCTCAAGGTCCAGATCGCCGACCTCTTTATCGATCTCTCGCTCTCGACCAAGATCGAGAAGATTCACATGATCCTCTCGACCCGTCAATAAATGTCCTGGCGCGCCAGCCTGGCTTCTACTAAAGTGAACACGGCGTATATTTGATCGTAGTCTACCACTACTTGCGCTTGATGGCGGCTGCCAAGTCTTCCTCGTCCGAGCTGCTGCTATCGTCCTCGACCGCCGGCGCTACCTTCTTGGGCGGCGACGGCAAGTACTCGCTCTGCACATGCATGACGACGTCCTCTTCTTCGTCGCTGTCGCTGTCGTGCATCTTGGTGTCGGCCATCACCGGCTTGGGTGCCACGTGGACCGTCTGCGTCAGCTGATGAAAGTGGTCGCGCGCGGCCTGCGTGATGGCGAGACCTTCTACATACTTGTTCTTCGTCCCGAGGTCCCTGTCGTGCAGCGGCCTACCTGTGGACGACTCGAGCGACGCCATGAGCTCGCGCGTCGCCGCCTTCTTAACCGCGGGGTCGTCGTTGCGCAGCGGAATCGGCGCATGCAGCGTCGCAAAGTCCACGATCTCTTCCATGGCCTTGTCGAGGCCCGACACGTCGAGCGGCACAGCCCTCTACACATCGCACGCTAGTACCTCCAGTAGCGCACCAAGTTGGGTCGTACTTGGGTCGAGAGGGCGGCGACCGACTTGTCGTGAAACTCCTTGCCGCGCAAGAGGGCCCGGCGCTGCTCGATCGCGTCGCGGTCGGCCGTCTCGGTGGCCTCCTTGAGCATGTCGGTCAGCTCCTCCGCCTGCAGAAACGAGCGTTTGGTCGAGCCTACGAGGTGCAAGAGCGCGCACCTTGGCCGCGGCAATGTTGGCACAGCGCAGCACAACGTCGGTCGAGATCGAGACGCCGCCAATCTTGTGGACGGCGCAGAGTTCCCGGAACGAGTTGAACGTGTACGTGATCGCGCCGTCGACGACCTTTTCTTCGCGGTCCGTCGGGTCAATGAGCACGACCGGGTCGTCCTGGTCGTTCTACGCATGGTCCCATCAGTACCCGCTTGACACAAGAGCGGGCGTACAGCGTCCAGCTGCACAAAGCTAAACGAGATGGACACTGGGATGTGGTGCAAGCTGAGCGGGATGAGCGCGCAGTCCGGGTCGTCTACTCTCCGAATGAGCGCCAAGAGATCGAACGCAAGGACGCACTCAGCGTCTCGGGGCGACGAAAGTGCATGAGCGCTGCGATCGACGCGATCGAGACGGCGTCGACGAGGTTGCCGCCGTGGTCGAGCACGTGGATCGTGCACTTGATGGCCCAGACGCTCTCGCCCGCCACGATCGCCAGCGCTTCCGTGTCCTAGCGCACAGAAGAAGGTCGTATGCCATGCGATACATGCACGGGGTGTAGATTACGAGAGCCTTGCAGTCGCGGATCGAGCGCTCAACGATGCGTGAGAGCTCGGCCGACCATGCCTTGTGGGCCTGCTTGTGCTCAAAGATCGCCGCGCCCATTGGCGAGAGCTCGACGCTAAACTGAAGAAAGCCTTCGGTCGGTCGGTCCGGGAACGGCGCGACGACTTCGCCCGAGACGACTGCCAGCACGCGCGTCCGGCCGAGCTGCAACTCGCACTCGCTCTGGGACTCGTGCATGCTGCGGCGCAGCGAGAGGTTCATGCGGCGGAACTCGAGGAGGCCACGGCCATCGGCGCGCTGGACCGCGTTCTCGGACTTTTGGTTCTTCAAGGCCGCGACGAGGAAGTCGCGCTCGTTGCTGCTGAGCATCATCTTGGCCGCGCAATAAGATTTTTAATTGGATGGTCGTTGGCTGTTCGGATAAAAAGATGGTATCCGGCGGCGCCATCGCCAGGCCCAAGATCCACCTCGCGCCAGCAATGCGAGCTCACCATCGCGGAGCGCTTGGTGCAAGGTACTGCTGCGCTCGCTTGGTGCTAGTGTTGCGGCCCGTGTCGGCGCAGCCACTGGGTTGTCGGAGCCTGGCGAGCCCATTTCACCAGCGCCGTTCCACTGTTTTCGTCGCCATACACTGTATACGATTCGCAATTGCTAATAGCTGGCCGCGTTGAGTACAGCGACGTTGGTGCCATGAGCACTGCAGCACGTTTGGGCAGTACGCTAGTCGCTGGCTGCGCTAGCGTTGAGCCAAGTGCAGTGCAGTTGTGCCTTTGGATTGGTTGAAAATCTTGTATTTTGGCCAATGAATGGGCTCTCTCTGGCGTCTACTTTCGATATCTTTTCGAGCGATGGACGAAGCGGACAACCTGATCGCGCAGACGCTGGCGCAGAGCGGGTACGTGCGGCGAGGAGCCTCGTCGTGCATCAAGTCGTGCTAGATGGTCCAAGGAGCTGCCGCGGATTGGCGCCATGGCGGGCGAAGACCTCGTCCCTCTCGTGGCCTGGGGCCTCGGGCGAATCGATGGCGCGAGCGATGTGGCCGCCCCGTACCCAAAGGGGGTCGCCCAGCGGCATCGCCTAGCCGCAGCCTTTGCGGAGCGGATTAAAGCACGTGCATGGATGATTGCGCTGTCGCCGCTCATGGTGCTGGTGGTAGGCGCATGGATACAATGGCGACTGCGGCTACAACCACTTGCTGTACCCGAGCGAGTACGACACCCGCCAGCTCCTGCTCTGGCTCGTGCAGAAGCTTCCAAAGGTCGAGCGCGATGACATGGACGAAGCGTCGCCCGAGATGCAGGTGCGGAAGACGCTCGCAGACGCACTCTCGTTCTGGATGCAAGCGCCTGCCCCGTCGTCGTCGGAGCTTGCTCCCAACGCGATGGCTACGATGCCCCGGGCCTCGCCGCTACCCGACTTTTTCCGCACGAGCGCCACCTTGGGTACGCGCATGCTTGTCTAGTGCATAGCTTACGCCACACAGCGCGCAGCACCTATGTCGCGACCAAGCAGCCTCTTGCGACCGACGCGAAGCTCGTATCTCAGCACAAGCAGCTTTCGCTCCTAGCGCTAAACGAAGCCAGCGCGAGAGATGACGGGCATGCGTCACGCGCAGCGCTCTTGTCCAACGTATCATCCTCGGTACGCGTCCTTGGTCAAGTGACCTCGTTTAGGACAGCCCTAGGTGCCTATCGGGGTGACCGCTGCCTTGCAGTCGCTTGCTCTGGCGCCGCCCGTCGCCCCGTTGTCTGTTGCTTCTTCTAGCACGCCATCGCCTGTTCGAGAGGCCGTCCCGCTGCCTGCCTCCGAACCCGCAGACAGTCGTGTGGCGACATGGCGACCGGTCGCTGTCCACGTCGACACGGCGGCTCTCGATGCCCAGGTGTGCGTCGCCGCATCGCTCGATACCTACCGCGCTCTGTAGAAAGCTCACGTGCTCGCTCTGCAAAGCCAGTACGAGGCTACAGCTGCGACAGTCGAGCAGCTTGAGGCGCAAATCACGCTCGCGACGAAGCACCAGGCCGCGGTACGCCCAACCAAAGGTCGCACTGCCGCGAACAGTGACGTAGGTCGCTACCCACCAGCAATCCGTCGAGGCAGAGCTCACTGCGCTCGAGCACGACGTCGACATTCGGCAACAGACCCTCGATATGGTGGCGGATGCATCGAAGAACATGGCCAAACTCCAGGTGCGCGAGCTTGGGTGCACGCTTCTCGAAGCCTGAGTAGGCGATGTGCGACGCCAGCACGAAGCGACTGGCCGCGCTGTCGGTCGAGTGGGCGATGCACCGTGCCCCGTTGGACGCTGCGATCGCGGCCCAGTCCGAAGCGGAGTGCGCTTACGAAGCTGACTGCCGCCGCCTCCACGACACGATCACTGCGTACCGTGACGAGCTGACGAGCTTAGGTACACCGAGCATGAGACTGCTGGTTCATGGCGCGGGTAGTCGAGAGCGTCGGGCAAAAGAAGACGCAGCGCGAAGCACTTCAGCGCAAGTACGCGGCCGCGCCCAAGTCGATCAACCGCAGCGTGTACACGTCGCGCATCATGGACATCATCAAGCAGGTGCACAAGCAAAAGGCCGACATCGCCAAGGTACGTCCCGTCTCTGCCATCTGGAGAGGCTGACATGGCTCTAGATTCTGCACGACATTCGGCTGGTCCAGAAGCACATCAACGTCTCGTCCGAGAAGCTCAAGCGCAGCGAGGCGATCGCGGAGGAGCGGCTCTTCCACGCGGCCAACGACGCGAGTCACAAGAGCGACAAGCGCACGCAGTACGTCGAGTGCTACCGCCTCTTTACGACGATTCGCGAGCTCTTTGACGAGCTCATTCGGTGCGTCTGGCTCGGCACCGCTTCGCTCAACTTTGGCTAGATGCGTCAACGACGGTGGGAAGCGCGAGAACCAGACGCGCGACCTCTCCAACTGGATCGCGCAGCTCTCCAACCGCCTCAACGTGGCCAACTGCGACCAGATCGAAGCCGACTTGGCGCTGGTCCGCGATGAGAACAAGGCGCTCGTGGCGCAGCTTCAGACGCGAGGATAACACGCATGCAAATGAATTGCCGTCGTCTTACATGCCACAACTAAAACTGCTTGGCTTCGTGCTGGGCGTAGAGCTTGTGCTGCTTGGTCTGCCATGCATGGAGCGCGCGCTTCCGGCCCGAGACGAGCCCGATCGAGGCGCACGCGTCAATGAACATCTTGGAGGGGTTGTACTGGCCTTTCGCGCCGAGCTCGCTGCAGGCGTAGTCGTACGGGAACGTGTGGTGCCAGTTGTGCCAGCCTTCGCCCACCGTGAGGAGCGCGACCCACCGGTTCTCGGTCGGGTGGATGTTGGGGTCGTATGGCGTCGAGCCGTAGAAGTGGGCGACGCTGTTGACGAGGCACGTGCAGTGCAAGATGAAGACGTACCGCACAAAGCCCGCGACGAGCAGTGCATGCAATACGTCTTCGTTCCAGCCATAGTAGGCCACGAGCGTCGGAAAGATAAAGCTGCAGACGAGGTCCGAGTACGGCGAGCCCGCGAGCTGCAACTGCACGACCCAGTCGTCGAGGAGATCGTCGCACGACGTCGTCTTGCAGGCTTCCGTAAACTTGGGGTGCTCCTTCGTGAGCAACCAGCCAATATGGGCGAAGAAGAGGCCGCGGCTGGCCGTGTGCGGGTCGGCGTCGGTCTCCGAGTACTTGTGGTGAATGCGGTGGTCGCGGACCCATTCGACGATTGCGCCTTGGTTGGAGACGCTAAAGCAGAGCATAAGGAAGAGGCGCACGGTCCAGTGGGCCTGGTAGCTCTTGTGCGTCCAGAGGCGGTGGACGCCTGCGGTGACGCCGAGGATCGAGAACTCGGCGAGCACGGCCGCGAAGAGCCACGTCTTCCATTGGCACGTTGGCACGTAGAAGAGGCCGATGGCCGCGAGCACATGGCAGGCGCCCTGGAAGCCCACCATCGGCCACTTGATCGAGGCCCAGTGCTCGGCCAGCGTCCGGCTGCGCGCTGCTTCCTTCGTCATATCCCCGAGATCCAAGAACGAGCCAACCCAAAAATACGCTCGGACCGCCAAAACCCCCGGCGCCCGAAGATCGAAGATACACTTTCGCTTCGGTTTCGAACTTCGGTGGTTGGGCCGGGCTCCCTCCTCCGACGCCGGCCCGCTCGTACAAGTATACTCAACTCGCATATTGCTCGCTTTCTTCTCGATATAAATACACACGCGTGGACGTCGCGGGACGACGCGGCGGCCCCCGTGGGCGCTGTGTTCTTTTAATACATACCGTTCTTTTAATCGAAAAAGAAGATCTTTTACGCTGGCGCCAGAGGTGGCCTGCGAAGGCTTCCCGTGTTACTGCGGTTCCTTTCAGCGCGACCACCGATTAATATAGCTATTTGCCCAGCTATTTGCCCTTGACTCGACCGCTTTGACCCATATATATGGCTTTGACCTCCACAATCCACGTCCAAAGCCCTCAGGTAAAGGGCCGGCCGGGCGCATGTAACGAACGCGGTAACTGCAATGTCACATTATTTTCGAAAGATATCGCGGAAATAGTGTTAGTACAAAGATCGCGATGGAGCCCAAGAAGCACCTCGTGCCCCGCGCCGACATCCAGCACACGCTGCACGCCCATTTCCAGGCGGCGAAAGCTCCAGAGAAGACCAAGGAGAAGCATGTGCGCAAGCATGTCGTCGCCTTCCTCCACGTCAAGAAGCTCAAGACGACGTCGGCCAAGCGCATGTTTGGCTCCTTTGGCAACTCGACCTGCAAGCTCCTCTGCATGACGGTACTGCGCAAGGCCTCTCGTGCATATGAACATGCAAGGTAGACGCACGATGTGGTCGAGAATGGCGCGACCAAGGTCGTGGGCCAGCTCCACTATGTAAACTTCCAAGCCAACTACACGATCGACTGCCGGAAGACGTGGGCGCTCGACGACCTCGAGTCGCTCGAGGACTGCTCCGAGGACGTTGTGAGCTATCCGCGCGGCAGCTTTCGCCTCAAGTTCCGCGACAATAAGGACGCCAACGAGCCGTTCCATTGGGTTGCCCATGCCAGCGTTCGTCGTCGTCGTCGCCATCGCCTCTGCGCCAACCGAATGCGTATCGTAGGAGTCGCCGACGGCCATGAAGGAGTTTGTTTGGGCGCTCTCTGCCTTGTACGTCGATACGCAGGTGCGTGCGTCCTCGTCTGCCACATCGTTTCTATTGGAGACGTAGCATGTCGTGGCCGAGTCGACGTTTTCGCTGCAAGAGCTGGCCGAGCTCGCGACCGCAAACGACCTTGCAGGCAAGTACGGGCTCGATGTGGACTTGCTCGCCTTTCAGGTACGCTGCCGCTCGTCACGCCATCGCATGGACCAAGCATACGCCTAGCAAACGCCGCAGCACACCGAGCGACGCCGCAGCTGGGACGTACTGGAGGCCCCGGCATCGCCCGCCAAAGACACCACAGTGACCGTACGACCTACGCCACATTCTATCTGCGGGGCGATCGACAAATTGTAGAAGTCGATCGAGGTGGCCGATGCCGTCGCGCTCCTCGCGACCGTCGATTGGGACACGGCGTCGGTCGAGTCGGTCGAAGCCGCGTGGCACGACCGCTTGCGACTGCTGGACGACGCCAACATGGAGTTTCTCCTGACGTTCCAGGGCACGTCGAATGGCGACGAGAAGAAGGCGATGGACCCACTCCTCGCAGCCATTGATGGCGTCCTGCGCGAAGTCAAGATGGCCGAAAAGTGGACCGAAGACGCCGACACTACGCTCGGCAACACGTCCGCCAACATGGCGCAGTTCGAGTCGCTCAACAGCCAAATGGAGGTTCACTTCAAGAACAGCGTCGCGCTCGAAGGCGCCCTTCGAACCCTCATCGAGGTATATTAGTATCAATGTGTCAAGTCGGACCGTGCGAATGACAAGCAGGCCGTCGACGTCCCGCGGGAGCTCCTCGGACCGCTTCTCAAGCCCGTCGGCATCTTCCCGACCCAAAACAGCCCCGAAGCCGACCCGAGTGTTCTTGCGACCATCGTCGCCGCAGTCCAGCGCGTGGACGCCGCCATCAAGTCTGTCGACGCGTACCCGGCCAAGCACGTATGCCTCTCTTCTTGCGTTCAGAAGCCCTCTGACGGCATGTAGATGGCCGCGTTCCAAGCTCGGCGGGACGAGTTTGTCGCGATCGGGAGCAACTTTAGTGAAAAGCTCGCGGGCGGCCTCGACCTCTTTCTTCAGCAGCGCGTCAAAGCGTGTCTCCAAGGTCAGTTGACGCGTCGTATCATCCTACCCACTCCTATGACGACTAGAAAAGGCGCAGAACCGACGGCAGTCCGTGAGCTCGGCCAACGACATGCCGCGCAAGACCCTCCACGTCTTTGGCCGCGACCGCGAGGCCTCGGCACTCCCGCCAAAGGACAGCCGGTAGTCATTCCGGTGTGCAGATTAGGAGGCAGTGTGGTGTAGTGTGCGCAGCCCCAGTACGGCGAGCGCCGACGACGCCGACTGGAGCTTTTGCAACGACACGCTCCATCGCGAGCTCAGCAAGTACAAGGTAGCGTCGTCACACTCACCACTGAGAAACCAACGAGCGGTAGGAACTCTGTTCCAGCGTGAGTGTGCTCAGCGGACGCGCCACGACGCACCTCCGCGATATTTACGCCAAGCACGTGGCGCAGATCTACGGGCCGCACGTCCAGACGGTCTTTCGCGCACTCAAAGAAAAGGTACGCGTCTCCTCCAAAATGCGTCGACCGACTGCTCGTGCGAAGCTGCCCAAGGCCAAGGCGGCGACAAGTCTGCCGGGCAAGTCGTCGTCGTGGAGCCTCACGCTGTCGTTCTCGCACGCGCCCGAAGTGGCCTCGACCATTACCGCGTCGCAGCTGCTCAAGCAAGGCCTCGATCACGTAGCGCCGTGTGGCGAGCTGCCTGTATCTCACTATGGCACCGTAGGTGCTGCCGTTGTGCGCGTCCGAGCAAGCGTTTGTGCAAGGCATGTTCTTTCACAGTGACGGACCAGGCATCGCGGGACAGCGCAAGGCCAAGTGCGAGCCGCCAGAGCTCACGAGCATGATGGAGGCTGTGTTTGAAAAGTACGGATCGCTCGCGCCTCTCATCGTCGCATGGACAACGATAGAATGCTCAAGCGGCTGATCGACTTTGCTGAGGCCGGCGTGCACAGCAACATGATGGAAGCCTTGTCGATGATCGTCACGGCGCAAGTCGCGGCCAGCGACGTCAAGAGTGACTTTGTGACCAACACGCTTCTCTACTTGCAGCTCCACCTCAAGCGCGTCTTCTCCAAGTACATTGAAGAGCAGGTTGTGACGAGGTTGCTCGTGCCTCTCTTTCTGAGCGCGGCCGTTTAGGAAGCTTGGCTGGAACACATACACCCGGACACGCGCCTCGTCGGCGTCCTCGGGCCCGTTCAAAAGATGATGGTGCAGTGTGCTCTTGTGGTGGTGCTTCATCGGCGTATAGACGCTGATCGGGCGTCTCGAAGGCGCAGGCGATGGCGCCCATGACGAGGCCATCTTGGCACCGATCTACGACCGCCTCGTCACGGGTCTCTTTGCGTGGCTCGAGAAGGCGGCGACGACCAAGCCCAAGTACAGCCACCTCGTGCGCCTCGGTAGACACACTGCATGCGCCTCGGGCCTTCATGGTCGGCTAGAAAACTACCATTTCATGCACGACAAGCTGACGGCGCTGAGCCTCCACGGCGGCCACTCGGACGTCGTGCTCAAGTACACGCAGCTCGTCTACGATGAGTACAATAAGAACTTGGCGGCGTACGCGGCGTGGCTCTGGCGCTGCGAGTGCGACCAATACATCGTAGCCAACTCGTCCATCTCTGCACTGCGAATGACCATGGTCGTGTAGGCCATCTTTGAGTCGATCGCGCGCTTGCTCTCGAGCGTGCCCGTCGGCGAAGTCCAGTTCCACGTCTCCAAGCACGACGTGCGCAAGACGCTCGAGGCCACCAACCAAACCGTCCGTCCTCACGCCCTCGCATATATGGCACGCTGACCATTCCCATACTAGCTCGAGAAGGCCATCAAGCACATTGGTGATCGGCTCAAGAAGCATCTGAGCCACAGCCCGAGCATGGTCACCGTCGTGAGCCAGTCGCTGCAGGTACACCATCTCCGTCGCTCATCTCATGCATGTACTGCCTGTAGACGGTCGTGCTCGAGCAGCATGCCACGTTCGGCGCGATGGCCAAAGACTGCTACGACATGGAGCTTGTCCCGTCCATGGCGCGGCTCACGTCGCTCCTCGCCAAGCTGCCATGATGTTGTACGGATAAAGTAGACCACGTATCCGTAAGCTCAAAAATACCGGTGCTTTTCCGCCAATGAGACGCTCCGTGGCCGCTGACCAATCGTTTGCCGGTGGCGGACTCGAGGTCATTCGAAAATTCGTCCGTCTTAGCACCAGCGACTTTTCTACCAACATGGCTGCTGCTCGCCCCGTTGTCTCTGTGCTCTCGATCGCCGACGAGGCCGTCAAGGTCGTCTCGCAGATCGCGCTCCCCGCGGTCCTCACGGCGCCCATCCGCCCGGACGTCGTCACCTTCGTGCACACCCAGATGAACAAGAACAACCGCCAGGCGTACGCCGTCTCGCGCAAGGCCGGCCACCAGCACTCGGCCGAGTCGTGGGGCACGGGCCGCGCTGTCGCGCGTATTCCCCGTATCTCGGGCGGCGGTACCCAGCGTGCCGGCCAGGGTGCGTTCGGTAACATGTGTCGTTCGGGCCGCATGTTCGCGCCCACGCGCATCTGGCGCAAGTGGCACCGCAAGATCAACGTGAACCAGCGCCGCTTCGCCGTGGCGTCGGCTCTCGCTGCTTCGGCCGTGCCTTCGCTTGTCCTCGCCCGCGGTCACCGCATCGAGCAGGTCTCGGAGATCCCGCTCGTCCTCGACGACTCGGTTGAGTCGACGCAGAAGACGGCCGCCGCCATGAAGATCCTCGCCAAGATCGGTGCCCACGCCGATGTCGAGAAGGTCAAGGACTCGAAGAAGATCCGCACGGGCCGTGGCAAGAGCCGCAACCGTCGCTACTCGTTGAAGAAGGGCCCCCTCTTCGTCTACGCCCACGCCAACGGCATCGAGAAGGCCTTCCGCAACATCCCGGGTATCGAGCTCGTCCCGGTCGAGCGCCTCAACCTCTTGAGCCTCGCCCCCGGTGGTCACGTCGGCCGCTTCATCGTCTGGACCAAGTCCGCCTTTGAGCAGCTCGACACGATCTACGGCACGTACACCAAGAAGTCGGCCGTCAAGTCGGACTACACGCTCCCGCGCCACGTCATGACGAACGCCAACTTGGGCCGTCTGATTAACTCGGATGAAATCCAGTCGGTCATCCGCGCCGGTATCTACAAGAACACGCGCCGTGCTCACAAGAAGAACCCGCTCAAGAACCTCGGCGCCATGGTCAAGCTCAACCCGTACACGCTTGTCGCCCGCCGTGCCGAGCTCCGCGCCGAAGCCCTCCGCAAGGAGAAGAAGGGTGCCCTCGTCGCCGCCAAGCGCAACATCAAGTCGACGAAGAACGACCCCAAGCGCAAGGCTCAGTCGAAGGCTCTCTTCGCCAAGAACGCCTCGGACTAAGTTGTTCCTTGAGACCACAGGAAGTCAGCAGCTTCCGCAGCCACCACGCGCTGTTAATTCTTCATGGATCAACATGCATGGTTGTTGTGTCATTATCCCTTGTGTTTGTCTCGTCGCTGGTGGTCGACTAGTTTAGTTAGTCGACTCATCGACTGACTACATCCATGACGTGGCACGAAACCGCCGTATCCAACGTGTTTTACACCGTTTTACACACGTGCCTTCCCTATCCGAGCATACTGTTTCGACGTGCGAAACAAGTGAAAAACAGAAAGACACGCGTGGAAAATGCGCGTCAAAACGCTCCGGCGCTCAAAATTTGGATTTTCCAAACGCCGAAGGTTTCCGCAGAGTTCTATTTCGACGCCGGCGGGCGCGGGATGGACCGACTGCTCCACGGCCGCTTCGCGGAAGAGATGGAAGACTGGTCCGGCGACTTTGCGCTCTCGATGGACCCGCGACCGACCATCGCACCAACCAAGACGACGAGCAACGATGAGGACGAGGACGAGGATGACATTGAAGACTGGGACAAGGAGCTCACATGCACGACGCTCGACTATGATGGGTATGCATCCCAGCGCGAAGAGAACAACTCGTTCTTCCGATCGCTGCTGCCCAACGTCGACCTCCTCGGGGCGCCGCCCGCGCCTCTTGACGACCGCCTCGCGCCGAGCTCGCCCGACGCCAAGCGTGCGACGCTGACCGCTCCATGCTTACCCGACTCTCAGAAGCTTCTCGAGAATGCGCACGCGTGCTTCCGCAACGCGCCGAGTGGGCCGCCGCCGCTGGCCGCGGTGCGCGCGACGCCGCTCTTGACTCTCGAGGCCGACGGTTTTCCCGCGTTCAACGAAGCCCAGCTCCACGACTGGCTCCAGAACATCGTCCAGACCAAAGACGAAGCAGCGTTGGCCGAAGAAGCTCCGTGGTTGACGCCGTGCGACAGCGAGATCTTCCTGCACGCCAAGGGTGGCATCGCGGCCATGCGCCTCTCGCACGCCACCTTTGGCGCGCGCCTCTCCCATTGCATCCGCCGGCGTCGCGTGCTTGACGCGAAAAAGCTTCTGGAAGGCTACTTCCGCGACCTTGAGCTCGAGTCGTCTCTCCTTGTGGGGTGCGACGCCGATGCGTACATCCTTGGCGGCTGGAGCATGGAGTTCTTACAGCTCGCGATCGAAGCGCTGCTGCCGAATGAGAACCACCTCCTCTTTGCCGAGTATGCGGCCATCTGTGGCCGGCTCTACCCTGCGTGGCACGCTATCTGGGCGCTACTCGAGTGCCGGTACGTGCTGCACCACTGGGCCTTCTACGAGGGCGCCACGTATGCATGGCAGATCGACCTCGTTCTCGACACAAGCGTCGCGCTGCCGATCGAACATGGCCTCGGGCGGACCGTCGCCCTGCGGTATCTCGCGCTCTTGGCGGTCGCCGACGATCCGACGTCCTTACCAATCACAGTGGCGCTGGACATGGGACTGCTGAGTCTGGGCACGAGCTCGACGGCGATCCAAGTGGCCGTCCTCTGCGACGTCCAAGCCATGGCCGACCGCCGCAGTCCGCTGTACGACACGCCGATACCAAGCATTTTTAGCGACGACCTGCCACCCGTACTACACGCGAGTGACGCGCCGTCGTCAATGCAGTTGCTCGAACAAGACGGCGTCCACCGGCTCGAGTGGCTCGAGAGTCTCTACGCGCGTCTTGAGATGCCCCACGATATTTTGCTCAAGGCCAAGTGCGCACATGTGCTCGGGCGGTCCATGCTGCATTCGACGCCGACCCTCTGCGAAGCGCTCGCGATGGAAGGCCTCCGGCTCCTCGACGTCGGGTACGGCCTCGCCTTCCTCCACGGACCGTCCCAGCGGCAGGGCGTCCTCGGTCCGTTTGGCCGCGACACGCTCGAGCTCCTCGTGCGTGCCACCTGCGTACTTGTCGATCTTAGCCCATTCTCGTAGGGCGCGGCCATGCAGCACAACAAGAAGTACCCGTTCGCGATCGCAGCGTACGAGAGCGCGGCTCGCGTCTACTGCTTTGAGTTTGTCAACCGCCGCGGGTACGAGAAGCTCGATCGGCTCTGCTCGAGCGTCTGCTTGCACGAAGGCGACCTCGACCGCGCGCTCGTCTACCACGACCGCGTCCTCCAGTGGACAAAAGAGCTCGAGAACTGCCACGAGTTTGTCTACATCGTGCAAATGGTACACTCTTTCTTTGTCGACGCAGCTGATACTCATGGCTCTCAGATCACCGGCATTTTGCTCCAGCAGTGCCAGTTCCAGGTCGCGGAGACGCGACTCGCCGCCGCGTTCGTCGCCCTCCAGGACCCGACGGTGCCCAACTTGCCGCCGCCGTGCCTCTCGCCATTGCCGCCGCGCTGCTTCCACTTCAAGCTCCAGCACGACCTTGACGGCTGGCTGCAGCACATGATCTCGCTGCACTTGTGTCTCCGCGACGTGTACCGCGCGACGGGCCGCTGGCAAGATGCGCTCGCTGTGCTCCAGTACCTCCTCGCGTATGAGACCACGTACCGCATCAAGCTGCCCCGCGGCAAGCGCGTCGCGCTCACCCTCCTCGTCGCGGAAGACGCGCTCAAGATGCGCCAGCTCGAGCTCTGTCTCTCGATGCTGCGGACGATCGAGGCCGAGGCCACCGTATGCGCTCTCGCCTGCCACCAAGTACTACTATGTTGTGCGTGTTAGGACGCCAAGGACCACCGGTACGCGCTCGAGATTATGGGCTCCTTCCGCTACATTCGGTGTCGCTTCCGGTGCTACTTGTACAAGGCGCAGTGCCACCGCGCGAGCTTCTGGCTTGGCCTCGCGACCGCCAAGGCCAGCACAGTGCGCGAACAGGCCGACGTCGCGCTCTACGGTGCGCGGTGCCTCTTTGCCTTGCACGCGCGGTCGCTCAAAGAGTCGGTGGGCCTCTTGCGCGCCAGCAGCTCGCGCTGGAGCACGCCGGCCGACGGACCGATGCTGCGGCTGCTCACGGCGCACGAGCAGCGCGCCTTCCAGACGTACATGGAGCACCATTGGACGCTCGCCGGCTCGTACGCCGACGAAGCGGTCAGCCGCGTATGGACGGCGCTTGATCTCTACCGCACGCTCAACGACAGCGCGCGGCAGCTCAAGGCGCTCCTCGTGCTCATCGACGCCTTGATGGAGGAGCGATCGTCCGAGGACGTGGCGCCACTCGAGTCGTACATCAAGCAAGCGCTCGTCTTGGCCGGCGAGACCGCGCGCCCGATGCACATGGTGCGGTCCCTCGTCGCAAGCGCCACCGTGCGCTGCTGGAAGGTGGCGACTCCCGCCGTCGACATCGTCCAGCTCTACGAACAGGCGCTGCTCCTTCTCCAAGCAGTGTTTCTGCGAAAAACAACGTCGGTCGAGACGCCGTGGCAACCGCTGCTGCCCTTCGCTCCGAGCGTCTTGGCGCAGCTCGAGCGCGTCGTGGCGTCGCTCTTGGTGATTGGCGCGCACCTTGCGCGTCTCGAGTGGTCGGCGCCCTCGGACGTTCTGAGTTTAACCGATCTCCAGCGGCTCTACTGGAGCGTGAATGCGACCACGTACTGGACCAACAGCAACGACGTCACGGCGCCATGTATGCCCGACACGATGATGCTGGCGCCGCGCACCGCCTCGGGGAGTCGCTTGCCGCGCAGCGTGTACTCGCACCAGAAGCAGCTCTCGCTCTCGTCGCTCTCAGACATGATGGCGGCGGTGTTTCGTCGACCGAACGACCCGTTCCTCGTGGTGACGGCCGTGCCCGACCCGCCGTTCGCGTACGTGGGGCCGCTGCACGGGCACGGCGGGCTGCAGATGCCGCAGCCCGACGTCTCCCGCGTCCGGTCCTACTCGGCGCCGGTCGGCCACGAGGGCTCGGCGAGCTCCAATGCCGAGTGGGACGACACGGACCTCGAGTTGGAAGTTGACGGCGCAGGCTTCTGGCATGCGTGCTCGCAGGAGCACCGCAAGCACACGATGGCTCTCGCTACGTCGTACGAAGCGCTCGACGGCGCGTGGGGCGACTGGCACGCAGCCGCGATCGCCGACCACAAGTACATGAGCGGCCGCCTCACGCCCGCTGCGTACCGCGTCGCCAACCTCCGCCTTATCCACGACCTCTCGAGCCGGCAGACCACGCCGTCATCGGCCTCTTCGTGGCCGCCGACACCATGGCCGTGGAGTGTCTTGCTTCCGGTAGGACGCAAATGTAGTGCAAATTTGATCGAGTCCTTGTGGCGTAGACGGCCACGCATACGGTGGCGCTCGTCCAGCCGGGCGACGAGCCGCTGCAAGTGACGAGCTTCCGCAGCGCGCACATTGCCGATTGGCGGGCGCAGGTGACCAAACTCTGTCTTAACCCGACGCTGTCGTCGCTCGACATCAGCCGCGTCCTGCGCCTCCTCGGTCCCAAGGTCCCACCTCCAGTCGCGCTCGGTTTTTGAGGAAAATACAATGCAAATAGGTTCTTATCAAGGTGCTCTCGTCGGTCTTGCTCGAGACGCCTCTCGTTGTTGTGTCGTCGTCCGTGACACTCGTCCACGAAGTGATCTACGTCCTCCTCTACCTCTTGAAGCCCTTCGAGTGGCACTACCTCGTCGCGCCCTACCTCTCGCTCGCCTCGCTGAGCTCGCTCCTCGATCTGCTTCGCCTCTACACGCAGCACAAGACGCCGACAACGTCCGAGCCGCCGTTCATCGTCGGCGTCTCGCTCGACACGTGGCGCGAGTGCGCGTACCAGCTCTCGCGCTGGCCGCTCGCCAAGGCTTGTAGCGGCTGCATCAGCGTCCTCCACGTCGACACCGACGTCCCGAGCGTGTTCCAGAAGGCCTCCAACCCTGCGTTTGCCGTGCACCTGCCGTCCAAGCTGCGCAAGCTCGTGGTCGAAGCGGCGGTGACGAACGAGCCGTCGCACGTCATGGCGGCCATCGACCGCGTGTACGACATTGTGTTGCGCAGCTGCCAGAAGACCCACTCGTTCAAGCAGTGGTTCCGCCTCGAGAACCTCGAGTTCGTCAAGCTCTTCCAGCTCACGTGGACGTACCAGTCGTACCTCAAGACAACGGCCGAGTCAGTGTGATGAGACGCGAACGAAGCACATTAAGTTATAACTCGTCGTCGAATTTACATGGTGAGCTCCATGATGGCGTTGACGATGTCGTTGTCGTTCGACTTGAGGGCGGCAACGGCCTTGGCGCGCGAGACACCCGACTGCGACATGACGAGCTGGATGTCCTTGGCGTCGACGCCGGTCTCATCGACCTCGGCATCGTCCTCCTCGACGGCGGCCTCAGCCTCGACCTTGGCCTCGGCGATGGGGGCGGCCTGCTGCTGCTGGGCGAACTGCTGGGCCTGGGCGTTGAGGTCCTCGATCTTGGCTTCGCCGAAGATGACGTACGTCTCCGAGGCCGAGCTCTTGAAGACATCCGGCTTGGAGATGACGAAGAGCGTCGACTTGGACTTCTTGATCGTGGCGCGGATGATGCCGGGGATCTGCTTCATGCCGAGCTTCTGCATGGCCTTGCGCGACTTCTTCTCGGCCTTGTTCGTGATCGAGTCGTCCTCGTGGTGGTCATGATCGTGGTCATGCTCGTGGTCGTGGTCGTGCGAGTGATCGTGGTCAGCCATGTCTTCGAAAAGGGTTCGTTCGTCGAATGGCATCGCGCCACCAAAATGCATAGAGACCACCAATCAAACTCGCAGCCAATCACAGCGCCCGTGAGAATGCATTGGCCAATCAATGCACGCCATTGCAGATCCGCGCGCGGCCTGGAGTTTGGAGCTCCTGACTCAAGGCAACGAGCCCAACAGGCAACTGCAACCTCCCAGCGCCCGTCCCAGCGCTAAACACGTCCGGAGATGCGTGTTAGAAATAGCAAGGTTATGCATATCCTTGGGATTCGGGATGTGTCGCATCAGCGCAGTCCCATACACGCCAACTCGCACGCTTACTATGCCCCGGGCTGGTGTTCAAAGGGCGTAGCCTCCAGGTAAGGGCGACGGTAACGTTATGTGTGAATTGAGCCTCAGACTGCATGTAATATTTGAAATGATGTGAGCGAGATACTGGAGCGACAAGGCTGGCGCGCTCATCTTTTAAGTTACTGTAGAACAAGTCCAGCAGGCCAGAACAGAGCTCGCTGCGATGAACACTCAGAGCCGAACGCCGGGGTTGGATTGATCACTCACTAGCAAGCCTGCAGGGCTCCCACTCGACGCCTTTTCATAGCGCAAGCAGCATTTTATACCACTCCTCCCTAGCTCCTTCCACTAATACCACCTACAACTTCCTATTTCATGGCCGCTTCAATTCCCGTCATGGACTCGTGGACTCTGGTGAGCAGTCGCTGCACCGCTGTCTTGGCGCGCTTTCGCGTGTCAAGCCATCCGCCAATCAAAAGCCGTTCTAATTTTGGCCAATCGTTCGGGCCCAACGAAAGTGGTTTGATTGGTTATAATCCTCTCTATTTCATCGAATGGCATCGCGCGAAATTACTGGTGGGGGCGCGGGTTGTGCTTTCAAGGCTCTGCGTCGCGGAGCTTTACTCTTTCACAAGCCTCAGCAAAAGTACGTGCCATCATGAGCGAGGAGCCGAGGCTAAGCTCTGCGTCTAGTGAAGTTCAACTCGACTGTCACCTCGTCGCGCCGCAAGTGCCGCAAGGCCCACTTCGGTGCCCACTCGACCCAGCGTCGCGTGCTCATGAGCGCCAACCTGTCCAAGGACCTCCAGTCCAAGTACAACGTAAGTAGCTCATCGTAAGATGGAGCGGTACTCTTCCGTTCCCAGCGTAAGCCCATGTCGGGATGCTCCGTCATCCTGGCACTTCATGGCAGCTTTGAGGACTCGTGTAAGCTGCGCCGCCGACCAGAGATGCGCCGCGAATGGGAGCTCATGCCCATGTAGGTCCGCTCGATGCCCATCCGCAAGGACGACGAGGTCACGATCGTCCGTGGCTCGTTCAAGAACCGTGAGGGCCGCGTCACGCAGTGCTACCGCAAGAAGTTCGTCATCCACGTCGAGCGTGTCGTCAAGGAGAAGGTCAACGGCGCCGCCGTCCCGGTCGGCATCCACCCCTCCAAGGTCGTCATCACCAAGCTCAAGCTCGACAAGGACCGCAAGAAGATCCTCGAGCGCAAGAACCGCGCTGTCGGTGACAAGAACAAGGGCAAGTTCACGGAGGCCGATGTCGCCATGGCCAACGTCGATTAAATTTGCGATCGTGCGTTCCACTGCGGCTGCAGAAAGAGGTGAAGAGTACGTCGTTAACCCATTCCTTATGGACTAAGACCCCTTTCTTCTACTTTGCTCTGTCTGCATAAACCCCTAGTAGCAACAAAATACACCAACGTCAACTACTCATGTTGCATCAGAGATAAATAAGAATTAGGATAAGGCCGGCGGCGTCGCTTCCAGCGCGTCCGCAGTCTTGGCCCGATGGCGCACGCGCCGCTTGGCGAGAAGCGCGGTTGCGCTCCAGAGGCCGACGGCAAAGAGCAGCCATGCGTATGCAAACGTAAGCGTCTTGGTGAGGCCATCGCGGTCGGTCGAGCAGAGCGGGTCCAGCGCAAGGCTGCCGTCGGGTGCGACCACGCTCCCGCAGTGCGGCGCCCACGCGTCCTTGAGCGCCCCGAGCAAAATCGGCGACGGCACGTCGCCAAAGAGGTGCAGCAGCAGCGTGTTGAGGCCCATGGCGAAGCCGCGCCGGGCCTTCGCGACGTTCAAGAGAATGACGACGGTCGTCGCGGCCTGCGTCGAGAAGAGACAGAGGAGCCCGAACGCGAGGCAGACAAAGAAGACGCCCGTCGTGTGCATCGTCGCGAGCGACGCAAAGAGGCTCGCGACGCCCAGCGCCATCATGACGACCATCTGCTTGGCGGCGGCGAGCACGCGGAAGGCGTCGTCGTTATCGTGGCCGGCGCACGACCGGTCGAGAAGGAAGCCGCCGAGCGGCGACCCAATGAGCCCACTTAGAATCGCGACAAGCCCAAAGACGGTGGAGGCCATCGCTTCGGGGAGGAGACCGTACCCAATCATGATCGACGGCGCGAAGGCCCCGAGGCCCGCGACCGTAAACGCGTACGCGGCGAGGCCCAAGCTCGCGGTCAAAAAGACCGAGTCGGACATGATCGCCCACGCCTCGGTCGTCGCTGTGACGGTCGGCGTGTCCAGCAGCACGACCGACGGGCGGTCGAGAGGCGTCGAGAAGGAGAGCGTCCTACTGTCGACGTCGCTTCTTGACGTCGCATCGTGGAACGGCTCGTTGAACGCGGGCGGGATCATCGCGTAGCATGCGTAGACGAGCGGCAGCATGATGAGCGCAATGAGGTAGAAGGCGACGTCCCACCCGAGCGTGCGCGCCAGGAGCGAGCCGTACGAGTAGCCTAGCGCGGTGCCCGCCGACATGCCCGAGTAAAAGATGCCGAGCCACAGCGTCCGCTTGCCTGGTGGCGCAAACTCGTCGATGAAGGACGGCGTTGTCGCATGGAAGGACGACTCGCCGACGCCGCTGAGGAGGCGCCCGATGAGGAGGAGGTAGAAACTGCCAGCGGTCTTAGCCAGGCCGCATACGACGAGCGCGAGGACCCAGAGACCGAGACCGATGGCCGCGAGCGTGAACGGCCGGTGGCGCATCGAGAGGTAGCCAAAGATGCAGATGAAGACCGAGTAGGACGCAATGAAGGCCGAGACAAGGAGCCCGAGGTAGACGCTCACGTGGTCCGGAGCGACGCCGTGCGTCTGCTGGATGAACGCCTGGAACTGGATCGGCGCGCCGGGAATGATACCGCGGTCAATGAAGTTGAGCAAGTTGATGACGCAGAGGAGGCCAAAGACCGCACCGGGCGTCGATAGCTGGACCATGCCGCTGCGAGTTGTCGAGTGCACCAAGTGGCGGGTGGGAGCAACGCTGCGACACGCCGCATCCAGTGTTTTCGACTTGAAACAAGCGAGCAGCCGTTGCCACTGGTCACTGGATCTTGGTGCAGCAAACAGTGTTTTGGCGCCAAATGCACTGCATGCTCGATTCGATGTCGGCACGATGGATGATGCCGGAACTTTGCTTTGCAGATGCGGAGGTGTACGAGGAATTGACCTTGCGTTCGCGCAGACAGAAGCCCTCAATGACACAGTCCACGCGGCCAAGGTCGCTATCACGTGGGTACATCGGCAAGGTGTGATAGCCGATGAGATCTCATTTGACGCACCACTGTCGTCGGCAGTGCACTCGCCCCTTGGATGGTAAGCGACCGAGTCATTGTGGTAGAGATCGTGCAGATATTACTCGTCGAAAGTTGGCCGACGTCAACACGGGCTTTGAGGTGCGTGCGAGGTTCGATCAACGGGCAAAATAAAATCGAGTTGAACCAACGTTAGGGTGCTTATGGCGACGAGCTCGATGCCCACCTTTGGGTAAAGTCTTCGTCTCAATGGCCTTTTCCAATGCTTGGGAGAATGCCGCCTGCGTGTCCTGGGACCAAGGGATATAATAATATTATATCCCTTTGGGACGCAGCTGACATGACGAGCACCTTGGACGGTTCGCTTTTGCTTATCCGTAACTTGTGCCTGGAATCCGGCAAATCACTAAAACATACCTTAAATAGTGTTACATTTTTGTTTCTGGGTTAAACCCATGGGTTAAACCAACCTGAACGAATGGTTTAACTCCCACGCCACCGCAGCGCTTTCGGAGACCAAAACAAGCAGTGCTCGAAGCTTTGTTGCTTTGACTACTGCTGAAAGATGAAGACAACGGAGTTTTGCCTTGCTATAGCGATAGGCATCTCCACTGACTGATATCATGCGACGGTCTTGTTTTCTGAACACTATTTCAAGTACACAACCGGCAGCGCTCGCAGACGACTGCAACATGGACCCAAGCCTCGTGACTGCGCTTCGCGGCTTGGACAAGCCGACGCAGAAGCTCCTGCGCAACGTCGTGCATCTCCAGCCGGTCCAAGACCTCCTCCTCACCTTCCTCGGCGACACCTCGCGGTCCTTCGAAGACTGGATTTGGGACCCGAAGACGCGCGAGGTGCTCGGCCGCGTCGAAGCGTCAGCCGAGCCACCGACCGCAGCACCCACGGCGGCCCACTCCAAGTTCAACCAGCTCTTCGCCGATGCGCTCCTCGAGCAGCGCGAGACGATCGACGTGGACGAGCTCTTGGACGCCGCCGAGGCGGAGAAGGCACTCGCCAAGGAGTGCTTTGCGCACAAGGAGTTTGCGAACGCCATGTCCAAGTACAAGAAGATTGCGGACAAGCTCAAGCCCCACATCACCATGAGTGACGGCCTCTGTGATTTGTACGTGGCGTGCTGCGCCAACGTCGCGGTCTGCGCGGTCAAGGTGCAACACTGGCACCTCGTGCGCGAGTATGCCCACGCCGCGCTGGCCGTGACCAAGGACCACGCGAAGGCTTGGTACTGCCTCGCCAAGGTCCACGTGAACGAAAAGTGCTTCAACGACGCGCTCGACGCAGTCCAGCACGCCATCGCGTTGAGCCCGAATGACCGCGCGCTCCTGCAACTGCAAGCCGAGATCCCGGTGATCGAAGCCAAGGTTCGCAGCCAGCAAGAGGCCGAACAAGCCGTATTGCGGAAGCGTGCTCAAGCCGACTTGCTCGCCAAGGAAGAGGCAGCCAAGCGAGACGCCGCGCGCGTGGTCGCCTTGACGCGCTTCGTTGCGCTGCCGCAGCCCCACGCCACCCTTGGCGCCATCAGCCGCCTGAATGAGTTTGTGCAGCGGTCGCGAGTGACGGTACGTTGCTCCACCCGCTGCGCTTTTATGATAGAGCTCGTAGCTCGGGATCGAGTCGACCAAGATCGAGGAAGGGCCGCCGCAGCGATTCCAGTGCACGATGAAGAACCTCACCGAGAACGACGCGGTGCTCGGTGTCGGCGAGGGCCTCAGCAAGCAGGAAGCCAAGGAGAATGCGGCCAAGGCGGCGGTGCTCCAGATGTGGCAGCACCGGGCGTCGACGGGGACGCTCCACGACGACGACAAGGCCTTCCTTGCGACGCACCCTCATATCCTGCACACGTGGTCGCTCGCCCCGCCGCTGGACGAAGGCGCACAGTCGGTCGTCGACAAGGTGTACACCTGCGCCATCTACCCCACGCCCAACGATACGATGCACATGCCCAACATGCTCCTGAACCAGTACACGTCGCAGGGCAAGATGCACGTACGTACACCGTCGACCTCCTCGATCCAGGCAAGGTGCTGATGGCGATGGTAGTTTGAGTACACTGTCGAAGACTTGTCCAAGCGCGACGCCAGTGACTTTCTCGTCTCCGGGATTCTCAACGGTCGCTGCGTCGCGACGGCCCGTGGTCCGTCCAAGAAACGCGCCAAGCTCGAGGTCGCCGAGCAAGCGCTTGCAATCGCGTACCGCGAGAGCCGTGAAGCGTTCCCGGACCAGGAGGACCCGTACGTCGGGTACCGTTAGGCTTGGACCCTGTATCTGCTTCATACGATGCTCGCGCTATGTTTTCGTGCGACTTTGGCGAGCTTCGTTGGGCTCCAACAGCTCTGGCGCATGGCTTCCTGGGAGATCGTCACATGCAAGATACTGTGCAGTCTGCGACACATGGTGGCCCAGCTTCAAGTCGCTGCCGAGACCGCGCAAACCGCCGACCCACCTCGAATCCTCCTTGCAGATAGGATCCACCTAGCATGCATATCCTACCAAGATCGCTCAGGCTTCTTGCATGGGTCGTGGCTCCAAGCATCATCCTTACCGCATGCATCTTCCTGCGCCTTGGGCCATCGGGTGATGATGACTTCCGTGGACTTCCTTCCTGCATGACGTCGTCGGCCCCTCGCTTCCTCCATGAGGGTCCTTGCTTGCTTGCAGGTTGCCGTGACCATGGTCCTGCCGGGGCCATGGCACCGGCGTCCCGCGTCGTCGCGGTCGCTCTAGAACCTTCCACGGGCAATTGCCGACTGCGCGGCCGCGAAGGAAAGATCCCCGACGAACATTCGAGATGGCGTTTCGGCTTGTATCCGGTCGTCCGGATACGTAACCACCCCACGTGTGATTGGCCGGTTGGTTTCACTGGCGCGGAGTCTACGAATCCGTACATCGTACATTCAAGGTAGAGGTTTTCTATCATGCTTTTTGTATATGGAAATGGACGGAATGTACGGTATCTCGAACGCAATGTACGCGCCGGGCCAACCGCAACCACAGTTCACTTTTCCATTTGCACCAAATAGAAGCCGCCCCCATGTTGCGCACGACCAGCAAGGTGCTCAAGCCCGCCCGCGCCAGCCGCGCCTTCTCGGCCGCCTCGGGCAACGAGGTCATCGGCATCGATCTCGGCACGACCAACTCGTGCGTCGCCGTCATGGAGGGCAAGAGCCCGCGTGTCATTGAGAACTCGGAGGGCTCGCGCACGACGCCCTCGGTGGTCGCGATCCTCGAGAACGGCGAGCGCCTCGTGGGCATGCCCGCCAAGCGCCAGGCGGTCACCAACCCGACCAACACGCTCTACGCCGTCAAGCGCCTCATCGGCCGCAAGTTCAACGACAAGGAAACGCAGGAGGTCTCCAAGGTGGTCTCGTACAAGATCGTCCCTGGCACCAACGGCTCGGACGCCTGGGTCGAGGCCCAGGGCCAGAAGTACTCGCCCTCGCAGATCGGCTCGATGGTCCTCACCAAGATGAAGGAGACGGCCGATGGTTTCCTCGGCAAGACGATCACACAGGCGGTTGTCACGGTCCCGGCCTATTTCAACGACTCGCAGCGCCAGGCCACCAAGGACGCTGGTAAGATTGCCGGCCTTGACGTGCTTCGTATCATCAACGAGCCCACGGCCGCTGCCTTGGCCTACGGCATGGACAAGGCCGACGGCAAGGTCATCGCCGTCTTCGATTTGGGTGGTGGCACCTTCGATGTCTCCATCCTCGAAATCTCGGGCGGTGTGTTTGAGGTCAAGTCGACCAACGGTGACACGCTTTTGGGCGGTGAAGATTTCGATGAGGAGCTCCTTCGCTTCCTCGTCGGCGAGTTCAAGCGCGAGTCGGGCATCGACCTCAGCGGTGATGTCCTCGCCATGCAGCGCCTCCGCGAAGCTGCCGAGAAGGCCAAGCGTGAGCTCGATGGTCTTGCCCAGACGGACGTCTCGCTTCCGTTCATCACGGCCGATGCCACGGGCCCCAAGCACTTGAACATCAAGATCACGCGCGCCCAGTTCGAGAAGCTCGTCGGTCACCTCATCGAGCGCACCTTGAACCCGTGCAAGAAGTGCGTCAAGGACGCTGGCGTCTCGAAGGAGGAGATCAACGAGGTCATCTTGGTCGGTGGTATGTCGCGCATGCCCAAGGTCCAGCAGTCGGTCGAAGACTTCTTCGGCAAGCGCCCCTCAAAGGGTGTCAACCCCGATGAGGTTGTCGCCATGGGCGCCGCCATCCAGGGCGGTGTGCTCCGCGGTGACGTCAAGGACATTCTCCTCCTCGATGTCACGCCGCTCTCGCTCGGCATCGAGACGCTTGGCGGTGTCTTCACCAAGCTCATTCCCCGCAACACGACGATCCCGACGAAGAAGTCGCAGGTCTTCTCGACGGCGTCGGACAACCAGACGCAGGTCGGCATCAAGGTCCTCCAGGGCGAGCGTGAAATGGCCGCTGACAACAAGTCGCTCGGCAACTTCGACCTCCAGAACATCCCGCCGGCCCCGCGTGGTATCCCCCAGATCGAGGTCAGCTTCGACATTGACGCCAACGGTATCGTGAACGTGTCGGCCCGCGACAAGGCCACGGGCAAGGAGCAGTCGATTGTCATCCAGTCATCGGGCGGCCTCTCGGAGGACGAGATTGAGCGCATGGTCCGTGAGGCCGAGCTCAACGCCGAGGCCGATGCCAAGCGCAAGGAGCTCATCGAAGTCAAGAACGAAGCCGACTCGCTCGTCTACAACGCCGAGAAGACGCTCTCGGAGCACGAGTCGAAGCTCGACGCCGCTCTCGTCGAGTCGGTCAAGGCTTCGATGCAGGCTGTCCGCGACGCGATCGAGAAGGACGACGCCGCCACGATCAAGGCTGCCCTTGAGGACATGCAGAAGGTCAGCATGAAGATCGGCGAGGCCATCTACAAGCAGGGCAACGCTGACGGCGCCGCCTCGGAGGAGGAGAAGAAGGAGGACGTCCACGACGCCGAGTTCAAGGACAAGAAGCCCTAAACACGTAGTCGATTTTTAAAGTGCAATAGAGAAGGATGTATAGACACTTCTCGTGTGAGAACGTAGTCCCCTGAGATACCAGCCACCCAGTCCTCCTTAGTGCATGCAGCTAAAACCTCGTCGCCGACAGTTTACAGTTTGGCTGAACCAAAAACTCTATGATGAGGCGCATTACGTGAGAATGTCGGCGCCCGAGTCGGTGATGAGGATCGTGTGTTCGAACTGCACCGAGCGTCCTTCGTCGGCCGTCGAGACGGTCCAGTCGTCGTCCCAGTAGACAATCTAGTACATCAGTGCTGTCATGTGACGTTGACGCATCCGCAGCCATCGTACCTCGTTGGAGCCTTCGCACAGCGCGGGCTCGATCGTAAAGGCCATGCCGGGCAGCATCTCGCCACGCTCCGTGTTGGGGTAGTGAAGAATGAAGGGCAGGGTGTGGAACTGCTGGCCAATGCCGTGGCCGCAAAACTCGTGGACGACCGAGAAACCCTCCGCCTTGCTCAAGTTGTGGATGTGGGCACCAATGGCCGAGAAGGGCACGCCCGGCTTGCAGAGCTCGATCGCCTCCAGGAGCGCTTGCTGCGTCGTGGCGACGAGCTTCTTGCCGGCGTCGTCCACGTTGCCGACGAGGAACGTCGCCGACGTGTCGCCGTGGAAGCCATTCAGGTACACGGAGATGTCGAGGTTGACGATATCGCCATCGAGGAGCGCGCGACTACAAGGGTTCATCAAGTCGCGTCATGGTAGCATCGAGGTTGCCTACCTATCGGGAATGCCGTGGACGACGACCTCGTTCACAGACGTGCAGATAGACTTGGGGAAATGACCATAGTTCATCGGCGACGGGTACGCGTTGCGACGGATCACCTCATCGTGCACTTGGCGATCGATCTCTTCGGTGGTCTGGCCGACCTCGACGAGGCTGCCGGCGTAGGCCAAGATGTCCTTGGCGAGCGCGCAGGCGTCGTGGAGGCGCAGCTGCTGGTCCTTGTCCAGGATCGGGATGTAGCGCGTGAACGGGGGCATCTCGCCCGACGCAGCGTACGGCGGCCGCTGGATGTGCGCGGGGATGCTGCGCACCGGCGACACGAGGCCCTTCTCGACGGCCGCGCGGGTCGCGAAGGCGCGGGCGTGGCGCTGAAGCTGGCGGAACATGGTGGATTGCGGACTGCGAGTTTTGACCAATCCCAAAAATCCACATCCAGAGCCCTCTCATTGGGTGCTTCGAGGCCCGCGGTGGCCTCTCGAACAAAGCACATGCAGTATTTTGACCAATGAAACACTGAGTTCTTTTGTCCAATCCCACGACACGCAGGCAAAAAATCCCATTTGATTGGTACAAAATGACCAATCAATGACAGACCCGACCGAAAGATTGGGTATGGCGACCGCCCAGCAGCGGGACGAGGCAATAAGTCGATAAGATTACGGAGATTTGGGCGATGGCTTCAACTGGTGCTTCCGGCGCCGAGGACGTCGCTGCGACGGTAGGAAGCGGCTAAGGCGCTTGAGCTTGTCGAGGTGCCAGGCCTGCCACCTAATGAGAGCAGGTGTCGTCTTGGCGCGCTCGTTGCTGCAGCGCACAATAGTACCTTTTTCGAATCCGGCGAAATCGTGTCTGGTGCTGGCGCAAGAGCTCCTTGGGGGGGACGTGGAGGCACGAGTTGATCTACGCACGTTGGCGTGAGACGTCGAGCGCCACAAGGCATTGCGCAAACCCCGCTGTCGGCGAGGACGCCGAGCGTCGACTTCTAGTCAATCTGTGAGACATTGTGCAGCAATGGCAGCGCACACGTACCGCAGCCACCCACGGTGGAGTGGCTGGCCGCACGATCTCGTGTTTGCTACGCACTGCCGCATGAGGAGGTCCGCAGTTTGGTCATGGGCGCCTACATGGTTGCAGTCGACGCGGCGCTGTCGCACTTGTCCCAGTCGCCGACGGCCTACAAGCCGCATGAGACCACGTGGGCATGGGCGCGACTATGCGTACCGCCGTCGCGCCGAGAGGCGTTGTCATCAGCGGATGACTAAAGTGCAGGAGCTGCTCGGCCACGAAGAGGGCTTCGAGGTCCATCGTTCGGATTTTAAAATCTGGATTGCGATCTTTTTTTCAAAACTACCGAAACGCTGGCAGGAATTAATTTCTCGTTAAAATTTATACTCTTAGACGCTTTACTCGACCTGGAAGACGATCGACTGCAGCGCGGGCTTGCGGTTGTCGCCGACGTGGTCGATGGCGTAGTCGAACTTGACGTTCATGAGGCGCTGGTTGTCGTTGCGGCGCACGACAGCGATCGTGCCGCGAATGACGTCGCCGGCGCAAACCTGCGTGGGCGGGCAGAGCGCAAAGGCCTGCTGGCCCCAGTGCGTCGGCTCGACGAACGGCGACGTCGTGAGCGTCACGGGCGTGTGCGCCGGGTTTTCCTTGGAGCCCTTGAAGTCGACGTCGAACCAGCCGCCAATCGCGCCAAAGCGCGTCGTGCTGCCGACCGTGAACGAAAACTCTGAGAAGACGGACGCAACGTCCTCGATCGTGCACTTGTTCAAGTCGAGCGACTTGATCGTGACTTCTTCGCCAATGACGTCGCTCGGGTTGAGCTCAAGCCACTGCGACGTGTAGAGCGAGTAGAGCTCCTGCTCCTTGCGGAACGCGTTGCCGAGGCACGAGTAGTCGACGCCCCACTGCTCCTTGGTCTCCGAGACGAACATGGTCCAGTCGTCCATCGCGCTCGAGAACTCGCTGAAGCGCTTGAGCGCCGTCTGCTCGAGGCCCAAGGGCGCAATGTACATCTGAGCGTGCGACGGGTACAAGGCACCACCCGGCTTGAGCCAGCGGTCGCGGGCCACGATGACCGAGTCGAACATGGACTCGCGGAGGAGGAAGTAGCCCATCCACTCCGAGATGATGATGTCGACCTGCTCCGGGAGCTGGATGTCCTCGACCTTGGACTGGATGACCGTGATGATGTGGTCCTGCTTGTTGGCGGCGATCACGTTGCGCGCTTGCACGGCCATGTCCGTAGCTTCGACGGCGTACACCTTGCGGGCGCCGGCCTGGGCGGCCCAGATCGACAAGATACCGCTGCCCGTGCCCACGTCGAGCACGACCTTGTCCTTGAACGAGTCGATGTTCTCGAAGATCGCTTCGCGGTACCGCTGCATGCGCAAGTGGTCCGTGAGCATCTGCTTCTGGTGGTAGATGAAGCCATAGGTGCAGAAGTAGTTGGCAAAGTCCGAGCTCTTCTCCCAAGCGGTCTTGGCTTCGGGCGTAAAGTCGGCGGGGGCGCTCATCGTCAAGAGGTTGGTTGGCTTGCGGCAAGCTTGGGGAATGACAAGATCACCAGTAAATGGGAATATTCACTTTGAGAGGTTGCTTACATCGAGTCTTCGAGGTTGTTTGCTTCAACCACGCAAGATCTATTTGCGGCATTTCTCGCGTTAGAGGGTATCATTCGGCATATTATGCCGAGAACAGTCCGTCAGCCAGAATACGCATGCCGAATGTTCCAGTATATATGGCATGTGCCATAATTACGAACGCTCCAATGTCGAAGCGCAAGCGACCGGCCGAGGATGTGAGCCGCCACGAGCACGAAGCCATGATGGCCGACTACACGACGTGGTCCTCGTCGGGCGCCGTGCTGGTGACCGAAGAAGAGGCGGCGCTGCGGTCGCAGCACCAGTTCCTACGCGACGACGAGGCCGACGCTGTTGCCGGCGCCACTGACTGGCGCGTGCGCATGGCCGTTCGCTACTACCAGAAGCTCTTCAAGGAGTACGCGCTCGGCGACTTTAGCCGATATACCGAGGGCAAGGTTGGCCTGCGCTGGCGAACAGAGGCCGAGGTTGTCCGCGGCAAAGGCCAGTTTATCTGCGGCAACAAGCGCTGCGACGCGACCGACGAGCTCAAGAGCTACGAAGTGCTCTTCGCGTACGTCGAGCAAGGCGCCAAGAAGGAGTGTCTCGTCAAGCTTCGGGTATGCCCGCCCTGCGCGGCCCAGCTCTTCTACAAGAAGACGGCCAAGAAAGCGGCCAAAAAGGCAAAAAAACACAAGGCGGCGCAGGACTAACATGGTTTACTATGGTCTTCACACGCCTCGCTGGTTGTTGAACTGGAACGTCTGCTTCTTGGCGGTGCCAAGGAACTTCTTCTGCAGCGCCTGCATCTCTTCCACCTGTTGGCGCAAGAGAAAGTTCTCCTTCTTGAGGTCGATGTGCGCGGCAAAGGTGGTTGTCGAGCTCAATCGACTCTGGTACTGCACCAGCTCTGCCTGTAGCGACTCGACGTGGTCCCGCAGCTGCTGGTTGTCGCCTATAAGAACGTAGTACGTAGCGCTTCGAGACGCAGCGTGTACGTAGGAGCTGCTTGTTGCGCGCTAGTGTAGGGCGCATTGCACTGTCGAGCGCCTCTTGGCTGATCGCGGGTGTAACCTCGACCTTGATGCTGGGGGTTCGGTCACATTTCGGCGACATTTCCCGTAGCTGGCTGACTTCAGCTCGTGCACCTTGCAGCTCCTGCACGACGAACTCCATCTGTGCAGTGTGTCGTCAACGTACATGTAGCTTCGAGGAATCGTACCTGGCGCTCTTTGTCCTCGAGCGTGCGGTACAGCGCTGCGTGCTCGTTCTCAAACGCCAGCTTCTGCGCTCGAAGGGCTTCAATCTGCTCTGTAAACGTCTACTAGCATGTGAGTGGTTGAGGTACTATTGCTTGCAGTAAGTACGCACCCATTCCTTCTTCTGAAGCTTTTCGATCGTGTCGGCCATGCGGAGGCACTCGCCCTCGGCGTTGGCGCGGGCGTCCAGCGCCTTGGCAAGTGCGTCCGCGTCTTGGTTGCTGCGGGCGTCGGACTTGGCGATATTGGCTGCCAGCGCCGCTTGGAGCTCGTCGCGCTCGCGTGTGGCGTCGACAACGAGCCGCTCCTTGGCACTGAGATTGAACTCGAGGTTGTAGTTGGCAGCTTCGAGCTCATGCACTCGCGTCTCGAGGGTGGCAACCTTGGCGTTGTCCGATGCCATCGCCTACGATAGAAGTCTGGAACTTGGCGCAGTATAGCGTAAAGAATAGGCTACGGGCGAGCGCTGGAGCCGCTCCAGCTCGTTTTCGAGCTCCACGACGCGCTTGGAAAGGTCGACACCCTGCCCCATGGAGAGAGGAAAGGCCTGCATGTACCATTAGGCATGTGCAGTGAAGGTGCTCATACCTTTTGCGACAACGTCTTCTTCATCTCGGCGTTCTCATCCAGCGTCTTCTGCAGGAGCTCCAGCGTCCGAACATGCTTGGAGCGCAACTGCTCGGTGGTTCGGTCCATCATCGCAATAGCAACGCACTAGTGGCACCCAACTTTTAGGCGCCAAAGCTGCGTGAAGGGCAGTGTACCGTACGAGAAACTTTTCTGTGCTCCGACATACGCGCATGCGTGGAGATGCATAGTATGAAAAGCTCCATTGCTCGCTAGCATCCCTCCCGCCCGACGGTGCTGCGCGAGCTCCGAGTTGCGCTGCGTGTGTCTAGCCTTGTCATCCTCAGATCTATTTTTAGAAGCCGCACCTGGACCTAGGTGGAAAGCGCACCTGTCTCTGTTTTTCGTCCAATCGATGCCTGGGAACCACGGCTTTCGTGAGGTGTTTTGACCAATCAAAAACGGCGTGGCGGAGCTTACGAAAGGACTGGTAGAAGACGAAGCGCGATGACCAAGTCCAAGAACCAGAAGAAGCAGCGCGACTCGTCCGTGCGCGGCTCGACCAAGATCTCCAAGAAGGCCGCCAAGGGCAGCGCCAAGAAGAACGCTGCCAAGACCACGCAGGTCGTCGCCAAGCCCGCGGCCAAGGGCGGCAAGAAGGCCGGCCTCTCGGCCATGCAGGAGCAGATGAAGCGTCGCTTGGAGGGCGGCAAGTTCCGCATGCTCAACGAGCAGCTCTACACGACAACCGGCGTCGAGGCGTTTGAAGAGTTCCAGGCCGAACCCGAGCTCTTCGACACGGTGCGTCGAGCTGGTTGTCCTCTTGCTTGATCAAAACATTGTGTAGTACCACGAGGGCTTCCGGGAGATGGCCGAGAAGTGGCCGCTGAACCCGCTCGATACGTTCATCAACTACGTCAAGTATGGATTAGCGTGCATGCAAAGGCTCACTGGACTGGCTGCTAGGGCGCACCCAAAGGCGGTGGTCGCCGACTTTGGCTGCGGCGACGCGCGCCTCGCCGCGTCCGTGCCCAACACGGTGCACTCGTTCGACCTCGTCTCGCGCAACCCGTCGGTCACGGCCTGCAACATTGCCAACGTACGTCCTTGCGTAAAAACAACGTACTAACGTGGTACGTAGGTTCCGCTCGAAAACGAGTCGGTGGACGTTGCTGTCTACTGCTTGGCGCTCATGGGCACGACGCTGGTCGAGTACCTCCTGGAAGGTCGCCGCGTGCTCAAGCCCAACGGCGTCATGAAGGTAGAGTCATCCTCTTTGTCGTTGGTAGATGCTCATGCAGCACTAGATCGCTGAGGTCAAGAGCCGCATGGAGACGCCGTCGCTCGGCATCCCGGGCTTTGTCAAGAAGGTGACGGACCTCGGCTTTGATCTCAAGCACAAGGACGAGTCCAACAAGATGTTTGTGACGTTTGAGTTTGTCAAGACGAAGCGGTCGCCCAAGGCCAACGTCCAGATCGAGATGAAGGCGTGCGAGTACAAGCGCCGATAGATCACGAAGACGTAACTATGAAAACGCTTGGCATTAAGCGTGCAGATGCAGGAAGAGCTAGATGCGCAGCTGGTACTGGCCCGCACGCGTGACGTAGCGGACCCACTTGGTCGTCTGGTACGAGCTCTTCTCAAACACCTTGAGGAAGCGCACGTGGAGACCAGAGGCCGTGAACATGGGCACTTGGAACTCGACCTGGATCGGGGGTCGCGACCACGACTTCTCCTTCGTGCCCTTCATGATCTCGACCTCGGCGTCCAGCATGCGCTCCAGCGTGCCCTGGAACTTGCGGATCTTCCACACGATCGCGTGGTGCTCGGGCGCGTGCTTGGCGCTACGGTGGATTCTATCAAATTATCAAGTCAGCAAGTAGCGACGTACGTTCCGATTGGCACGGTGATCTTGCAGCGCGCCGTGTTCTGGGGCACGGGGATCTTGATGACGAGGTTCGTCGCAAAGAGGCGTGCGCTAAACGTAGCCGCGATCTACGCATCTCCAATGTGAGTCATCCTCAGACTCCGACCGAACGACCCACCTTGAGCGAGACGGCCATGCGCGTCGACGAGCCCTCTTGGTAGGCCGGCATGATCTTGAAGGGCAAGTTGATGTTCTCCGTGACACGGTACCTGGACGACCCCCAATGTGAGTCGAGCCCTTTAGAGCATGAGCGTACTTCATGAGCTCAAACTCTCCGTCCGGCGGCACAAACGTGATGGTGCGGTCCGCGTCAAACTTGCCGAGGCGCACGCAGCGGTGGAACGTGCAGTCGTCGATCTACGCGTGAGCTACACAACACTGCTGCAGAAGAGCACAAGGCGAACCTCGACTTCCTTCTGGGCCCGCTTTTGGCCCGCGGCCTTTGGCGCCGCGTCGCCCTTTTGCATCGTGAGCTTGTCGTTGAGACCAAGCTAGCGCATCTCTGAGCGTCCAAATTTGGTAAACGTATTTCGAACGCACCTTGCACTCTGGCATGCCCGTGAGCATTGTCTTCATAACGACTTGGCCAACGACTTCGTTGCGGAGCACAGCGCCTGGACACGCGTCAGATGACGTAGCGACGACTGGATGGACGCACCGTTCGAGGACATGAGGAGGTTGACGCTTTCAAAGACATCCAAGTACACTTCGTTGCGCTTGTACTTGATGCCCTCGCGACGCCTAGGTAGCTCCATGACGCATGTTCGTAGCCCATTCGAATATGCACCAGTCGATGGCACCGGTGATTTGCGACGTCAATTGGCCGGGCTGCGCCGTCGACGTGGCAGCATCCGCCTGCGCTCGCGCTATGAGCGCCAAACCACGGGAGACAAGTACATACCGACATGGAGCCGAGGTTGATGTACATCTTGAGCACATCCGACGAGCAGTTTTGCGGGTATCCATAGTCCATCGTCTCTACGCAGGGCGTGTTGAAGCATTGATGCCAAGCACTGACCATGTCGTACCATCGAGGAGTTCGTACACGAGTGTAAAGTTGTTGCGGATGCTTTCCTACGCGACGCAGGTAGCTTCGCCGAGCCTTGCATCGGCCAGTACCTCGTTGTATTTTTTGCCCAGGTAGTCTTGAAAGATGCCATTGAGGTTGGTGAGGAACTGAAACACGAGCGCTGCACCCCCATGGTCATGAGAACGACGCCATGATGCAGGTTCGTACCAATGTTGATGTTGGCCCGAGAGACAGCGACGAGATACAGATTCTCGTGGCGCGTGTAGAGGAACGAGCAGCCGTCGATCGACTTGATGGGCGGGAGCGACCCGGTCTCCTTGGCGGCGATGACCTGGAGGCGGAAGGCGTCAGCCGCCCGGCGGCTCACGTCGTCGCGGTAGAGCCGGTTGAGCACGACTTCGCCCTTCTGCGAGATGAGGAAGAGGCCGCTGATCATTTCGTCGTCGCTGGAAATCCACAAATGGCCTCGAAAACCGATGCGTTGAAACGACCGCCAAAGTGCACTTGCACTTTGTATGCCGGAAGATCGCGTCCGGATACCAAACGGCATCATTCCACGCTATCCGGAATCCTTGCGATCTTCCTGATACTTTGATACAAATGCCCACCGTGGCGTATTCAGAAGACGACGTGTTCAATACTTGGACACCTGGTTGTTGCTGAGGAGCGACCGGATCTTGGTGACGTGCCCCAGCAGTAGTGTCTCGCGGTTGACCGAATCTTCGTCACGAGGCTGGGTACGAAAGTGCTGCAGGACGCCGTGCGCGAGCTGCGCAAGGGTCGATTCCAGGTCAATCTCGACGTTGCTCTCGTAATGTCTACTTCTCTCTCGACCTTGATGGTTGACGAGGTACGTCTGCTCACAAGCGGGCTTGCTTGGAGCACTGCGGTTCTCGCCGTCTCGCTTCTCCCTGCCGTCGCCGGCATGGTCGTCTCCCCACCACTCTTTTGCATCTTGGTACTCGATATGGACAAAATGCTCGACGTCCTGGCCGACTACGAGCTGAGCGGCAAACTTGAGCCGACCCTTGGCGCGCTTCTCAGCCGACTGCCCACTCGCCAAGCTGTTCATCACGTTGGCGCGCTCTGCGTACCAGCGCTGCTCTGCAAAGTCGATGATGCTGTCGTACGAGTTGCCCATCCTACGCAGCTCGTTGATGAGCTTATTATTGAACTGCAATGGTGTCCAGATGGAGGACATGGCGATGAGAAGGTTCACGAGCACGATGACAACGAGCGCCATGTACACAAAGATGAAGAGCTGCGATATGGTGCTGCGCCGGTACTCGTCGAACGAAAACGTGGCGGCAAAGACAGCGAGGAGAAGGGACTGGACCCGGTCGAGGAACGCGCCGGCGCCAGACCGGTTGTCGACGACCACGTACAAGGCAGAGGCAAAGCCAAAGAGGATCGAGGCAAACACGAGCACGAAGCGGACGACGTCCAACTTGAGCATGCGTCCAAGCATCACGATAAACGGCCCGGTCGCCCGAAACCCGTAGAGGAAGAAGAACATGTAGAGGTACGAGCACAGGAGCGCGCTCGCGACAAAGGCGTCTTCGGACGCAAAGTCACCGCACGCCCGGCATATGATACCGCCCACGATGAGCAGCCCTACAGCACCCTTTAAAAGGTTGTCGACCATTGCCGCGCCAGAGTCCTCCGTGTACGACCGCCAGCCTGCAATTGACACATTGATACAATTCGCAAGACATGTCATACCGTGGTGTTGGACTTGGCGGAGCTCGCGAAGCATACACAAGACGACCTCGCCGACGACGTAACACTCACAGACAATAAGAACCCAAGCGTCAGCGAGCGTCGACGATTTGTCGCGGTAATGGCTTGGGAAAAGAGTCGAGCCCGTGAATACGAGTGTAAAGATGACGTGGCGACACAAGTCGCGGCGAAACCTATGGCGGCGTCGGCGTCGTCTGGACTTGCAGCACTCGAAAGTGTACATGGCGGCGCCGACAAACTCCCATTTCTTATCCAGAAGCTTCTCGATTTCGTGGGTGCTCAGGATCTCGAGGCGGCCGCGCATCGCTTCCTACGCTGGAGACATCGCACAACGAGTCTAAAGTAGGTCCGTGTACTTCTTGAGCTGTCTTGGGAATGCATTTGGAGAGGACGCGGTACGATGTGAGGCACTCGACCGCCGATCTCTGCACAGTAGTGGTACACTGTCGAATGTTGGGATGAAAATTGTACCTTGGCGCGCTGCCCAGTGACGCTCTGTGGGCCTGTCGCAGACCGGTCGAGGCATTCGTCGACGTCGCGCAAAGGAATCATCTTGGTAACGGCGGGCCCATACTTCCACGTTGTGGTAGCACGCCGCATCACTTGGTGTTGGAAGATGGTTGCCTTGCCCATGGCGGCCGCCAGAGTCAAGGGCGTCCTACCTCGCAGTCAGATTTCTGGTGCTTCTTGGCTGCATGTGTACAGAGAATCCTCATTGTATTGGTGCAAGAAGCGGTTGAACGACAAGTTGTCCGCGGGCTGGAGCCGTTGGAGAAACGCATGCAGATCGTAGGTGGGGTCGTCGACGGCGAAGCCCACCGGACACGCGTAGGGGTACGTCGTCATGGCGTACTTGATCGCAAAGTCATAGACTTCGGGGAGGTCGTACACAACTGCGGGTGCAGTGCGTTGTAACCAAAGCGATCGGTCATGAAGATCGACGTCTTGGCGGCCGGTGACCCCGGAGGCGCCTTTTCAGCCGCCGCCAAAATTGCTTTGGCGCCGTCCAAGAGCTTGGCCGCCATCGCAAACAAAAGCGGCGTCCCGCCCAAGTAGCACAACATGCCAGGCTCATAGCGGGATGCGGTTGTCTCGGCGTCCTACCCGCTCCTGAGAAATCATAGCAAAACCTGCCGTACGAGGAGGTCTGGGACAGTATCAACAAGCCACTGGATCGCTTCTACATTGCGATAGACGACCGCAAGGTGCAACACGTTCTCGCCGTGGAACGGCGACGCGCTGCTCACATGCGTTAAAAGTTGCTGCTTGTTGTCGCCGGGCTCTACACGCTGTGACTTGACGAGCGCCCGCAAACCGCCACGTACCAAGGCACGCAGTGATTAGCGTTTGGCCGAGCTCAAAGTATTTTCGGGCGTACGCGACCATGATGGGCGTCGCGCCGTCACTTGTGCGACACCGGCACTCATGGGGTGGTTTCGCAGGTACGCCAGCGCGCCACGCGTGTCATTCGCACTCACGAGCCGGAAAATTTCGACTTCACAATACTGCACGGCGACGATTTCGTCGTCGGTCGCGTGGACCCGCGAGACGACGCGAGCCATGCGAGAGCCGCAACAGGTAACGGCTAGAAAAGTCAATTATTATTTCAAGTTTTTTGCACTTTTGCACTTTTGCACTTAGGTGTGAAAAATATTTTCAAGTTTTGTTTTGTGGCTTTTGCGTGGTCTACGTTTATTGAAAATTGCATGATTTTCGAGTGGTGTGCCACAAACACCCAACACCAATATTCCACACTTACTACCCTCAAACCCCCTGGAACCCAGCAACTGGAGTGCCCACTTGCCCCTGAACCCACCACCTAAATCCCAAAAACGTAGACATAGCAGAAACTTGATACGCGGTTTCTTCGGCCATCGCTTAATGGAGCGCTTCTCGCTGCTGTTGTATGGGGCGATGGAACTGCGCTCGACTCTGGCAGTGTTTTCATGGCGTACACTGCTGAATGTTCACGAGCTCTTGCTTGAGAACGTGAGGTCAGAGCTTCATTGGAATCGCGTGCGCCAAGTACGGGAAGGGCCTCGCTCCGCCGTCCGAGACGTCGATCGCGTACTGCCGCCACGTTTTGATGTCAAGAATGTACATGGTGCGCTGCCACTCGAACGAGAGGAGGCCGGTGAGGACGGCGGAAGCGCGGTCAATGTAGTAGACGCCGTCGACGATCCAGCCGTCCGTGGCGTAGTGGTACTTGGCCGTTGCGTAGAGCAGGTGCGAGTGCGCTTCCGATATCGACGCGCGCGGTCGCAGATACCGCTCGAGGACGTACAAGACACCGACGGTGGCGGTCGTGCCACCGACGATGCCTGCAAAGCGCCGCATGCGGCCAATCGCGACGACGCCGCTGCGGCATTCGACCTGAAAGTCGACGGCCGAGACGTCGCAGGACCGAGCGAGCGTGACGAGCGGGCGCACGGGAAGGCAAAACGTCCCAATCGCGAGGCCGGCCCAGACAACGAGGCTGGCCTTCATGCCGTAGCGCGCCGTGTGCTGCTTGGTGAGGAGCGAGAAGGCGTCGTTGAGGATGAAGACGAGCCATGTGATTTCGCCGGACGCCATGATGGTCGTGTACCACGCTGGCGTCGACGGTGCAAAGGCGTAAAAGCCAGCGACTTGATTGAGGTCGAGTGTGGCGGTCGAAAGAAGGCAAATCGCTGTGGTACCGCGCAACAGCAGCAGCGGTCGACCGATCCAGACAAGGCCGGCGACGCGGTTGATGGAAAACATGTTGAGCCCCTCGATGGCCCCGCGGGCGCCGAGGACGTAGACGACGACGAGCATGGCGACGGCGCCGAGGATGAATGTGATGAAGAGAAGGAGGCGCCGGCAGTAGTACGAGACATTGACCGGGACTTCCATGCTGTTGACGGGCTGCGTCGAGATCGTGTTGCGGCCCGAGATAATCGTGAGCGACTCGCCAGTGTCGCCGACGAACGAGACGACCTCGCGCACGGCGTCGACCCACTCAAAGAGGAAGAGCCAGCTATGAAACGCAAACGAGGCCGACGCCAAGAGACTCTCTTGGAGAAGCACCGTTTGGTTGGTGCTGCTGTCGCGAAGGAACTGCACGAGCTGTACTCGGTTTGCCAGCTGCGTCTTGAGCCGAGCCGCGGGCAGCTGCACCGCGGCAACGAGCGTCTCTGGCACGGCGGCGCGCACAAACGAGAGACGCGCCGCGTAGTTGTCAGGACACGACGCGGCGCTGACCGTCTCGGCGGCGCAGATGGCGGTCGGCGTTGGAAAGTCTGCGGCCAGCAGGGCCAGCACCACCATCGAGCTCGACGCGACGACCGAGTTGGAGACGCCGAGCGTGCACGCGCCCGCGGCCGTGAAGAACTCGAGGAGGTTGAACGTGGCGGGGGACGGCAATGTCGGGCACGTGACGTCGCCGCCCACGTATTCTGCACCGACCCATGCCAGCGGCACCGGACTGCCCTGGAGGCCGGCGGCGATTTCACTGTAGGCAGTGGCCGTCGCGATATCGGAGACAAAATGTTCGACGAGCGCTTCGGTCGAGGCTTTGTACCACGTGAGGAGCTCGCGGGGCGGCGCCACTCGCTGCATTGTGATGGTGCCGAAGGGGCCGAGAAGGCTGCGGAGGAGCGAAAATCCCGGGTCCATTGGCGCCGGCAGCGTACCGTTGGCGATGAGAAGCGCCTCGGGGGTCGTGTTGCGATAGAGAAACCGAGGACTCTGCCGAATAAGCGAGCTTCCGACGTCGTGGGATGCATTGCTCGAGATGCTGTAAAGGTCGTTGGCGAGCGTCCAGTGCATCTTGAAGCTCGACTGCACCGACGTGTGGAGACTGCCGTTGGAGCGCTTGAGCGTCAGCGGGTACTGCATCCCCAGTGCGTTCTCGATCGCTATCGTTTCAATGACGCCCAACGTCTTGTAGTTTTGCCACTCGGTGACAAACGCAGTGATGCCCATGCGCCGCCAGTAGGCCTCTTCGCTCGCCAGCGACAACTTGTCGTCTGCTCGCACTTCTCGCAGCCACGCTCGCCCGCGGCTCGTGGATGCAAGGTACGAGAAGACACCTGTTTCGAGGCTCACGCCGAAGCAGCGCTGCCACTGCGTCCAGTCGAGAATGTTGCGCAAAGCAGACTCGAGGTACACGGCGCCGTTCTCGACATGCTGCTTACAGGCTTCTTGGCGAGCTGCAGTCGCGCCGAGCTCGTACGTTTGGTTGAAGTCCACGTAGCAGTAGCTCGTCGAGATGTACGCGATGAGGCACGGGTTCATATTGCGGAGACCAGCAATGACCGCTGCGAGCGAATTCACTTGATTCTGGAGCGACGAGGCGTAGACGACGAGCGGCGCGGACGCGAGCGGCGACGTCGCATTGTAGTTGTGCGCGTTGTCGCTAAACTTGGGCGCTGCCAGCTCGACGGCGTCCAGCGCCCCCGTGAATTGGAGCTGCCGGTTGAACCAGTTGGTCAAGTACGTCTGGTGGCCCGTCGCATTGAACGTCGCCCACCAAAAGTCGTTGGCCATCGCCGTTGACGAGACGTAAATGTACGTGTAGCTGCCGACGATCGAGAACACCACGTACGCAAACCCGCCGAGAGCCCGGACGTAGAAGCGGCGCATCGAGAGCAGCGGCACCGGCAACGACGATGCGAACGGCAAGATCGGGCCCCTGGTCGTGCACAGCGAGTCGAAGCGCAGGACGCACCAGAGCTTGAGGTCGAGGCGCGCGCCGCGGCCAAAGGGTACGAGACCGGATAAGACGCTCGTGACGACGTCGTCGTGCCAAAACTCCGAGTGCACTTTGCTCAAAAACACCTCAGCGGCCGCGGGGACAAGGACGTGCGGCCGCCACTCGCGCTGCCCCCGTGACGTCGACCCGGTACAGAGGCGCTGGACGGCCATGGCCAGCGGAATGCAGCCGACGTTGATGCCGAGAAGAGCGAGAAGGCGTGGAAGCGATCCGATCGCGACGCTCCCAAGGGCGCACGTGACCTGCAGCCCGAGGCGGTTTTGCGTGCAGTCGGGGGCCACCACGATGCTGGCTTCGTACGGTGCAGTCGTCTCTAGACACACCATACACAGCCAAGCGAAGAAGGCGCTAAGGGGGCCGTACGACCGGACGCGGCCCGTCGTTCGTAGCAACGGCAAACCGAAATCGACCACGACGTAAGTCATCCACGTCGCCTCGCTGGCAATGATCATCGTGTTCAGGAGCGAGCGGGGTGCATCTTGGAAGCCAGACTCGTTGCCGGGCAGGGACCCGTCGTTGACGAAGCGGACGCTGCTTGTACTCAGTAGAGCGAGCGCCGTGAGCCCTCGCACGAGAAGGAAGGGCCGGCCGACCCACACGCAGCCCGTGAGGCGGTTGGCGTGGAGTAGGTCGAACGGGGCCACTTGCGCGCGCTGCGTCCACCCAAACGTGAGCACCAGGACGTTCACGGATGCAACGACCGCCGACGCGTAGAGTGTGAGGAACCACATGTAGACGCACGCTTGGTGGGGCAGCTCGAGCGCGTTGGCCTCGAGCTGCGCCATTGCATAGCGCTGCGTGATGGTGGTGATGGCGCCGACGTCGCCAGACACGACGTAGACCTCGCGGTGGCCATAGAGCCACTCGTAGAGCATGACGAGCCCGAACACGCCCCACGGGCTGGCCTCAGCGAGCGCTTGTTGCAGTAGGATCGGGTCGGATCCGTTGGCGGCAAACTGATAGACGCTGACGTTGGTTGCCTTCAGCGCCTCCAACGCGGCGCTTGCGTCGCCTGTGGTCGGTAGTTGTGCAGCGGCGGCAAAGGCCGGCCTGAGCACGCGGGCGCACGTGCTCGGTGATCCACAGAGCGCGGCGACGGCTGCCGACGATATTGTCGGCAGCAGAGAGAGGGCAAAGAGGACGCTGCGGCTCTCGAGCACAACGCTGAGCGGCGCGGTGCCGTCGCACGTGTCGTAGAATCCCATGGGCTCCTGCGGCAGTGCGTACGCGGGGGCTGAGAAGCACATGGGGCTGCCCGAATAGTAAATCAAGCTGCTCTCGGTCCAGCTTGCCGGCACAGGATAGACGGTCGTCGTCTCGGCCAAGGCGCGAAATAGCGCCGAGTCCTTGATCCCATCGAGGCGCGCCTCGTAGGCGGCGAGGTGCGCGAGCAGCGCGCGTGGCTTGGGCAGCACAAAGACGTCCATTGAGGCAAGCGGCCCCAGTGCCAAATGCACCACGCGCAAAACCGGCGTCAAGGTCGCGACCGAGTCCATGTTGTACTCCCAGTCGGCTTTGATGGCATCCGAGACAGCGTCGACACCCAGCAGCAGCGTGAAGTGAAGCCTGTCACCGGTCCAGAGGTCGTTCCAGAAGCCTGCGTAGGCGTAGACGGTCGACCAGAGCGCGAGCCCGCGGAATTGGCTCGGGACTGTGTACACGGTCACGCGCTGCGCCATCCCAAGCGCGTTCTGGATCGAGATCGTTTGCACCAGCCCCTGCTCGTAGTAGTTGGTGACCTGCGACTGCCACGTGCTGAGCCCAAACCGCCGCCACAACGCGGCTTCGTCCTCGACAGTCACGTCCTCTTCGCTGTGAAAGATCCGAGTAAGAACTTCGGTCCCGCCCGGCAGCGCGGCCAGCGGCTCAAAGATTGTCGCATTCATCGGCAGCATGTACGGACTCGCGTTCAGGTCGTTCGCGTCTGTGTTGCGCAGAAGCGCCTCCAAGTACACAGCGGCGTTGTCCGTGTACTGCGCGTCGCACTTGGCTTGCCGCCGCGCGTTGAGCGCCATGGGAAACGCCCGGTGCAAGTCCACATAGCAGTACTGCGTAAAGAGGCGAATGTTGCTGCCGAGGTCGTTGGCCCGCAGCGCTGTAATCACTACCGGGAGCGGGAGCGGCGCCAGTACAAGTGACCGCGGCCGCGCGCGGCTCATCCCGATAAAGGTCGGAGGGGACGTGTACGCCTTTGGCACTCGGAGGTGCGCGAGGGGCAGCTGCGAACTCGCGTTGGTGCTGAGGATAACACGCGTGTTGAAGTAGTCGCCGAGGAACGTCTGGACGCCGCCGACGCTGAAGCCGGGCCACCAGTAGTCGTTGCTCATCGCCGGCGTCACGAGCGCCACGTACCACACACTGAGGCATACCGTGAGAAGTAGGTACGCAAAGGCGGCGAGCACGGTCTTGGTCTTGCTCTGCGCCATCGCGTTTCAAACGCTATTTTCGCAGTCGCACTATCCCAGACGAACGGCCACACGTCGGTTTCGAGCTCGAATGGGCGCGACCGAGTCGTTTGGCGTGCGAGCCAAGCTCCGGTTGACCGAGATTCGATGCCGTTGATCTCACATCCGCGTAGCGACACGCTGCTATTGCGTCTCCACCTCGCGACGAGCAAACGTACGGAGCCGCTCGAGACACACCTCCTCCATCGCTACTTTGAGCGCCACGACCCGGTACGTACAGCAATTCCACGTCGGAGCATTCATACAGAAAAGCAGACGTGCCGAGGGTACGTGCCCATGGACGTTGCGCGCAGCGTGGCCATGCAGATAGCACAGACGACGTTCCCAGCCCTCGAGGCGATGTTTGACGTGGACCAGTACGTCCACATATGCTGCGTCCGATGAGTGCATGTGGATAGCAATGGCTTTTTCCATTACACTGCGTTCCTCTCGTTCGTGTGCCGCGACAAGCTGCACGTGGAGATGGACAAGCCCATTGGCATTGTTGGCGTCTACACGGTACGACACCAGCTCCGACTGCCACGTCATCGACCATGGGCGTAGGTCTCGAAAGGTCTCTGCGCCGTCAACGGCGCCGCGGTCACGGTCAAACGCACGCAGCTGCAGTCGATCGAGATGGTTTGCAGCTGGCATGCGAATGCCAGAGCTCTTCAACTGTGCAGGTCGAGACCCTCGGCGACGCGATTGGCATTCTGGCGACGTTCTCGCACCCACGCCTGCTTCGGTACCTCCACAGCACGTGCTACGAGCAAACGTTTGTACTGTACCAAGAGTGGACCGAGGCCACGTCTCTCAAGGTACGTCGACTCTGGCGCCTTCGGAATGACGAACGTGCTTTGCTAGACCATTCTGTCGTCGTTTGGGCGCATGAGCGAGCCGACGATACGGCGGTACTTGGCACAGGTCATCGAGGCCATTGTCTATTTACACCGTGTCGGCATCGTACACCGGTGCTGTCTCCTCTTCTACTCGGAATGTGAATAAGAACTTAGGGAACTCCACGGTACGCGCGATCCATCGACCGTTTGAGTGAGCACCAGTGGCAGGCGAATCCATCTACATTGATCGCGATGGCAGCGTCCAAGTGGGGGTACGATCGCCCTTAAGTTTTAGCTGTTTTGTGTAATTTGTCAGAAATAGGAATTTTACGCGGGGTGGCACTTGCGCACGGCAAGCTCCAACCTCCACAGCTTTCAAGACAGTCTCTACGACGTCTTTCGGGTGCGAAGTCTCGGCCATTCGACTGGCTCGATCCCTTTTCATGATGCACTTGTAGCCACCAGAGACCCGCGCCGCCGCTCGGTCGTTTGGCACCAAGGCCGACGTCTGGTGCATCGGCCTCGTCGCCCTCGAGGTAGTACAAAAATGACCCAAACATATTGAGCGCTTCTGGCGTCTAGATGCTTTACGGCACAGCACACCTCAACCGTGTGAACGCTGCCCACAGCGTGCGTCGTCGACGGAGGCTATCCCTGGCTCATCGTCTGCGTTCTAGTCGCAGCCGCCGATTCCGCACCGCATCTCCCCCATGTTTCGCAAGTTCCTCGACGCATGTTTCGAGGCGCGTCATACTTTCTTCTATGCCAAAGGCACACAGCTGGGCGTAGATGACTCCGCGGGATCGGCCCCACGCCGACGAATTGCGGGTGTTTGCCTTTTTTCACATGGCGCCGGACCAAGACGCCGAGTTCTTTGGCGCCGCAAGCTCTCTCGACATCACGATGAAGCGGCTTCAAGAGACAGCGCCGGAGCCATCACCTTTTTCATTACGTTGATATGAGTGTCCTCGCACTATGAGAATACACCTGGTAGCGTACCGTGCCATACCGCAGTGTGATCGTGAGAGTCAGCGCGGATGAAGTTGCGTCTTTTTAGCCGACCAATCCGCGCGCGATTTTGTGATCGCCGTCGTTTGATTGATCGAAATCAGGCCAATCCGCGATGCGTATGCGCAACCCATGTGCTGGCAGCACCACCTGCGAGTTCCCAGTCCAAAGATCCGGCGGTGCCGTCTTGGTCTCAGCGCTGCCCATTTAGCATTTCGCCATGTCCGAGAAGACACCTCCACTCGACGTCGACGCGCGTCTCTCGTACATTAGCTCGGCGCGCATCTTGGCCTCGCAAAAGTTCACGCCCCAAGCAGCCTACCAAGCCGAGGAAGGCACGCTCGCCGAGGGTGGCGCGATCTCGCTTTGCTCGCGCGAGGCCCTTGGACTCTTCTCTCAATACGCAGCCATCGGCACCATCTACGGCACGATTCCGACGCTCGCGTACCCGATCTTCAACAACTACCTCAAGATGGAGGGGTACCAAGTCGCGTCCTACAACGTGCTCGTGACGCTCGGCTGGTCGTTCAAGGTCTTCTGGGGCATGTGCACCGACTGCTTTCCCATCTTCGGCTACCGTCGCAAGTCGTGGATGCTCCTTGGCTGGCTCGTGGCCATGACATCACTGCTCATCATGGCGGTCACGCCCCTCGGCGACCCGTACTGCTTTGGGAACCCGAAAGTGTGCGCCCTCGCGTACACCAATGTGTCGCTTCCCGACCGCGTCTACTTCAACGTCGACGCACCGGCCAACGGCGCCAAGTTTATCATCCTCTCGATGGTCACAAGCGTCGGGTACGTCATGGCGGCGTGCGCCTCGGACGCGATGGTTGTGCAGTACGCGCAGCGCGAGCCCGTCGCGATCCGGGGGCGGATCCAGACTGCGATCTATGTCGTGCGCACGGTTGCCGGTATCTTTACGTCGCTCATCACGGCGTTCGGGCTCAACGGGAAGGAGTACGACGGCAGCTTTGACTTTTCCATGGGCCCCAACGTCATCTACGGCATCCTCCTCGTGCCGTGCGTGTTCGTGTGCTTCACAACAATATTCGTTGTCCAGGAAGACCCGGCGCCGCGCGTTGAGTTTAAAATCTGGGTGGCGTCGTTCTGGGAGCTCCTCCAGAAGCGCGTCATGTGGCAGATCTGCGCCTTCCGCTTCATCAACATGACGTTTCTCGGCATCGGCGTGACCGCGACGCCCACGATCCAGCGGGCGTGGGCCAAGGTCCAGCCGCTCAACGACTCGCTCTCGACAATCATTGGGCAGCTTCTCTTTGCCGGCATCCTCGTTGTCGTGGGCAAGTGGGGCCTCGACTGGAACTGGCGCTGGACCATCGCGCTCGGCACCGTCGCCATCATCATGATCGACTCGGTCGTTGTCATGCTAACGATCTGGGACATCTTCCGCAACGAGTGGTTCTTCACGGGCGTCGCGCTCTCCGAGCAAATTCCCGCAGGCATCCGGTTCATTGTCTCGACCTACTGCGCGGTCGAGATCGCCGACGTCGGCAACGAAGGCGCCACGTACGGTCTCGTCACGACGGTCTCGAACCTCGCGTCCCCCTTTGCGAGTCTTATCTACAAGCTCATCAACTCGTACTTTGTCGTCGACAACGTGGCGGTCGCACGCGACGACACGGCCGTGCGCTGGGCCGTCACGTACTGCTACCTCATCTCGTACGCGTTCAAGCTCTCGGCGCTTGGCTGGCTCTTCCTCCTCCCGCCGCAGAAGGCCGAGATGCAAGCCCTCAAGCGGCTCGGCGGCAAGAGCAAGGCGGCCGGCGCGACGCTCGTCGCTGTCTTTGTCCTCGCACTTGTCTTTTCGGTGACGACAAACCTGCTCTCGATCTTTCCGTCCACCAAGTGCCTTCGCATTGCAGGTGGGAAAGGCTGTTAGGACTAGGGTTCTTGCTCAACTATGTTATAAACACAAAAGTGTGTGTCTACAGTCGCCCTTGCGCCATAAACGGGTAGACGTAGCCGCAGTCGCGCGTGACGCCGAGGTTGCCTTGCCCGTCGCTGCTCGTAGCGTCCTGCACGCAGCTGCAGCGGCCGGCTGCACCATCTACACTTGCCATCGATTTGCGTGTCTTTTGCACGCAATGTGTACCGCAGTCGCCGCGCCCGTTGCAAACCGCGTCCTCGGTTGTCCCCGGGGTTGTTTCGGTGACCGAAAAAGGTCCGCCCGTCAAGAGCGAAGTGTCGGCGATCAGCAGCGGCAAGTTGCCCGCGTTGGTCAGGAAGGACACGGTGGTGACCGCTAGCGCCGCGCATATCCAGTTGTGCTTTGATGTCGTTCGTCGTACCTGCGTTCGTTGCACCGCAGAGTGCTCCTGTTGGCATGCTCACCGTCACCAGCCCAATGCTACGCGCATCAGCCCCAGATAGCCCTACAAGTGACGTACGTCGGTAGCGCTTGAAGCGCTGCGGTCAACGCCGCCGGCGTCGCATCAAACGAAAGCGTCGACGTCGTGGCGCCACGAAACGTTAACGCCACAGAGCCGGCGGTCCCAATGCAAGACAACGACTGCACTTCGTTGACTTGACCGGTCGTCCACGGGTCGTCGCCTGACGGACACGGATCTACGAGTATTATGTAGCACCTCGTTGGTGTGCACCGTAGCGTACATGATGAGCAGTCGTAGCCAGAGAGGGTCGGCGCATTCCCGATCACGTAGCGCACCTGTACCTCACTCCATAGGCGGCAAGCAAATATGAGGAGCGTACACTGTTGCAGACGCATCCAAAGATGCGATCTGCGTCCCACGTGGTGAGCGAGTTGACGTCGCGGCCGTACACGATCGGCGTCGGCGCGCCGTTGGTCGTGGCGCCGGCTGCCATCTGGCGCATGGACCTGCAGTTGCCCTTGGACGAGCACGTCACTAGCATTGGTGTCACGCGCCGTCCGGAAATGAGCAACGTACACTTCTCGCACGCAGAGCCGACAAAGTTGCTGTCGCAGAGGCACCGCCCAAGGGTGCTGTCGCAGATTCCCTGACCTTTGACTTCATCACGTATTCGTGGTGATTGGACGTACTGCGTTTGCGCATGCGACGGGGACGGTGCGCGCAGCGGTGGCCAGCGTCGCAGCATCAAACCAGCCTCCGGCCGTGGGGCATAACCCTAGCCCCAGCATAAAACTGTGGGGAATGGTTACGCATTGGTTTACGCAGCGAGCAGTCGTTGCCACCCCAGTCTTGATAGCACTGACACTGGTAGTTGGGTGCGTTGGAGCACAGGCCATGGCCGCTGCAGACGACCGTGCTTCCGGTCGCGAGGTAGTCGGACTCGTAGATCCCCGCTAGTGCAAACTAAGTCTCGTATCCGCAGCTTGCGTCGTCGCGTACCGGGGCAGCGGTGCGTCGTGGGGGCGCCCGTCGTGTTGTAGTAGCCGCAATCGGGTCGCGGGCCCAAGTTGCCTTGACCTAACCGCGTGGGATTTCGCGAAGCCGGACGCTAGTGTGGAGTACCGTCGCTGCTCGTAAAGTAAAGGGCGCACTTGCACTGCCCCGTCGCTTGGTTGCACACGCCTCGTCCCGAGCACTCGAGCGACTTGAGAGACCCATCACAATTATTTTCTGAATCTCAATCTCAATCCCGCACCTGCTTTGTATTTGCGACGGTGAGGGTGCCGTCGAGCGCAGCTTCGCCCCCTACCCTCGACACGAATCACCGCCGCTTCAAGCATCGTTGCTCGCAGTACCGGTTTGTACCGAGATAGTTAACGTTGCGGCAGCTAAGACCACTGAAAGAGGTGGCAGCGCGTCAAAGTCGTAGAGAAAGGTCACGAGCGCCGACGTGCCCGGCGTCGAGCAGACGGTCGTGGCGCCGTTGCCAAACACCACTGAGACGCCCGATGTAATAGCGTTGAGAGCTGCCTGGACGTCGGCTGCGGACGCCGTTGCGGCCAGAGGCACCGAGCTCCGGCCGTTCCACGTCAGCATGAACGTGCCGGTGCAGGTCGTGCACGTGCACGAGATGGCTTGCAGCTCGTTGACTCGCCCCGTGACGACCGGGTCGTGGCCGTAGAGGCAGGTGCGGAGGCTGCAGTCGTAGCCCGTGTAGCCGGGATCGCAGCGGCAGCCTACGCCTCTGTTGTGTACGTACTCGGACTGTTCTATTACCGTAAATGCTATTGGCATCCCAGAGCGTGTACGTGGCGCCGTTCAGCATGGCGGCGTCGGCCATGCTAAAGCAGCTGCCGTGGCCGCTGCAGTCGTTGGGGCAGTCGAGCTTTTCGCACGCCGCGCCGGAGAAGCCATCGCGGCAGCTGCACCCCCCCGTCGCGCGGTTGCACGTACCCTGCAGTATTCTCTGCCTGAGATCCACCGTTTGCATTTATGGACACTAAGAACCATGTTGCTGCACTCGGCGGACGTCGTCCGCGCCGTGTCGAGCGCCGAGGCCACAGCGGACCACGGCGTGCCGTACGGACACGTCCGTAGACTGCAGCCGACACCCGTCCAGCTGGCAAAGCACGTGCACCTACAAAAGCTCTGGAGTGAGCCGTGGAAGAGCATGGCGTCAATACCGGTTGAAGGCGCCGCAGATGCCGTGGCCGTTGCAGTTGCGGCCTACGCAGGTATTTTTCGCTGCATGGTGCGTAGAGACATAGCGTACCGATGTAGCCCGGACAGGCGCCACACGCGAGGCGCGCGATGGCCAGCAGTACGACCACTGTCGTCGCCATCTCCGAGAGGAAAATCTTTCGTAACCGCTTCGATAGCCCAATCCAGCTCCACCGTTGCACCTGTCCTTGCGCAAGACCTGTAGGGTTCGCGGCCTCTTAACTCCTAGTCGTTCCAGCGGTTGGCTGAGCAAAATCTCTACTGCCATGTATCTCTTCACGCTTGGTGGACAGCTCCTCTCTCGTGCCAACTCATCACGATCACAATGATACCGTAGTGTCTATAGAATATGTTCAAGTACGCTGCTACTGGCGCAGAACTCGACTGCGGAAGAGGCGCCGCTTCGTCACCCTTGGGCTTTCTCGAGTGATAGAGCCCGCTGCTGCTCGACGTAGGTCTCGAGCTGGCGCATAAAACTAGAACGTCTCGATACGCTGTACAAGGTAGACGAAGACGATGATACCCTTGGTTGGGCTGCGCTTGTGGGCGCAGCGAGCGCACATGGGCTAGCGCGCCGTCGAGGCTGTAGCCGTGGTGCGCCACGAGGTACGCTGTTTCCATAAACGCGGGTATCAAAAGACCGAAAGCGTACCGAGGATGAGCGTCACGGACCGCGACTTGCCCGCAAAACAGTGCACGAGGACATTGCCGCCACTCGATGTTGCGCTACAGAGCGCCACGTCAGCTGTCGTTGATCGCACGCGGCTACCGCTCGATGAAGGCGTTGCTGGCCGCAAAGTGCGCCTCAATGCTTGCGCTCGGGACATCGGCGATGGCGACGCGCTCGTACACAAAGCCCTCGGGCTTGTCTTTGAACGGAAACACGATCGTCTCGGACACCACGAGGATGTGCGAGATGCGCTAGTACGTCAGCTGAGCGACTATGGCCACGAGATGCAGGCCGTACCAGTCGCACGAGCGCCTCATAGTTGGCGCCAGCCCCGATCGAGCCAAGGTACACATGCGGTTGGATCTCGACCTAATGATGATGCAGGCCTGGGCACGGGTGCTGCGCGCACGTACGAGCTTGTTGTCCGTGTCGACGTACTTTTGCAGCAGTAGACCGTGCCAGAACTTGCGAAAAGCGTCTACGAGTCGAAAGTGACCTGCACCGCAAGCGTGCCTGCTGTGTACCTTTGGCCGGCTTGGACGGTCCGGTCGGCGCTGCAGCGCTGCCCTCCATGCTGCGGCTACTAAATATGGTTTGTGCCACATTTTATATTTGCGCGCCACATTTAATGTTTATTGGTGGCACTTTGCGACATGCTCGTCCAACATCAACCCTAATCCCTCGGCAAGCGACAAGTGATGCAGCCTTTGAGCTTGTCTTGTCGTCACCCACGACAATAACCAAATAACACGTTAGATAGCATGTACTCACACACCACAACTAGTAACTATTATATTAAGGTTGGCCGAGGCACGTTTATAACTTAAATCCAGTGTCGGCGAGGGTGCCAAAGCGCTTTGGCCGCCCAGGGCCAGGCCGATCGCTCTGCTTGAAGTTCGGGTTGAGGTTTTGCCACGTGGTCTTGCAGTCGACGGGGCACCGGCCCGGAATCGCTTCCGAGATGCGCGTCCATTGGTTGCCCCACGTGTTGTAGAGCTCGGTGAGCTTTTGCTTCTCGTCGGCCTCGAACGGCCCGCGCTTGATGCTCGGGTTGAGGTAGTTGCGCCACCGCTCTTGGCAGTGCTTGGCCGTGCGCCCCGGAACCCCCGCGGCGACAGACGCCCAGTTGAGCTTCCCGCTTTGCTGGCTCAGCGTCGCGATCTGCGACTGGAGGAGGCAATCTTCTTCGTGGGACCAGTTGCCGCGGCGGAGGCCCGGGAAGAGCACCTTGCGCCAGCGCTGGAGGCACTGCGCGTGGTTGCGCCGGCCCACGTGCTTGGCGATGGCCTTCCAGTTGCGGGGACCGTACTTGTCGACAGCTTGACGCAGCAGGTCGTCTTCGTCTTGCGTCCACTTGCCCGGGTTGACGTGCGTCACCGTCTTGTTGTCGTCAGTCTTGTCGTCACGGCTGCTCGTACAGCTGCTGCTCGAGAGCGGCGAGTGGGCGGCGTTGGGCGCAAAGAAGTAGCCGCCCGTGGGATTCACAGAGGCCGACGGCGGGTACACGGAGCAGGATGGGGCGGCCTTGGACGGCTGGAAGCCGCGAAGCGATGGCAAGACGATGGATGTGGGCGGCGGCAGCACTGGCGCCATGGGCGGCGGCAGAAGCGGCGAGATGGTTTGCATCTGCTACGGACAGGACGATGAGTGCCATATTTAGAGTCATGTTGACACGTACGCGAATGGACGGCAGCGGCGAGTAGTGGTTGCTGTTGTTGTTGGAGTTGTTGTTGGTGGGCTTGGTCACGATCGGGAAGCTCCGGTCGACGTGGATGTGGAGCTTGGGCTTGACGACGTCGACAGGCGCCGACATGCTACGCAGCGGCTGCGGCGGCGACGACGTCCGGAGCGCCATCAGCGTCGGGATCACCTCCTTGTCATTCGCCTCGACTTCGTCCCACGTGCGCTTGCGCCAGCGGGGCTTGAGGAAGCGCACGATGGTCTCGAGGCAGACGAGGTTGTCGTAGGCGAACGCCATTGACGACGGCTTCTTGGACGACGTATCCGTGCAGCAGAGCGGGATGTTGAGCGAGTTGAGAAGCGCAAGCGGCGGCGTCGAAAGCCACATGCGGCGAAGCATCTCAAACACCTTGGCGTCACTAATGTACTCGGGAATGTCTTCGTCGAGGCGGTAGTTGGCACACGAGAGGTCCGTCTTGGTGTTGATGTACATGAGGGGGGCCTTGGCTTGGCCGAGCACCTCGAGGAGGTGGCGGTCCGACGCCGTGATGCGGCCATGGTGCCCGACGAAGAGCACGAGGTCCATCTGCAACAGGTGGTGCTGGCGCATGTACTCTTCCGGCGCCTCGGTGGGCTTGAGCTCTGGCAGGTCGATCAGGTTGAGCGCATGCCAGGCGACGACCGTCGGCGCGTACTCGCGCTGGCGCACGTTGAGCGGTGCGAAGAACGGGTCGTTGCGCGTCGCGCCCGTGATGAGGTTGATGAGCGCCGACTTGCCGACGCCGCTGGGGCCGACGACGGCGATGGCAAAGCCGTTGCGGACGTCGACCTTGTACGTCGTGTAGAGCGCGCGGAGGGCAGCCTCATCGCAGTCGCCGGCGGCCTTGCCGAGCGACTCGAGCACGAGGTGGAGCTTCTGGTAGCTCGAGTCCTCCATCTTGTGAAAAATCCAATACTGGAAACATACTGGCGAACTTCGCTTCCGAGCTTCGTCTCATTAATTATTGGCAGAAACGCCGGCCACGAGCCATTTTGGCCAATCAATTCGCGCGGACCCGAACTGGCCTTCGACCCACGCCGAACTTCAAGTTGCAGCTGCGCCCAGCTGGTGCAGCATTTTGTCTTGGGTTCAGTATGCCACCCACCATCGCCTCGCACTTGGGCGTCGAATTTCCATTTTATTTCTCACGACTTTCCCAAAATGAAGCTAGTTTCCCATGACTTGGCGTGTCAACGCAAACGCAGTACGAACCTGGTGCCGACCGCGTCTTTGCTGCGACGTCTATCAAGGATGCGCCGCCACGAGGGCAATGACTTTATTGTTGTGACGATTCAGATCTTATGTACGCCCAACTGCACCTGGACCGCATCCAAGGACACTCCAGAGATTGCAAGCACGTTCCTGTGGTTTGGGAGCTGCAGGGTGGAGGCAGTGTGGAGGCAAGTGGGTGCTGCAGTCCAGTGCTTTCTCGAGATCGTGTCTACTCGACTGTGCAACTACTCATCTCCGCCAATTGGTTGCACTTGCGAGAGTGTGTGATGGCCCGCTGCACCAAGGGGCACTATTTGTGCTCAGCTCCAGTGGACCTCGACGCCACCAGTATTTGCGACGAATGATTTTGTGTGAGTGCGGCGTCGACGAAGCCGGCCGCGTTCGCGTCGATAAAACAGGCACGGTTGGGTTGCCCGTCGCCCAGTTTGGGACAGAGTCGAAAATGAAATCCTACAGGATTTCAGTCGTCACCCTGCTGCTGTTCGGTTGCCTTGAACTAGCCCAGAACCACCTGGATGAAATCAAGCCTTTCGTTGTCTGCCACCCCTACCCCCGCCGCGCACGACGAGCATGTGTAGGACCTGCGGCACACCGTTGAGCGCTGGTCGTCGCGTTGGTTAGTATGGCGTAAAGTATTGTTCCGGTGCGGCGGCGGACGACTCGACAAAAGCAAGCGCGCCAAGAAGCCTGCTGCTTGAAGTTGCGAGTGCATCGCCACGCAAGCACGTTCGCGTCAACTTATCCACCCGCTGATATCCACTACAAGACGTTGAAGCCCAGGCTCTGATTCTTGGCGAGCGGCCTTTTCTATCGCCTTCAGTCCTTTATCGCGCCTCGGAATAGACGCGAAGCGAGGTAATAGCATGGCAGTCCCTCCACTGGGTTACACCTGTGGCTCTGCGTTTGCTTGTAGCCCGCACTTCAACCCGCGACTCTCTGCGCGGGTGCAGCAAGGTGAGCTCGGTGAAGCTTGGTCGCTCCTCGATGTCGAGTGACCTCATCTTGCTGGCTGTTGACGAAATCGGCTCGCATGTCCACCGCGTTGGCGCCATTGAAAGCGACCGTCAACACATAATGCGTCACATCCCTACGACGAAACCGCCCCGTCGTCGTCGTACTTGATCTTTTCGGTTCGGCGCGGGTCAATGACCCACTTGATCTTTGTATACCCACGCGCCATGCCTGATCCCCACGAACGCGCGATTGACTGGCGAAACGCTCACGAAACCTAAAGTGACGCTGCGGCGTCACAGCCTTCTTTTCCGGATCCGCATACGTTAGCACGCCGTGACACCACGTCGTCATCGACACGGGATTGGTCCATTTACACCAATCAAACGCTGGTATAAAGATCGATTGTTTTTTGGGCCGTTGCGAAAAATTCCATTTTGGGCGAGGAGCGATGGCGAGCTTGCCGCGGGCGACGCGCTCCTTGCACCCTCTTCGCTTCCTGATCGAGACGCGCTTCATGCTGCTCTTCCTCGTCGTCCTAAGCGCCGGTCTCGTCTTCTGGGCTCTCGGCGACGACATGGAGGGCATCGACGCGTCTGTGGAGCTCCACGCGGACCGCGTCCATGCGCTCTGGACCGACGAGACGTACCAGTGTCTCGGATGGCGAGCCACGGCCAACTGCAATCCGCACGGGTGGCGCAAGCCGTCCAGAGACCGCGGCTGCAGCGATGTCATCGAGCCCGGCATGAGCGGGTACTGCGAGATCCGTAACCGGACGAGCGGCGAGATCTTCCAAGTGATGCTCACGGCGTGCGACAGCATCAAGGACAAGACATTTACCTGCATGGAGGCGCGTGACTTCACCGACTACAGCATCCGCGCCGCATCCGCGCCCGCGGTGTCGCCCTCGACGCCGATGCTGCGGACATTTGCCAACGCCACCAATGGCATCGTCATGTCCATCTACCCCAGCGTGCTCCCCAATGTGTATGCTATTGTACGCATGCTGCGCTTCTACAACTGTATGCTGCCCATGGAGCTGTGGTACGAGCCGCATCAGATGTCGGATGTGGCGACCAACCCGATCTTGGCGGCGCTCGAGGCCAACTACGGTCCGCTGGTGTTCCGACCCATTGCCGACAAGCGCGCAACGGGCTACATGACCAAGCCCTTTGCTGTCGCGCACAGCCAGTTTGAGAACGTCCTCTTCCTCGACTCGGACAACCTCCCGACACGAGACCCGACCTTTCTCTTCACGTCTCCGCAGTTTCTCGAAAGCGGCGCGATCTTTTGGCCCGACTACTGGCACGATGTACGCTCCGTGACGATCAAAACGATACTGACGCTATTGCTAGAGCTCGTCGCCCTTCAACGTCCATGCGCGGTCGCTGCTCTGGGAGCTTGTGGATATGCCGTTCGTCGATATGCTCGAGCAAGAGTCGGGGCAGCTCGTCGTTGCGCGTATATCGCACTTGGCGTTCCGCAGCACGGCGCTCATTCCTCGTAGGGCACCGGTGCGCGACGGCATTGGCCAAGGTGCTGCATTACGCGCTGGAGACGCCGCCGCTGCTACAAAAGTACGGCCTCGTGTGGGGCGACAAGGACCTGTTCCGGCTCGCGTGGTTCAACACGTCGACGCCGTTCGCGTTCGTACCGCACCCGCCGGCCCTCGGCGGCTTTACGAAAGACGAGTACGTCGACGCGGTCGCGCCGGTCCCGAGCGTCTTGTACTGGCACGCCGTGTCTTTTTGCGGCATCGCGATGCTGCAGCACGACTTTGACGGGCGCATCCTCTTTGTTCACCGCAACAGCGTCAAGCTCACGGGCGAGGCGGACCAGACGCCGCTCGTGACGCACGCACAGACGTCGACGCTGCCGACGCACGCGAGTCCGCTCCTCGGGCACGGCAAGGAGTACTTTATCCAGCTCTTTGGTACACCCTTTGGTGTCGGCGACCGCACGCAATAACGGCTCAAATAGGCCACACGCTGGGACAGAAGGCGTGCTACGTACTCGCGAGCGCCGGGAGGATCGAGGCTGTCGACGCGATCGACGACTCGATGGCCAAGGTCGAGAAGATGGCGATTCACTACGCGATCGAGGCGGGTGACATGCTCCGCGCGGTGGCTCGGCGGCGCAAGGAGCATGGCGCTGGCCACTGGCTCCTGCCCTTTGACACACTCGACGCTCGCCACACGGGAGAGGACGCGATTCCTGTCATGTACTGGGTTACCGTTCACATGCTTGTCGGCGGGTTGGCTGGCTGGACGTGGCGACGTCGCCAGCGCTCGGTGACAAAAGGGCCGACTTTGGACAGAGCCATACCGCCCCCGTACCAGATTCTGTAGCCGAGAAGGACAGCTAACCTGTACATACATATATCAACTTGCAGCAAGTGGGATCGCACCAGGTAGTCTCGCACATGAGAGTGCACCTGCACAAGCTTGCTACTTGTGAGGCTCCATTGCTGCTCGAAGCGGCTGGCGCGGTCTTGGTCGGCCACCATCTTTTGTGTCAGCTGATCCAATTTAGCTTTGGCCGCGACATTCCAGTCGACAACCGTCGCTTCGAGGCGAGTGTCGTGTGAGAAAAGACGGAGCCTAAGGAGACTGTACTGGAGGAGGTGCTGACGTACAGCTACGCCGCAGTGCAGAAACAAAGTCGTACACTAGGGGGTACATTGACAACGGTTTATCTCTCGTTTCACAGACGCATATACGCGTTGCTTGAGGATGCGGCGAGCGCACTATTGAGGCGCATCCGTGGTCGAGCCCTCGGGCGCCGTGGTCGAGCCCTCGGACCCCGCGGTCGAGCCCTGGGACGGGCCCTGGGACCCTGACGTTGAGCTGCGGGACCCCGAGATTGAGTCACGGAACGAGCCGTGGGACCCGGTGTTTGAGCCGTGGGGCTCCGTAATTGCGTCACGGAACGAGCCATGAGACCCCGCGGTTGAGCCGTGGAACGAACCTTGAGGTCCCGTCGTCGATCTTTGGCTGGAGGCGGACGATGGCGCCGCTTTGCCTTCGTCGTCCGACTCGGACCCGGAGTCCGAGTCGCGGGATTGGAACCATCCGCTCACGCCGCGCACGACGTAGCTTCCGCCTTGCGCGACCTTGGTCACTGCGCAGCTGCCGTACTTGCCCATTTCGCAGAGCACCGTCGAGGCTGTGCTCATGTCGGAGCAGTCCTTGTCACAGTCCATGGCCGTCAACGCCCGACCCGCGCTGAAGGGCGACGCCTTCGTCGACGCCGCGACGGCCAACACGCAAAAGACGATAGTCGCTCCTTTCATTCTTCAACGGGACGCAAATTCGGGTATGATGGCTCCGGTCGGCCAGGCGCGGTGCAAGATAGACTCATCTTGAAGTGGGTATGGCCGTCGAAGATACCAAACGCACCAATCACCGAGCAGCATGCCCCACGACCGTTCGAGATGCCAGAACATGAAGCAAGTGGTTTCTTGATTAGCTCGTGTCGCGCAGTCCCAGCTCGCTGCGTCATTGCACTCCGAGAGTCCCGGCCGTTGAAACAAGTTCCTACATGGAGGCAACCAAGGCGAAAGCAGAGTTCGGCAAGCTACTGCTGAAACCTCTGAGAATGCGTTGCGTCGACCGCAAGCGGGACCCTCTATGCATGCGTACCGAGACCAGTTGGCAGAGACCTACTGGAGGTTCGAACCCGCTGCAATTCAAACCAGCGCCTTCCGCTTGGTTGGGTGCTTTCAGCCATCTTAAAACCTCTCATACTTCATGTCCGGTGTATAATATATCAAAGGATAAATCCAATTTTGCGGGAAGCAGGTAAGGGAGCGTGGTTCATGCATGGCGATGATCCGCGAGCGCTAGGAAGAAGCATGGGACGCAAGGACGACTCCTCCGAAGACGACTTCCTACTAGAGAGTGATGACGATGACGACTTCGTGTCTTCGGCGCCGGCGAAGGCCAAGTCGCCGGCCTCGGCCAAGGCCACGCCCAAGCGGAAGAAGCCGTCCGAGAGCGACGGCGACGCGTCCGATAGATTGGAAGACGACGATGACTTCGAGCAAGTCAAGAAGGCCAAGACAAGCAAGAAGTCGCCGGGGCCCAAGCCGGCCAAGAAGATGCCTGCTGTAGAGAAGAAGCCGACCAAGAAGGAGCCTGAGAAGAAGGAGCCCGAGAAGCCCAAGGACATGATGAGCCAGTCGCAAGCGGAAGAGGAAGTGGCCAAGTACATGCGCCAGGTACCTCAGCGCTGCTGGGCGTAGGAAGCTGATATCGACTGCAGACAAACCGCCCCTACAGCGTCCTCAACGTCTTTGAGAACCTCCATCGACGCATTGGCAAGACGATGCTGACCAAGATCCTCGACGTTCTCGTCGAAAAGTACCATCCATGTCCTTCGAGTGCAGGCTCATGGGACCACCGACAGGGGCGAGATCAAGTGCAAGACATATGGGAAGAGCCAAATCTACTACTACAACCAAGTCGAGACCCACGCACCCCCAGGTTCATTGATGTTGCTCGTCAAATAGAAAAAGCTGCCGCCCCCGTGCAGCACGACCCTTGCGCAAACCGAAGCCGCCATTCAGGTAAACTCGACCGTGCCCATTCAGTTGTGTCTCAAGGGTCCGTAGACGGTGGCTGACGACGTGCAGAACGCCGAGCGCGCGCTCAAGGAGGCAGAGTCGGTCCTGCATGGGCTCTCCAACCAAATGACGGACGCGGAGCTCGACCAGCAGATCACCGAGTACACTACGCAAGTGGGCATCATCGTTGCAACGACGGCCACTTATCAAGTACCTGCAGGTGGCAACGCTGTCAGCGACGTTGCAGCGCCTGGACGATCCGAACCGCGCACCGGTGGCTCCCGAAAAGAAAAAGGCCATCTCCGATCAGTTCACCAAGTACAAGGTAGACAGATGTGGCTATTTGAGCTCGGAACTCCGAGGACATGCAGACGGCGTGGGTCAAGCGCAAGCGCATCGTCATGGACGCCATCGACCAGATCGCGGAAGGCATGGAGAAGAAGCGCAAGGACGTGCTGGTACACGCGTGACCTGTCGATGTCGTGACCCTTGATTGTTGTGATAGGATCTCTGCGGCATCGAGACGGACGAGAGTGTCGGTGTCAAGGCGATTCCGTCGCTTTAGACATCAAGGAGACTACTATCTATGAGGATTATACTACTTACATCAACTTCCAGTGTTAGAAATCGGGGGCAGATGGGGGCTGAGCCACGAGAGGACATCGCGGGCGGTCGGTCGGTCTTCGGGTAAATAGGCGAGGCACCGTCGCGCGACATTCAAGATCGGCGCTGGGCAGTCGGTCGAGAAGACGGGCCGGAGTTCGCCGGCCACAACGAGCATCGCGATGCGCGTCTTGGCGAGCTCGACGCCGAGGCACGACTCTGGGAGGAGCCGGTGGATGTTGGAGTACGGGATCTCCATCATGTCCATCTCCGAGATGAGCACGCCGAGCGAGTACATGTCGGCCTTCTCCGTGTACCGGACGCCCTTGAGCACCTCGGGCGCGATCCACGCCACGGTCCCGATCTCGGACGTCATGGTTTCTTCCGACGTCTCGCGCGACGTGCCAAAGTCGGTGACTTTGGCGACAAAGTTCTCGTTGAGCATGACGTTCTTGGCCTTGAGATCGCGGTGGATGACGTCTTGCGCGTGGAGGTACACGAGCGCCTTGAGAATGTCGACAAGCACACCGAGCTTGGAGAGCGCGGGGGCCAGCATCACCGTGTCCTTCTCGTGCTGCGCGTGCCATGGGATGCGCTGGGCGTCGTGGTCCGTGTCGAGGAGCGTCCACAAGTCGCCCTCGCTCATGTACTCGGTCACGACACTCAGGTTCGGCAGCGTCGTCCAGCAGTACCCGATGAACTCGACAATGTGCGGGTGCTGGAGACGGATGCAGAACCGGATCTCCTCCATGAAATCCTCGATCGACCGGAGGCTCCGCAGCCGCTCCGGCAGCATGCGCTTGACAGCGACCAGCTGCTCGCGCCCCTTCTCTGTCTTGAGCGTCGCAAGGTACACGACGCCAAAACCACCGCGGGCCAAGACGCGGTCGCGCACGATCGAGTCGGCGGGGATGCGGTACCGCTGGTACGCGGGATCAAACCGGAGGTCGTTGATAAGGTGCGCACTGTCGGCAATGAGCGACGGGAACGTCGGCGACGACGAGTGCAGCCACGACCGGTGCTCGGCCTCGTACTGGTGGCGCCGGCGGCGCATCTCGTAAAAGACGCCGCCGCCCACAAGCAGCGCAAGTGCGCAGAAAATGCCGAGCGCGATCGTGAGAACGCTCGTCGCGTTGTGGACCTCGGCCGACGCCAGTGGCACGACGCAAAAGAGGTACCGGTCCCAGAGCTTCGCCGCCGTCGCACCGACTTCGGGGCACGAACCGGACGGCGCCGAGACGGCCGAGACGTCGTTGCACATAGGGTCGGCGTGGGTGAGGTTTTGCAGTGCCTTCAAGTCGGCGGCCGAGCCCGAGAAGCGCACGGAAGGGTTGCCCTTGAGACACCTATCGACGAGAGCGTGAGCTGCGGAGGCCAATACGCAAGCACTTACAAGCTCATGAGCGAATGGGGCAAGATGGACGCGTTGACCCACGTGAGGTTGTTGTCGGCGAGGTTGAGGCTGATGAGGCTGAGTGGCAGCATGACGTTGTTGAGGCTGTGGAGCGCATTCGCCTTGAGATTGCTACATATACTAGAGTGAGGCGACGTCAACGGCAGGCGTAGTACAGAATCGCGAGGCTCTCGCCAAACGAGACGCCGTCGAGGGACGCGATCGTGTTGTTTTGGAGCGAGAGCGTCACGAGTCGCCGTAAGTTGGTGGCCATCGCCTTGGGGAGACTGGTGAGCTTGTTGCTCTCGAGGTACAGCGTCTCGAGCTTCATGGGCCACACGGTATGCTCGATCGAGGCGATGCGGTTGGCGTTGAGGTTGAGTATGCGAAGCTCCTTCATCGTCGAGATGTCACCGACGCTCTCGATCCAGTTGCGGTCGACGAAAAAGTTGAACGTCTGGTCCGACGTCATGACGCCGTCGATGGACCGAATGTGGTTGTCGGAGAAGTTGCTACCAAGTTCATGATGAGTACTCGATGCGCTCGGACGCGCCTACAGCTGCGTCGCTTCGACCGCGCGATTGTTGGGGATCGACCGCTTGTTGGACGTGAGGTCGAGCGCCAGCGTCTCGATGCCGAGGCGGAAGAGTGTGCTACCAAGTCATGAGGCGAGGGTCATGGGTGGTGCGGTCGTACATGTACGAGACGACGCTCGAGAGGCCCTCGACATAACTTACTTCGACGCCCGTGCCCATGAGGAACTGCGTGCTCTTCCTGTCGTTGGCATTGGGGCCGCCGGGCCAGTCGCTCATCGGAATATCGTTCTCGTTGAGGTTGACGCCAATAACGCATGAGCCGTCGGGGTGCCAGATGCACGTGCTGTCGTCGACGTTGGTCCGCCACGTCGGCTTGCGGAACGCGGTGAAGTTGCACGCGTCGCACTTGGTCGTGAACGTTGGCCGCGTCACGTTCTCGGGGCTGACGCCCGGCAACATTGCCCCTCGCTCCGCCTTGTAGTCGATGTCCTGCGCCATGGCGACGGCCGCCATGAGCACCACCGACGTCGGCCTCATCGTCGTCTGAAGGCGGTTGGAGCCAGCGACGCTGGAAACTTGACCCAGCGCCCATCATTACGTGCGCCAGCTGCTTCGTCTAATTCGGATAAGATGCCGAAAATCACCCTAAAATCACTCTACTGCCCTAAAATAGGCACGTCTCCGCTCCGAAATCAGGTCCTTGGAAGCGACGCCGATGATGGAGGCCGCCTGTACAGCACGCCAGCACCGCCTCCACCCGAGGTACGTAGCGCCAGGACCATGCTGCGTACGCGGGCCTCATCCATCGCTGCCCGTGGCGCCATCATGCGAGTGATCACCCGCTTACGACACGCCACCGCTTACACATCTGCTTACATATCGATACTCGGACGTATCATCATCATCCTCTACCTACACTACATCGTTCGCCGTGACGTGGTCGAGCCAATGCAGGACCTCGTCCATGCTTGGCCGGTCGTCCGGCGCGTACGCGAGACAGCGCCGGGCGAGGTCGCGTATTGCTGGCGGGCAGCACTCGGAGAAGACGGGCGTGAGCTCGCCAGCGACGACGAGCATTGCGATACGCGTCTTGGCCACGTCGACGCTGACGCCAGTTCGGGGTACGAGCCGGGGCATGTTGGAGTACGGTATTTCGAGCGTGTCGAGCTCCGAGAGGAAGACGCCGAGCGAGTAGACGTCGGCCTTGGCCGAGTAGCGGACGCCCTTGAGGACCTCGGGCGCGATCCAAGCCACCGTGCCGATCTCGGCGGTCATGGTCTCGTGCTCGGTCGCCTTTCGGGACGTGCCAAAGTCGGTGATTTTGGCAGCAAAGGCGTCGTTGAGGAGGACATTGCGGGCTTTGAGGTCGCGGTGGATGACGTCTTGGCCGTGCACGTACACCATGGCCGAGACGACGTCGTGCAGCACGCGGAGCTTGGAGAGTGGCAGCGACGCGTCAACCACGCGGCTCGGCTCAGGCGAGAGGTTCCACGAGAGAAGCCGCGTCTTCTGGTCCAACTCGAGGAGCGTCCAGAGGTCGCCGTGGGGCATGAACTCTGAGACGCAGCTCAGCGTCGAGAGAACGCTCGAGCACGAAAAGCCGAGGCAGCGCACGATGTGCGGGTGCTGGAGCCGCAGACAGAGCCGGATCTCGTCCATGAAGTCCTCGACCGCGTACTTGTCGTGCTTGAAGCGCTCGGGCAAAATGCGCTTGACGGCCACGGGCCGGACGCCGCCATTGACCTTAAGGTGGCCAAAGTACACAATGCCAAAGCCGCCGTGGGCCACGACCTGCAGCAGCGAGAGGTCGGTGTGCGGGATCACATGCTCTACTCATACTCACATCAATCAGCGCCATAGAGATCGCAGTACGGGCGTAGCGCGTGTCGAGGCGCAGGTCGTGGGGTACGTGCTCGTGAAAGTCCGAGCTGTCGTTGTAGTTGGTCTCGGCGCGCTCCGGGTGCAGCCACATTGTCTCCTTGATCGACCGCCGGCGCCGGTGCACGGTCCAGATGACGCCAAGGACGAGGCCCACGAGTGTGAGCGCGATGAGCGCGATGGCGACATGCAGCAGCGTGTGGGACGGCGCTACAAAGATCGGCATCGGGGTCGCGTCGCCGTCCATTTTGGCGTCGAGCCAGTCGTCCTGCACGAGGCACACGGTGTAGACGCCCCAGAGCGTCGCCGACGGTCCGCTTCTGCACGGGTCAACGGGCGGCGATGTCAGCGGCGTGGGCGGGCACCCGACGTTTTTGGTAAACTTCTGCAGCCGGTCAAACTGGGACCGCGTCGCCGAGAAGCGCGCCGGCGGGTTCTTTCCAAAGCACCTACAAAAGCATGAGCGGTGACTCAAGGACGGTAAGGTAATCGGACGCACAGGACGTCGAGGGGCTTGTAGAACATGGGGTAGAACTCGTCGAGCGGGTTCTCCATCAAGTAGAGCGCAGAGATGTCGTCGGGCCACGACACGTTGCGGACGCTCGTGAGGTTGTTGAACGAGAGATCGCTAGAACGAAATGCGATAAGACAAATAAGACGCTGCAAGTCGTCGCGGACATGGCCGTGCCGTAGGCTATGTCGAGGCCTTCGACGGACGAGATAGCGTTGTGGCTCAGGTTGAGCAGCTGAAGCCCGTTGGGCAGCATGACGACGCCGTCGAGGTCGTTCCCGAGGCGGTTGTGCGAGAGGTCGAGCGTCAAGAGAGACACGGGGAGGCGCGTCGTCGCCTCAGGCAGCCGCTCAACGTCGTTGAACGCCAGTCGCCTACGCATCGTGAGGCGCCATGGCTTTGTCAACGGACGCTACAGGTTGTGGAGGCTCGAGAGGCCCGAGAGGTTGCCGACCGATTCAATGCGGTTGTGCGAGACGTCGAGGTCGGCGAGGACGAGCGGGAACCGGACGTTGTCGATGCTACGGAGGCTGTTGCGGCTCAGGTTTCTACGCATCGTCGGTGAGCTCGCCACTCTGCCGGCTTCTCTTCGCACAAGAGGACGGTCATGGCCTCGTGGCCGCACGCCGACGTGCGCAAGTTGACGCTCAGCCCCTCGAGGCTGGCTTGGGCGAGGTTCCTACGCGCGCCGATGGTCGAATGCAGTGGACGCTTCGGACGACGTACACTGTCACGGGGCCGCTGTCGGGGAGGCCCTCGAGCGCGCCATCGCGGATGCAGGCGCGGGCGCAGGTACTCGAGCCCGCGTCGGCGCAGTCGCTCATTCCTCACTACCGAGTAATCTGCTGCCGTCGACGCTCTCGGTCCCACTCTGCAGCGCCAAATGGAGCGTGATTACACGGGCCACCTGGATGCGCGGTGGAGAAAAACGCGCGCGTTTGCTATCGTCGGGCCCGCGCGCGAGGACGCAGCCCATACAAACCGCAAGATGTGTACGGGCCTTTCCCCACCACGCATGATTTCGCTGCCTGTGGTGCCGTGTTGGTAATCCTGCGCCGGGCCGCGCTAGATTCGTCCCGTCGCTGATACTGGGATGACAGCTGGCATGACGCTGAAGACTCGTGCTGTCGACACCCGGTCGAGTGACAGACAATATTGGGCACGAACCAGAGAGATTAAATAGTACAAACAAACTAGAGGAGGAGCATGCGGAGCGACGCGTCGACGTCTTGGATCGACGGGCGGTGACGCGGGTCGTGCGTGAGGCAGCGCTGCGCCAGGTCGAGGAGGCCGAGGGGCATGCGGTGGGAGAAGGTCGGCTGCAGCTCGTTGGCCGCGACGAGGAGCGCGATGCGCGTCCGCAGCGTCGAGAGGTCGCCGTCGAGGTGGGCGTACGGCGGCTCGCGCGTGTCCATCTCGGCCAGGAGCACGCCGAGCGAGTAGACGTCGGCCTTGGCGTCGTAAAAGCAGCCTTTGAGCACCTCGGGCGCGATCCACGCCACCGTGCCGACGTCCGCCGTCATGGTGTAGTCGCCCGCCTCGCGCGCGACGCCAAAGTCGGTGAGCTTGGCGACATAGGCGTCGTTCAAGAGCACGTTCCGGGCCTTCACATCGCGGTGCAGCACGGGCGGGTCGAGCGTATGGAGGTAGTGCAGCCCCGAGACAATGTCGCAGAGAAACGAGAACTTGGTCGCATCCGCCTCGTCGTGGAGAGAGCCGTCGTCCGAGGCGAGCGTGCTCCGAGAGCTGCTGAGCGCACTCGGGTGGCGGCGCTTGAGCGGCTTCTCGGTGCTGGTCCACGGCACGTCGTTCTCGAGCAAAAAGTGCCAGAGGTCGCCCCGCTCCATGTACTCGGTGACGATCGAGAGGTTGGCGAGCGTCGTCGACGTGAACCCGATGAAGCGCACAATGTGCGGGTGGAAGAGCCGCGCGCAGAGGCGGATCTCGTCCATAAAGTCGGCCACACACGCTGCGTCATCGAGGCGCGTCGACAACAACCGCTTCATCGCCACGTCCTCGTGCGCGTGCCAGGTCGCGGCAAAGACGACGCCAAAGCCGCCGCGCGCGAGCACCCGCGTCGGCGCGAGCTCGTCCGGTGGGATCCAGAACGGCGCGTAGATCGGGTCTTTGCGCACGTCGTTCACTACGGTCTCGATCGGCGGGAGGAGACCGCCGTCGCCGAGGTCGAGGAGCATGCGCAGCTTCCCTTGGTCCGCGTCCGCGCCGCGCTTCTTGTAGAAGCACACAAAGCTCCCGCCGACGACGAGCAAGAGAAACCCAAACGACGAGAGGACAGCGAGCCACGTGGCTTGAGCGATGGGCGGCGGCGGTGGTACGTAAATCGCAGCGTACGAGTCGACCACGCAGATCGGGACCTCACCCCACGCCCGCTTGACGCGGAAGCGCCCCGTGCACGCGTCGGACGTCGTCATGACCGAGACGAACGGCGTGACCGTCGAGCACTCGTCGCTGGCAGGGCCCACGCTGCGCGGATGCGAGAGCTTCTCGAGGAGCGCAAACTGCGCCGGCGTCGCGTACAGCGCTGTGATGGGGTTGCCGCCGAGGCAGAGCAGCCGCGATTGGGGCGTGAGCGCCAGCTGCACACGCGTGATCTGGTTGTGCTGCAGGTCGCTATATACAACGACTGTGAGCTACGACGTCCTATCCGAGAGAGAGGAAGGCTAGTACAGGCGCTGAACTGAGGCTGGGAGCGTCGCTGGCATGTCCCGCAGCTGGTTGAGTGCAAGCGACCTAGGCTGCGATGAGGTCAAGTGCAGAGACAGCGAACGTACAGCCTCGTGACGGTCGACGGCACGGCCATGATCGGGTACACGGTCAGGTTGAGCCGCTCGAGCGACACCTCGGTGAGATTGGGGAAGAGGGACGCGATCGGCGGCGGCGCCGCGAACGGGTTGCCGCTTACACTCCTACGCACGGTGGTGTCAGCGATTCGGTAAATCCGTAAGGACGCACAGGCTGCGGAGCGACGGCGCCGAGAAGCGCTCGAGGGTCGTCAGTCGGTTGTCGTCGAGGACCCTAGCCATCCATAAGCTGCGTCTACAGTTGTCACGATACATACAGGGTATGCAGGCTCAATGGAAACGTGATGTTGGCCACCGACACGACCGAATTGTTGGTCAGATCCCTGTCAAGAGTGTCAGATAGGAAGCGAAGACGAGGCGTACAATCGACGGGCGGCTACGAGAGACGCGTTGTTGCGGTCGAGGCGCGGGGCGAGTCGCTCGAGGCCGACGCTCTGCACTCGCCTGCATCGACGACGTTAGCCCTCGCGATATGCAAACTGGTGGAGCGTACACATCGTAGAAGTTGCTTGGCAGCGACTCCAAGTACGCGATCGGCGGCGACTCGTGCCGCGGTAGGAGGCGCCCGGGCGACGCCAAGCCCGTGAGGCCAATGGCATCCGAGCCGGTCGTAGCGTTGTGCGCGTGGAGGTAGGTCACGCCGTCGGGCAAGAGCACACACCAGAGGTTGCCCGAGCTGGCGTCTGGGATGGTACTGGCGACAGTGGCCGGGAGATCAAGCAGCGCAGCTGGGCAGTTGGCCGTGAGCATCGTCTGCGGCGTGCTCCACGTCGAGAGCACTTGCGGCGCCCGCGTGTAGAGGCACTCGGCTGCGAGCGCCGATGGCGGCTCGGCACTGAGATCGATGGGCGGCAGCGTCTCGAGCACCGCGTGCGCCGCGGCGACCAGCGCTAGTAGCCGGCGCAGCATGGCCACAGTGCAAATGCAGACAGGCTGACACGGCTGAGAAAGGCGGGTGCGCATACGTTCTTGCAGGTCCTCCGGATCATGTCTGGGAGGACCGGCGTGGCAGTCACAGCACGAGCAGTGGATGATGCACCGGCAACGCGCCGCCTCTGCGCCATTTGCAGGCGCACGGTGTACTAGCAATGGTGTACTAGGACTGCAATACGATCTTATATTCAAGGGTCGGTATAAATAGTGGCGGCTTGGATCTGCTGGCAGTACGCCCACACGTCGCGACTCGTCGGGCGGTCGGTGGGCTCGTACGCCAAGCAGCGGCGGGCCACGTCGGCGATGCAGCGGGGCACGTCGGCCGAAAACGACGGACGGATCTCGCCCGAGACGACGAGCATCGCGATGCGCGCCTTGATCGCGCTCACGTTCCAGTTGCCGTGGGTCGTGTGGATCGCGTCCAAGTCGGCGTACGGAATCTCGAGCGTGTCGAGCTCCGAGAGGAGCACGCCGAGCGAGTAGATGTCGGCCTTCTCCGTGTAGTAGACGCCCTTGAGCACCTCGGGCGCGATCCACGCCACGGTCCCGATCTCGGCCGTCATGGTGTAGTCGCACGTCTCGCGCGCGACGCCAAAGTCGGTGAGCTTGGCCACAAACTCGGTGCTCAAGAGCACGTTCTTGGCCTTGAGGTCGCGGTGCACGAGCGGCGCCTCGCGCGTGTGGAGGTACCGAAGGCCCTCGACAATGTCGCACAGAATCGAAAACTTGGAGATCGCCGGCGGCGGAGTCTGCGACGCCAGGACAAAAGGCGAGTACGGACGCAGCGGCACCGTCGCGTCCTTCTGCAGCTGCCACCCAACTGGCGCGGCGTTGAGGTTCTGCACGCGGAGCCACTGCCAGAGGTCGCCCCGCTCCATGTACTCGGTGACGATCGCCAGGTCCGCGAGTGTCGAGTACGTAAAGCCGTAGAAGCGGACAATGTTGTTGTGGCGAAGACGCGCGCTGAAGCGGATCTCGTCCATGAAGTCGTCCATGCATCGCACGTCGTCAGTCAAGCGACTCGGCAAGAGCCGCTTGAGCGCCACGGGCGTCGGCGACACGATGTCTGGTAGCGACGGCGTCGGCCGCAGCGTCGCGAGGTACACGATGCCGAAGCCGCCGCGCGCCAAGATGCTTTGGCGCTCGATGTCGGCCTCGGGCAGCCGGTAGGCGGCGAACGCCGGATCCGACCGCACGTCGTTGTACAAGAGCGACGGGTCGAGGCTGACGTCCATACCGAGCATGTCTTTTGCGTCCATCTCCAAGTCCATGCCTTCGTACCTACGCGCGTCATGAGCCGCCGCGTGGATGCATATGGACAGAAACCATTTCGGGGCCGGTCGCGGCCGGCGGAGAAACCGCAGCCAGAGCACAAGGAGCACAATCGCGATGACGCCGAGAAGCGCACTCACGACGATGAGTGCGATCCCAACGCCCTTGGATGACGACGGCGATGTCACGAGACTCTCCAAGGCCGCGTCCAATATGCACACGGGGTACGTGTCCCAGAGGAGGCGCGTCGTGACATGCCCGGTGCACGACGAGTTGGTGGTCAGCGTCGTCAGCAGCGGCGACGCCTCCGAGCACCGAGACGCGTCGAGGCCGTCGGCTGTCGCCGTGCGCTGCGGCAGCGCCGAGAGGATTTCAAACTGGGCCGTTGTCGCATAAAAGGCCGAGATCGCGTTGCCGCCGAGGCAGAGCACCCGCAAGGCCGAAGTAAAGTTGGCGTAGACGGTCGTGATCCCAGCGTTCTGCACGTTCCTAACGAGCACCCGTGAGCCCCGCACGTCTCTCTCAACACGCTACAAGTATCGCAGAGCTGGCGGCCAGGCGCGGGGCGACAGCTGCGAGAAGCGGTTCTTGGCGAGCGAGCTACGCGATGTGAGTACCTACTTCGTCGCCAGACCACGTACATCTCTATTAGGCTGCTCGGTAGCGAGGACGGTATCTCGGTCCACTCCATCTCGTCTGCGACCAGGCGCCGCAGCTTCGGGAGCGCCAGAGCCACTGCAGGTGTGATTGCACTTGGCGGCAGGGTCGGGTTGCCGCTCACCGACCTAGAGACACAGCTTGATCCACCAGCTTTATGTCAGCAGCAGCACGTACAGCATCGCCAAGCGCGGCGCGGCGAGCCCGTCGATCGATGTGAGTTTGTTCTTGGCGAGAATTCTACCACGTGGCATGAGCAGGCGACCGACACGGGACAGGGCGGACAGCATCTGGAGGTTGAGCGGGAAGGCAACGCCGTCGACAGAATCAATCGAGTTGTTGGCGAGGTTCCTACGTCCGCACCGCGTGAGCTGGCCCACGCATGATGCAAGAGCACCGACAGGTAGCGCATGATCACGTTGGGCGACCACGGGCTGTCTGGGATCTTGTCCTGGACAAGCTTGGGGCCGAGCACTTCGAGGCCGAGGTTCGCGAGCGTCCTAGCCAGCACTTTCGATGCGATGAAGAATGGCCGCGGGACGTACAGCGTTGTGATGTTGGGCGGGACGTCGGCGAGGTGTAGCACGGGCGGCGTCGTGTACGCGCCGTTGGCCTGGCTTTGCAACACGACAGAGAGGTCTGCTGTCTCGTTGTGGGCGTTGAGGACGCGACCGGTTGGGGTGTAGATGCAAAAGTAGCTGTTGACAAGCGACAAGCCCATGTCTGGCGGCTCGTTCGCCTCGGCGGGTAGGAGACACGCATAGGGGCACCTGGCCGTGAGCGTCGTCACCGCCACGGCCATCGCGGGCACGCACCCTGGTCCGCGCTCGGCGTAGACGTACGCTGGCCGCGCGGCTTCGGTCACGGTCGCCTTCACCTCGTCCGGCATGTCACGGGATGGTGGCCCAGAGCCAGTGTATCATACCCGGGTGCTTACTCTGTTTCCGACGCCCGCAACGTTGCGCCTATGCTTTTTCACAGTGTATCGATTCTCGGAGGATGCTGAGCCCCATGGCCGAGATCAACATTGATGATGAGCCGGGCGACGCGGCCAAGGCGAAGAACCGGCAGCGTCTGCGCGACTACCGGCGCCTGCAGAAGCGCCAGCACGCCTTCTTGACCCAGCGAGTGCGCGAGCTCGCGGCGGAGATGGCGACGCTCCGCAGCGCCAAGCCGCTGCCATGGCACGAGGTCGCCGCCGTCTTCCGCGACGACGCACACGACGCGCTTGCAACGCAACGGTCGCTGGCAGCGCAAATCGACCAGTGTGGCCACGCAGCCAGGATCCTCGAGGCGTGGGTCCGCGCCAGTGTCCCGGCAGCGCTGGTTCGCGGACCGTCCTTGTCCTCGCCTCATGCTTGCAGCGGTGTAGGCCTCGTTTCTGCCGCACCAGGCGCCGTGGACACAGCGCAGGCTTCTTGCGCCAGACGCGCTGCGTCTTCAGAGCCTATCGTGGGTCACAGACCGCCTCCTGCACAACGCAGATGCGGTGCTGGGGTCGTGTCGGCGCCAAGAGCAAATGCGCGTGACGCTCCACGCCCTGAGCTACGACCAGACGTACGTCGTCATCCAGAGCCATCGCATTGTTCCCGCGCCATTCGTCGACGCGGTCGCTGCGCAGCGGCGCATTTACTCGCACACGCCGGGAGGGAACTTCGTCGACCGCGAGGTAGACGCTTCTGGATGCTTCCGTTGATGTTTCCTGGACCGTAGCTTTTGCAAGCGTCGTTTGGCGGCGACATTGTGCACGAGCAAGTGGGCGATGTGCGGGTGTTGTACCGGCACTACGTCAGCGAGCGGCGCGCGACCATGGTGGCGCTCAGCATCACGCACGACGACGCCTCGCCTGACCAGGCGCTCAGCCAGGAGCCGTCGTACGGCTGGTACATCCCTGCCGCTCTGCGAAGCTCAAAGAAACGAGTGTAGGACCGAGCTGACGCCGGTGACGCAGACGACGACGCGCGTGCTCGACGTATGGCTCTTCCTCCTCAACACGCCCGCTAGCGAGAGCGGCGATAATGACGCATTGAGCCACCACGCGCGGTTTCTCCACGAGACTCGGGCGGCCTACGACGCCAACCTCGCCCACTGCAACGCCCTCTTCCTCCAAGAACTGCCCGTCGCCCACATACACGATGTATAGGATGCAAGTAGAAGGTTTACCTAATTAAATTTTGGCTTTCTTGGCCGGCGGCGCCAGCTCCTCGACGTCGTCCGCCAGCGCGGCCGGGAGCAGCTTTTGCATCGAGACGATCGTGAAGTCCACGAGGTACGACTTGCAGAGCATGCGGTCCATGCGCTGGTAGTGGCGCTCCGAGAACGCGATGAGCCCGTCGAGCGTCTTGGCCGCGTGCGGGATATTGGACCAGCGGCTCGGCGGCACGAGGCGCAGGAGGCTCGAGAGGAGCAGCTGTGCGACCGACGCGTGCTTGCTGTTGGTGTTCCAGTCGCGCAGCCACTCGAGCAGCTGGCCGAGGTTGGCGTCGTCGAGGCCGCGGACCACGTCGTCGTACACATGACCGTCCGACGCCGCCGCAATATCGGTGCCCTTGGGCCCTTCCTTGAGGTCGCGCAGGATCGTCATGAGCCGGAACGGGTGCGCAATCTCAAACGCAATCTTGACGGCCTGGAGGTAGTCCTGGCTGCGGAGACAGTTGAAGAGCTCCTGCTCCTTGAGGAGCTTGGCGTCGCGGTCCGCAAGCGCCTTTTCCTCTTCGATTTCGGTGAAATCGTGCCAAATGTGGATCGTCGAGTCGGCGCCGCCCGTGATCATCTCGGACGAGTCCTTCGCGACCGCAAGCGCCCAGATCTTATCCGCGTGCTCGTCGAGCGTGTTTTCGCACTCGTTCGTCTTGATGGTCCAGAGCTTCACGATGCCATCGGCGCCCGCCGACACGAGCTGCATGCCGGCGCACACAAACTGCACGTTGAGCACCGACGCCGTGTGGCCCTCGAACGTCTTGAGGCACGAAAAGTCCTTGAGGCTCCAGAGCTTGACCGTCTTGTCGCTGCTCGCACTCGCCAAGCACTGGTCGACCGGCGAGAACTCGAGCGCCCACACGCCGCGCTTGTGGCCGCGGCACGTCCCGATCAGCGCCAAATTCGACGCGTTCCAAATCTTGATGAGTTTGTCCTGCGAGCCACTCGCAATGAAGCGGTCGTTGGGCGCGATCGCGAGCGCGTTCACGTCCTTCTCGTGGGCCTTGGTGGCCGCCATGGCCGAGAGCGACAACGTCGACGCGCCGCCGTCCGCGAGCACTGGGCCAAGGCTCCAGAGCTTCATCGTCTTGTCGGTCGAGCCCGTGACGAAGAACGCGCTGTGGTTGCTGTAGTGGTGCAGCTTTTGTGCGATCGCAATCGACCCGAGCGACTCGGCGCCGGCCACGCCGACCGCCACGCACGCGTGCGTGTGGAGGTCCCAGACGCGCGCCGTGCCGTCTTTCGAGGCCGACACGAGGTACTTGCCGTCCGGGCTCACGGCGAGCGCCATCACAATGTCCGTGTGGCCCGAAAGAAGCTCGCACGAGAGCGTCTCGCGGTGCATGACGCGGATCTGCTCCGAGTTGGTCGCCGCGACCACGTGCTCCGAGAGGCCGGCGCCGTCCGCCGTCGGCACAAACTTGAGCGCGAGGATGTCGTCGTTGAAGCCGATGATCTGGCGCGAGCGCACGAGGTCGGCGGCGCCAAAGAGCAAAAAGTTGTGCTCGGCCGTCACCGCAATCAGCTCGGACGAGTCTGCGTTCACGAGCAAGTCCGTGTACTTAACGCGCGCGTCCTCCTTGGCCTGCGTCGCGACGACGCTGCACGCCGCGCCGTTCGAGACCCAGCGCTTGAGCTGGCCCTTCTCACCCGCCGTGATGAACGTGATGCCCGACTCGGACGGCAGCACGACAAGGCCTGTCACGGGCTCGTGCGCCAGCACCGTCTGCAGCAGCTTTTGCTGGCGGAGGTCCCAAAAGTTGATGACCTTGTCGCGGCCCGAAGACAGAAGCGTGTAGCCATCTACAAAGAGCATGAGTCGACGTACGTTGGCAATGTGCTGGACGCACCGAGGGCAAAGGCCACGGTCGTCGCCGGGTTCATGTGGTCCTTGATGCACGCGACTTCCTTCTGCGCGTAGAGGTCCCACACGCGCACTATTCAGAGAGAGTTAAGACACGGACGTTGGAGCGCGTCGTACCCGTCGAGTCGTCGCTCGAGGACGCGACGAGGAGCTGCTTGGGGTCCCAATGAAACTTGACGAGCGTGACGATGCCCGTGTGCTTCTTGAAGCTGTGCGTGCAAAAGCCCTTCTCAATGTCAAACACCTTGACCGAGCGGTCGCTGCCGCCCGTGGCCACGAGCGTGCCGGTCGGGTCAAAGTCCATGCACAGGATCGGCGAGTCCGCCGTCTTGATCGTGCGCAGGCATGTCTTGGTGTCAATGTCCCAGAGGCGCAGGAGCGAGTTGCGGCTCGCGGTCACGAGCTGGCGGTGCTTGGGCCGCCACGCAAAGGTCACGATCGACTCCTTCTGCTCGTCCGGCACGTCGGCCTGCAACGCAAACTGGAGCTCGCCCGTGGCCGCGTCCACGATGGCCACGTCCTCTTGCAGCATGCAGGCGAGGAGGTCGCCCATGAGCTCGACCTTCCCGCCCGTGTAGATGCCGGCGTGCGTGCGCACGGGCGCCCACGTCTTGGTCACGGCGCTTCGCTTCGGCGCGTTCATGCTAAAATCCTTGGTCCCAACCGATTTGGCCTCGAACGAGCCACGGAACCAATCGAATCCAACGACTGGCATCGCGGCCTCTGATTGGCCGACGACCGGCTTTTTAAATTTTTGCATCGATCTGACGATCTAAGATCGTAGTGCACGCGCCATCCCTCCGTGTCACGTACCTCGAAGTGTCCGACCGCCTCCTCTTAGCGTCGGTAGATAGTCCGAGTAGAGAGAAAGATGAACTGTATATTTGGACCCACAACTTCTGACAGCAACTCATAGACACGGCGACGGGAGGGCGATGCTCAGTGCATATCTTGCGTCAGCGGCACGTAGCCGTCCTCCATGGAGATGGCCGACGGCGCTTCCTTCTTGGACGCGGAGACGGCGACGATGGCTGCAAGAGCGCCAACCATGGCCACAGCGACCAAGAGCAGCGCCGCGTTCCCGGGTGCGTCGTAGACCGAGACAAACTTGTGCGCCGCCTTGGCCGAGCACTGGCGCGCCTTGTACGCAAAGACGGAGGCGTAGTCGTCGCCGTAGTGCGCTTCCTCATTGTTGCGGGGGCAATCCGCGCTGGCGCCGTTGCAAAAGTGGCTCGAGTCGCAGAGGTCCTCGGCCACGTGGCACAGCGTGTCCTTCTCGAATTTGTCGACGCACTTGCCGCTGCCGTCGCAGTAGTCGACGCCGTCGCACGCGTGGTCGGACGACTCCCCGATCGGCGTGCATTCGGTCGTTCGCGGTGCAAACTTGTCGCGGGGGCATTTTCCGTTGTAGCCCGTGCAGAATTCCGGCACGTCGCAAATATCACACGCTTCGCGGCAGACAACGTCGCTGCCGAGGAAGGTTTCGACGCAGCTTCCGCGTCCGTCGCAAACATCGACGCCGTCGCAAGCGCCACCACTCGACTTGCCAATCTGCGTGCAGACCTTGCCCACGGGCGCGAGGGCGTCGTCGGGGCAGACGCCGCATTCGCCCGGGCAATACTCGGGCTCGTCGCAAACGTCGACTTGCCGGCGGCAGAGATGGCTCGTGCCTTTGAAGTGGTCAACGCACTTGCCGTGACCGTTGCAGCGATCAATGTCGTCGCACGCGCCGCCCGACGACGAGCCAATCGACGTACAAATGGTTCTCTTGGACGCAAAGCTGTTGCTGGGGCAGTCGCCGCTGACGCCGGTGCATGTTTCTGCCACGTCACAGACGTCGACAGCGCGGCGGCAAACGTGCTTGGTGGGCTGGTACTTGTCCACGCAGTGTCCATTGCCGTCGCAATAGTCGGGTGCGTCGCACGGGCCGCCCGTGGACTTGCCCATCTTGGTGCAGACTTTGGTCGTCGGCGCAAACTCGTCGCCGGGACACTTGCTGTGGTCACCACTGCAGTACTCGGCCTCGTCGCAGAGGTTGCGAGCTCCGCGACAGACCGAGTTTTGGTCCTTGTAGCCGTTGAGGCACTTGCCTTCGCCGTCGCAGTAGTCCTTCTCGTCGGCATCGCACTCGCCGCCGTTGTCGCAACTCTGGCTCGGGCAGAGCGTACCGCGCGGCAGCTGCGTGTACGTGCACTTGCCGTTAAGAAAGTCCGAAATCTCGTGGCACGGAACCTCGGGGCACCCGTCTTCGTCGGCAATCGTCACCGAGTCGATCGAGTCCTCTTGGTAATGGTTGTGCTCGACGTGCGCCGGTCGATAACGAGACTCTTCGTCGTATTTGCCATGGCTTGGAGGCACGTACGGTTTGTCTTCGCTCGCATCGACATCATCGTACACGTCGATCGACTCATCGGGGTACGTCGGGTCGTAGCTGCCGGGTGGCTTGTATCCGGCCTGGTCATCGTTCACTTTGCCCTCCTACGACAGTTTGATCGAGTCCATGTCCGTTTTCTTGTCACTGACCTTGGCCTCTTGAGCCTTCTTGGTCTCCTCTAGAGCCTCTTTGGCCTCCTCCTGAGCCTTCTTGGCCACCACTTGAGCCTTCTTGGCGTCGTCTGCAGCCGCCTTGGCGTCGTCTGCGACCTTCTTGGCGTCGTCTGCGACCTTCTTGGCGTCGTCTGCAGCCGTCTTGGCGTCGTCTGCGACCTTCTTGGCGTTGTCAGCGACCTTCTTGGCGTCGTCTGCAGCCGTCTTGGCGTCGTCTGCGACCTTCTTGGCAGCGTCTGCAGCCGTCTTGAGAGCTTCTGCCTTCTTGGCCGCATCTTCAACGGCATCTGCAGCCTTTTTGGCGTCGTCTGCAGCCTTTTTGGCGTCGTCTGCAGCCGTCTTGGCCTTGTCATACTTCTTTGCAGCCTTCTCAGCCTTCTCAGCAGCCTTCTCAGCCTTCTCAGTAGCCTTCTCAGCGTTCTTGGTCGCTTCATCAACCTGGTATGCCTGTCCACCTGCCTCTGCAGCGTCAGGCAGATAATTTGAAGCCAAGAGGAGAGCGGGGGACGTAGCGGTTGTCTCCTTGGTGACCATCGACACGACAGATGCCATCCCCTCGTGAGCGTTGGCATGGGCGGCAATGGCCACGGCGAGGCATACTCCGAAGCGAAGCTTCATCCTTGGCGGGCAAATCGAAATTTGAAAAGACACAGAGGTGCCTGGTCAAAACTTCGCAGCCAATCACAGCACGCGACGCCTCATTTGCACCAATGAGATTCCAGACCTTTCGTAAAAGGTCGCATGAAACCCCTGGGTGAAAGATACGATTTTTCCCGCGCCTTTTGCAAGCACGTGCGTGTCGTGTGGGGCATCAGCTTTCCAAAGCCGTCAATACGTCCAACCATTTCACGGACTTAGCATGTGATTGTACTGCTCACTATCTAAAGACTGCTGCTGAAAGATAGTCCTACTGCAATAAGAACTCGTTGCCGTGCTCGGGCCACCTACCGGCTCCTACCGGCTGTCTTGAGTACCACATCGGCGTCGGAGATGTTCCATTTGAGAGCTTCAGTGCAGCACGCGGCCCGCAGTGCCGACCGATCACGATTGCAGAAACGCACGCGAGAAATCCATCCGTTGCCAGTGTGCTGCCCTTGATCGGGCGTTCGGGCGCCTCATCCCGTGCAATTATCACGTCTCATTCAGAAGTTTTTCACTACAGATCATGCACAAATATAAAGTGAGAGTAATGTTCTCTGAGGTGTGAAAAGTGGTTTTTGTGCGATTGCACTCCTGTGGATCGAACTCGTCGGGTATCTTGACGTCCTCATCCAAATACACACATCCTAACACAAGCGCGCAGCGGCAACAAGCGCCGAATTGCGTGCTGCTTATGTTGGGACGTCAGTTCTACCAGGTCCGAATGCTCATTATCTAATTTCACTTCTCCAAGAACCATGAAGACCATCGCTATCCTCGCTTCGCTCACCATTGCCGCTGCTGCAACGATTTCCGACTGCACCTCGAGCAACCTCGCTGGCCTCACCGCGCTCGGCACTAACGCCACGAGCCCGTTTCCTCTCTGCGCTAAGGCCATCAACATCAACGCCGCCAAGCTTGCCAACCCGTCGTGGCAGCCGGACGATCTGTCGGTCCTCGACGCCTTCTACAAGGCGCCTGCGTTAAAGACATATTCGCAGCGTTCGCAGAAGCGCTCGAGAAGATCACCCTTCGTGCAACCTCGCCAAGGGAGCTAAGCTCTCAACGGCAGACCTCGTGACGCTCTCTTGTGACGACTACGTCGCTGCTGCCAAGGTGGGCTACGCCGCTTAGAACAACAGCACGACAGCGGCTCCTCCAAGCCGACGACGGCGGCTCCTACGACCAACCTAGTTCGGCGATGCTGACGACCGGGGTGACTACATTGGTGCTGACGACCGTCGCGGTCGCTCTTGCTATATAAACTGCGCTGCCAGTTACAGTTTTCTATGCATCGTGGCAGTTTTGCTTGATTTTTAAGGGTAATACACACATTGCTACGGACACAGAATCCTAGCTCATGGTACGAGATTGAGTTACTGGGCCTGCAGAGGCTTTGGAGTACACGTACTGCGTGATGACACACTTGGTCGAAACGCGCACTTGTGCGGATAGATGCATAGTGGCGCAAAACCCTCTCGTACGCAAAGAATTATACTCGTCGACTGCACGTTTGAATTAGAACAAAATCTCTACTGCTAATGACTACCAGTAGGCTCGGTATTGCGCAAGGAGTTTACATCAAAGCGGCCACAGTCATCGTGAGCGCAAGTGCAGCCACACCCGACGTTGCCATCGCCGAGCTGGGCTTGGTGGTAGGAGCCGCCGTGGTGGGGGCCGAGGTCGCAGGCTTGGCAGGAGCCGTCGTCGCGTCGGACGCGGGCTTGGTCGTCGCGTCGGAGGCAGGCTTGGTAGTGCTGGCAGTAAGGAGAGCCTTCGACGCCGTGATAAAGTCTTCGAAGGACATGGCGCCAACGGCCGCCGTTGACACCTCCATACCCTTGGCAAGGTTGCACGGGGGGTTAACCTTCTTGAGCTCAGCGGCAAGCGCCGTGATGTAGGTCTTGCACTCGGGCGCCTTGTGGAAAGCCTCGAGCACCGTCTCATCAGCCGGGTGCCACATCGGGTCGGCGAGCTTGGCGGCGTCGATGTGAATAGCCTTGGCGCACGGCGGAAGTGGGCCCGTCGCATTGGCCAGGAGAGCGCCGAGACCAGCGAGGTTGGCCGTAGTGCACTCGGGGAGGGTCGTGGCAGCGACGGCGGCGAGCGAAGCGAGGATAGCGATGGTCTTCATGATGTTTAGAGAAGTGAAATTAGAGAATGAGCCTTGTGCGCAGAGCAAATTCAAATCCACACGCTACAAAACGACGCGGGTTGTGCTCACGTGCAGCTGCAGTGCACATGTGCAGATCGTGGTCTCGTCGTTACGCCGGTTCACGCGACTTGGGTGCGCCGACACTGCTCCGTTCGATCGGATGCCTGGCATCGCTTGTCGCGAACCGCGCAGCACGCAAGCTCTGCCGAACCTCTGAAGTGGTGTGTGTTAGGTGTCGACCTCGTGCAATACCACACACAAAATCAGATGCAGCTGACACGTGAGCAGATAAACATATGGTGTGACAGATTCTCTCCACGAGCTTTGCGGCCAGTCTGCAGCATCAAGTTGCTACAAAGGGTGGCGTGTGATTGCTTTCTCAGGACGCTTCATGGAAACCGCTCAAAGGCATCACATGCGCTTGGACCAACGCGGCACCGAGACGCGATCAGCACCGTGCTTTGACGATTCGGCGGTGAGCCATTTATATATATATATATATATATATATATATATATATGAACGTGTTCCGCGTTATCTTCATTATGACACAAAGACTTCGCATACGTAGCGCTACGCCTGAATGCGTGGGAGTTGGCTCCAGCACTTGGTCGTTGGGAGTGAGCTCCGTACGCAGCTCACTCACTATTTCTCTACAAAAGGCTCCACGTGCTGCTGCAAGCCGAACCGAGCCCGCTGCAAGCTGCAACATTTTGCTTCAACAACATATGTTATGGCGTCATGCATGTGTTTGATCAACACAGTCCTCTTCCACCCACTTTCCAAAGCGTGAGCTTCTAGAGCGCCTCGACTTCACCGAGATCGCACACGGGGTGACTATCATCACTGGAAACGAAGCGGAGATGGGAAATAGTCGCGTGATAATTTGAAAACGAAACAAGCCGGCAATACGGGACGTTGGCTTGCCAGGTACTAGTACGCAAAGATCGCAGCGTCTTCATGCAGCATGCGAATTGGCTTGGGTCTGCGTCGATGATCACCACGCTCGATTGGTGGTATCCGAAACGTGTTAAGCAGCGCCGCAGCCATCGAGCACCTGCACCAGCACCTTAGCGTAGGTGCATACATGCGCGCAAGAGGCTTGCGGAGCTGTCGCATCCGTATTGGTCATGGTTGCTGGCGTCGATGCAGCGCTGGTCGCAGCCATCGGTGCCGGAGCGGTAGAAATGCATTGCTTTGATGTTGGGCGTCTACGTGCTGTGAGGTATATAGTCGACGCGCCGAAACAAACGCTGACAGCGACAACCTCGAGCGTTTGTGCGAGGAGTACGACGATGGCCTCGACCGTGTCGCGCTCGTGGCGTCGTTTCGGAGCATCCGGATAATGGTACCGGACACCAGTAACTTGGCCAATCGGCGATTTGCCGACGGGAACCACGCCGCCGCCGGCCCAGCAGTGGGCGCTACGCGCGCGCCGCGCTCGTCATCTCGCGGCGCAGAGCCCAATGGCGCACAGCTCGAGCGCTTCACGCTTGACGTCCTGCTGCTTGCACATGGCAGCCAGCACCGAGATCGCTGGCCCGCAGCGACCTCTCGCCCGCAGCGAACCTCGCGCTCGCTTCAGATGCGATATGCGCTCAAGCTACCGGCCATTGCATCTTCTCTCGGCGGTCACACACAGTGGCCGCGCGCCCATGGTCCACGTCATGCTACCTACACCGGACCTCGTTCTTCAAGGCGTCCACACAGCGCTGGCTCGCGTTTGGCACAAGGTACCACACATCTTTGACTCTACATGCGTCTCACAAAATGACTAGATTCCGTCTTTGCCCGAGACACACGAGGTCGAGATTTTTGCGCTCTTTCCGCGCTTCTCGTGGTCTCGTACCACCTGCTCGTCGTGCACGGCGCGCGCAAGGACGCCTCTGCGAGCTCGTGGACGCGCCTCAAGGCCTGGTTCATGTCGACCTCGCGGCGTCGGCTGCAAAGGCGCTCAACGACAATGAGATGGTGCCGCCGGTGCCTTTTTTACACTGCGCCGGGTCTCACGGATGCGAGGCCAAGCTCTGCGCCGCTTGGCGCCTTGAACACGTGGGCGCGCAGTGTGCTCTTTTGTTGCTCTCGTGTTTGCCAGCAACGGCGAAGCTCTCGTCTTGAGCAACCTCATCTAGTCGCGTGTCGCGGCAATTGCCAACGTCTCGGACGACGAACCTCGACATTTTCTGCACGCCGAATGTCGCGCTGTACAAAGGCCAAGAAGTAGGCCGACGAAGTGCCTCGTCACCGCAGTCACGGCGCCAGACCGCCCACCGCGAACCTCTCAACTCGACAAGTCGCGCCGTGCCATCGTTGCGCAGAAAAGCGTCGTGTCCAATACACCCAAGACTCGATCCTCGCATTGCATCATTCTGCAAGCGCTCTCGGGCAAGAACGCCGAGAAGCAGACGATCGTCAGCTGCCTCGTCTCGACGCTTCAGGCAGGTACAGGCGCGGCGGCTACGAGCTGCCTCGGCGCGCTGATGGTCGACGGTATCGATCCTCATCTCGTCCTGCGCCAGCGACGACCTACACACACGACGTTCTTCAGCCCAAGGGTTCGCTCTATGACTACTAGATGTGTGTATGTATCTGTGAATGTAACCCCGTGTAATTTATGCAGCTATCTCGACCCAAGTGTTGTGTGCCTCCGTCCGTTGGCGTTGGCATCTCGGTGACTTTTTTTGTTGGACCAGTTGGCTTTAAACTTGCGATCGAAGCGGCATTTGCTGTCGAATGGAGAGTGGCTCGGGCCTTATAAAGGACTAGTATTTGCGTCTGGTGGGACATGACTGCGCCGACGATGACGCTTGATGCGTTGACCAGCGCCTAGAAGCGCGCATTGGCCATCGAAAGTCGCCTCACGTGGCCGCCCAGCACAAAAGCTGCTAGCATCGACACCACCATAGCCGCTTCCTAGCTTTGTGTCTCCAATTGCGCAGTGTCGTGTGTCCTTAACCACCGTCCTTCTCGATGCTCGACACGAGCTTGTAGGCGGGAACTCGACAATGTCGACCGCAAGGCTGGGGCCTCACGCATTTCGTGGTCGGCGACGCCGGGTCTGCGACTGCGCACCAGCCCCGTAGCTCGTAGCGCACTCGACTTGCTTCCTCGGAGCTGCTCTTGGTGTCCACAGGCCGCGCCGCGACACGAACATCTTGGACGATGGCTGGACGCCATCTCTAGCGCCAAGGGCGCCAAGCTCTGTTTTGACCGCGATCTTAAGTAAATGCTTCTCATTGGTCCGATTTCAGGACATTTATAGCCTATCACAAGCCGCCAGTTGCGATCGACCGCCCAGCCCGACGCGCTCGCGTCGTGATATCGACATTCAAAATGGAATCGCCCATACTTTGCAGACGTATACACATCGGTCTGGAGAGCCCAACACACCAAGTCACGTCGCCGTTCGATGTCTACATCGAGAGAGATTCTCCGGCAACGATCCCATCGCATCCCATCACGGAAAAGTCGCCACCAGAAAGCTCGATGTCATGACAGATCGCGACTGGGTGATCGCTTCCAACTTGATGCAACGATGCGCATCCAGTATTGCTTTACCCACGTCTTCATCACCTTCATCACATCATGGTCAAGTTTATCGTCGCCGCCCTCGCGCTCGTCGCCAGCACTTTTGCGGC